TTGGAGTTTTTTTTTTTTAACTTTGTACGATTTGATTGATTTGTCGTTTGGAGTAGCTAGAATGTGGAAAATTGTCTAGATTGTTGCTCTCAATACCGGTTGGAATTTAGAAGTCGCGGTCGAGATTTAGATGTTGATGAGACCGCACGTGCCGCCACACGTGATGGACCTCAACCTAGGTAACCCGCTGACTTCTATGTTTGCTGGAATTAAATAGCTTTTCCATATCTTTTTAGTTGAAAATAATTCACTTCAACTTCTTGACCACCTTTGGTTTCACAGATACGTGCTGGTAAATCAGTCTCTTCAGGTAAACTTTCATCACTAGCTGGGATTGTCAAGGGCAAAAATCCCCCCCATTTCCACCCTGCGTTAATTTGTTCCCATGGATGCCATTTACTGGGTTGTATCCATAAAGTAAAGCATTTTCCCTCCCTTGTCTTAGCCCTTTTGTTCTATTACATGATAGAATGCTACTAAACTAACTGGATGAATTACAAAGTTTGCCTGTACTGTATCAAAAGTGACAAACAGATCTTTCAGCGATACATCAGTTCGCTATTTTATCTGTTGTCATATAAGAAGGAATTGAGGGGCATTCTTATAGTTGACAAAGTCCGATAAGAGCAATGCCAATATAGGTAGATGATACATGTATTCTATGGGTATACAGCATTCACAGCAAGCTTCGGATTTGAAATATTCCAACACATTTCGACCACATATTGTCATTAAGAACTGGTATAAAAGATATAGGGGCACAGAAAGCTCAATTGGTCTGCGCACCACTAACAAGGCTATCTACATGTACCATAGACCTCTACCCAACGTATCTTACATACTGCTTCCACAGCGGGTCCTTCTTCAACCCATTGATGTCGTCCTCAGGCATGCACAGAGTTAGAGGAATGAAGGCACCCTCAGCATCGTTAATGATCAAACACCCGGGAATCGGGGCTGCAGTAGGTCGACGGAAAAAGCACGACCGGCCCAGTGGACCCCAAGATGCCGGCAGAGGCTGCACCTGGCCGGTTGCCGTCACCATGAGATCTGCTCGGGGGTCGTGTGTGCCGCCATACAGCAGGCTGGATGTATCTGGCTCGCGGGCCATGAATGTGGCAAAGCTGCGGATGGCCCATGCCGTGTTCGCCTGGTTGAGCTCACGCCGCAACACCTGCGCAATCTGTGGCAGGGAGAGTTCGGCCACCTGTCCCAAGGACAGCCGTACCAAGGCGTGACATACCATGTGTCCCATGTAAGTCAGCGGTACGCCTAGCGCCATGCGGCCGTCAATGGCTCGGCCGAGCTTCGACATTCGCTCTGGCGGCTGTCCGTTGGCAATACGCACGGCGCAGAGGCGTTGCCAGGCAAAGGCGGAGAAGATGTCGTTCTCAGACACCATGAGAGAACCCGGTCTGTTGGCTGATGCGTCGTCTTTGACTGACTTGACGAGCCGGGCAAGAGCGTTGACTGGCATTTTGAAGTAGCACCACATCAACGGGCTTGAGGGCGTCGCCCAAGTGTAGCCGGGTGGCTTCCGCAGGTGGCTGTAGTCCTTGAGAGGCTCACCGAGCGGAATCAATGGGATTACGAGGCTGCGGTCGCGGTTGGCCTGCTCCAGGTCGTCCGCCGGAATCTCCTTACCGGACATGACGATGGCCAGCAAATTGAGAAATTGGTAGATGCCAGTGCCGTCAATGATAGTGTGGTGAGTGCTGAGGTTGAGGATCAGGCCGCCGCGCACAAAGTTGGCCTGCATAGCGATCACAGGGTCAGGACCTTCGAGGCCACGAGGATGAGGCAGCGCCGGCCAGGGTGTCAAGACTGATCCATCCAGCATATTGATCGGCACGCCGGCTGAGATGAGCTTGGCCATGGGCGCGATGAGGTCGTCACAATATTTAACCCTGATGCGATCCTCGGGCACATCCGCCGGCCACGGCACCGCCTTCAAAATGCCGCCGGGTTTGGACTCCCGGGCCACCTGCCATCCCGTCCAGGGGATCTGCTCCTTAATCTTGTCAAAGCCGCTCTGGAGGGCTGTGACGATGGCATCGCGGTCTACATCATTTGGCAACTTGAACCCAAACAGCAGCTGCGTGTATGCATTGAGTAGTGGGAATTGGGAGATGATGTCGCGGTAGAGCTCTGAGTCAGTACCGACAGTATCGCTCTGGGAAGGGAGTGCTTCCACTGCCACGGACATGGTAACTTAGTTTTAGTTTGTAGTAACAAGTCAGGAAAACTTTACCCAAGAAAGATAGTCGAGAGTCGCCATCCTACATTGCGATCGCTAGTTTTGGTGGAAGTTATACACTCTGAATACATCTCGGCCGTGTAAGTACAGTTTGCTGCACTTTCGGAGTTTTGGAGTTTGAGTGTTTGGACTTTCGGACTTTCGGACTTTCTTTGTCTTCTGGCGATTTTCTGGCGGGTCGGAGGGTGAGACCCCCATTGTTACCCTGTTAGTGCCAGAAAATTAGCAGAGTGATTGTCTTCTTTCACTCTATTGAAGCTATACTTGAGATTGACATAAAAATTATCATTTCAAAAGAAACAAGAAGAAGAAGGTTTGGGAGCAAAATCAGGTAGCCTAATAAGCATCAACTGTTGGGTGTGACTGTTGACTTATCTTCGCTCTTGTATTCGTTGTGACAAGGCACTAAATCTGAGATAGAATAGAACTCTCTTACGACTCGTATCAATGATGGAGGCGTCAGTTTCAGTTAGTCTGCAGGGGCGAATAACTTGCTTGTTTTAGAGATAATATCAGGCAGCTCTGGCAACTTTCAGATGACTTCGCTTCAAGGATCAAGTTTCGAAACTGCGACGAATCAGTTGCTTATATATGTGCTAGAATCCTCTTTTTCCTCAGACAAGCACTAAGGTAGGTAGCTGTTGCGTAAATCATCAACATTTATCCCTGCTTTTCGGCGTAGCCTCTAACTGTCCAAGTTCTCCATCTCACTCTGGCGATTGCCAATGATTACCCACCTGACCGTTCATCTACCGCTTATAATGGAGCCAACCAAAGCAGTCATCTCTTTCATACAAAACATTCATTTGCAGACACCCAAGCGGAGGTCAGAAACAGCGAGACCGCAAAATGAATAGGTAGATATATTCAGCAATGTGATAAGCACCGAATCAGCTTATCGAACGTGCGCAGTATACCAAATAATACCAAGTACTGGATAAATATAGACATCAGAACATTTACTAGAGAAATGTAGATATAGGAGCAGTTAGTAAAAGTATACAAATATAGTAGTGAATAGTAGAAAAAATATAGCTATAGTAGCAGATACTTGAAGAACTAGGGTTTGTAGGTGTATTATTTAAGGCGCGGGTGTTCGAAATCTTCTCTGCCTCGGGTTTCCCGTCTTTCACTTGGCACTATAAGCGCATCTCCTCTTGTGGTCTGATGCAATCTTTTCTTCTAGGAGATCATCCAAGACAAGATCAGTAGATATGCCTCGGCCCGAGCTTCCGTTTTAGCGTGTCTGGGCAATTAAATGGACCTGGGCATACATAGCCAGGGAGCATACATCAGAAGATTTGCGGGTAATGCTGGTCGTAATCTTTTACTACAAGACTCTGGGACATAGGAAAAAGCCGGAGTAAGCAAGAACCCTGCCGACGGTGATCAATGCGAGTACAGTTGCTATCATTCAAGCGGCCTTTCGATAAGGGCTACTCAACTAGACAACCATTCCAGAGGCGCATTATCTCGCCACCATTGGTCGTTTTGACGAAATACTTGTGCCTAAAGACGACGTTGCATTTGGGGCGGGTAGGCCGGCAAATCTGTGCGCGAGAGGAGCCCATGTCTGAAACCTCATTTGCAAATAACGAGGATCTAGTGGAAAGAACTTTGTTAGTACAGGGTTGCATGCAAGCATAGTTCGTCCCAAAAAGAATGATAGAGACCTATCTCTATTGGGCATAATTCGCTCAGACGATGAGTTACGGCTTTCGGATAAATGCGTCTACTTTCAATCTCATATAGGTGCTCTATGAGGCATATAAGTCTCTGGCTTATATTCTCTGTGAGTGGAGACAATTACCTGATAAATACAATCTCTGAACCATTTTTGTGAAATCTCAGGCGATGTCAGTAGTATCGCTAAAGAGCCCAACCGTTGATTTGAACCACAAATCCATTGTGGCGTTATGAGACGGCAACATGTGTCTAGTATAGGAATAGTAGTAGTATTGAGATGGGTTTTTCATCCTTAATACATTCAATGTCCAGGTAGAAAGCGAATCTCGTTTACCAAGAGAGAGAGCCGCCTATCCTAAGAGAGTATTTCGTATACACAAAATGGAGAACCTTTCGACTATCCTAACCCGGCAAGGCGTTAGTGGGCCGCACATTAGCAAAAACCGCTAAAAGACAGAAAAAAGATCTAATCTAATCTGATGACTCAAATTCCATCTGATAAGATTAAAGATCAGTTCATCGTTAGCTAAAAGATTGAGTCAATTCCAACGCTAAGCATGAAACAAGAGTTCTAGACTGCAGATCAAGTCCACATCAAGCGGCACATCTCCACCTTATTGAATTTTTACATGGCCGGGGTGAAGTCTTTCCGCGGCCCTGCGATTGATCACGAAAGGGCGTGCCAGCCTACTGGCTACTAGACTCTGTCCTGTGATGGATCAGGCTCAGTATTCCGAAGCTGCTAATCGTCACGAAAGGCCATGCTAGCCTAATGGCTGCTAAAGTTTGTGTCGTGATAAATACGAGCCGGTTGAGATGGAGTTTCCTAAGTTATGGTTAGAAGATTAGCTCAACTGTCGGCAACGGCGTGAGAGAGGGCACTGTCATGTGATTCACAACTTGCCAGAGAGTTATATAGTATATATTAATACATGAACTTGGCAGTTGCCAAGCGGATCATTATCTCTCGGCATTCAGTTTAGTGAAGTTGTCCCCTATCTGCGGCGGGAGAGACATCAACCGCCTAGGACTTGAAAGTCTTTAAGCTATGATAGCCATGAAACACCTCCTCGGGGTCAGTCTGACTCTTGTCGGCTTTCTCACGTCACATGGGCTCGCCAGAGTCGTCAGCAAAGATCAGGAGTGTGTTTCCGCTGTCTTTGGTATTGTCGGAGGTCTCAACTTCGAAGGCATAGGCTACGGCAACTACTACTTGGGAGTCTGCCAGAACCCGCTAAAAGTTGTCTCCATCTACGCCATCTCCAAGACCTATTGCTCATCCAATGACCTAGGCCCCGGTTTCGAATACCTCAACTGGGCCTGCCTACAATATGCCGGCGCTGGACTTATACCAGAGGCAGATGTGGCTGTCAATTTGACTGATGAAGCAATAAGCCGCTATCCTATCCTTGATCAGAAGGATGTAATCGTTCCGAAGAATCTCACGATGCCAGTTCTGATTACGCGAGATTGGTTCGACTTGGGTTTCCGTACGGAGGTGTGCTCTTTCTCATTCCAATTCTGTCCATATCCAAAGCTTTTCTCTCTAACAGCATTAATAACATCATACAGGACACATGGGATTATGAGCTACGTACGCACCCGACATATGGGTAAGATTTAGCCACGGCCATCTTGCGCTATTTGCCAGATTGACAAAAATAAAGACTGACTTTTTCAATACTGCAGGTGGGCTATGTACGGATTCTGGGGTGGTATTCTCCTCATCGGAACCCTACGTCGACTCATCACCTACATCATCGAAAGCCGATTATCTCCATTGTCCACCGATCCTGAAGACCTTGGAGCAGCGGATAGTCGCGAGAAACCAACAGCAGGAACCAAGTCGCTTACATATATGTACTCACGAATCCGCAAGCACCTTACTATTCCAAGCGGTTTACCTCCGTATCACAGCCAACTCTTGTTCGGATGCACCATACCAACTCGTATCGAGTCACTCGTTATTATCTCATGTTGGATCCTCAATTTCGTTCTTTGCTGCGTAAACTACCGTGGATTCGAGGGTAACCTATAGTAAGTGCTTACACCAATAAAGCAGACTCGTGAGATATGTTGGCTAACACGTGATTGATGGAAGCTGGTCTGCGGTGTCACCTCAAATATGGCGATACATATCCGATCGAGCGGGCATCATCGCTTACGCCAACCTGCCGTTGATGTGGATGTTCAGCGGCCGTAACAATATCTTCATCTGGCTAACAGGCTGGTCATTTTCTACATTCAATCTCTTCCACAGGCATATCGCTCGCATCGCAACGTTGCAGGCCATCATTCATTCCGTTGGATACACAGTATTCTATTTCGAAATTGAAGGAGGTATGTTATTCTACATACTTTTCGTAATCTCTCTATAGAAGACCTTTGCATTAACAGGATCAAATCTAGCGGAAGGTTACAAGTTACAATGGCATGATGCTTGGTTCTACCTAGGAGCTGTGGTAAGACGCTGTTTCTGACGAGCAACTCTCCATGATCTCCGAATGCTTCATATACTGATGTCTGCCCGCTCTAGGCAACGATTGCGATGAGTATTCTTGTCTTCTCTTCCTTCAGTTGGTTCCGACGCAGGATATATGATTCCTTTCTTCTGCTCCATATCCTTCTATCCGTCGTGTTAATTGTCGCTCTCTTCTAGTACGTGCTCCCTCTTTAAGTCCACATTACGCAAGTATTCGTCGTTTACTAACCACCGTTAATTCGCAGCCACACGTCTATTTTCCTTGGGGAGTATAATGGATATCTATGGCCTCTCGTTGCTATCTGGAGCTTCGACCGCTTCCTAAGAATTATTCGAGTAGTCTACTGCAATCTCCATTTTCAACTACGCAAGAAGACACTCCATCGTAGTACCGTCACCATTTCCTACGACCAAGACGCGAATTTCATCCAGATTGATATCAACACGCATGTAAAGCCAGGGCCTGGCAAGCACTACTATCTCTACCAGCCCTTCCGCTTCACTGGCTGGGAGAATCACCCTCTAACTTTGGCCTATTGGAGCCAGTCTGCGGTAGAAACCAGCCAAAGCCAGCAAAGAGATAACACAACAGATACGCCTTCAAAAACCGCAGATGTTTCTATTGTAACACCATCCGAGGCCGGTCCGCTACATACCGCCATTGAAGGCGAATATCTCCTCTCTTTCTGGATTCGCCCATATGATGGTTGGACTCGCCATCTCCGTGACCAGTGTCTCAAGTCCCAGCCTCTATCCAAGCTCCCTTCGGTCATTACAGACACTATCCTTCTTGAAGGCCCTTACGGCATCGCAGAGCCTCTCTGGACTTTTGACGAGGTCCTTCTTATTGCAGGCGGATCGGGCATCACGGCCATGGTTCCGTACATACTTGACCACGTCGCAAGAACCGACTCGTCCAATAAATCGAGCCAGACACGCATACGTGGACTGACACTGATTTGGACCAATCCCAAAGAAGCCTTTATCCGTCGGATTGCCCAGCGTGAACTCGCGGCGGCACTTAAAAGAGACGATGTCCGGTATGAGTTTTACTGCACAGACTCTGCAAAGGTCGAGGTTGGCTCGTTACCTTCACCGTCGATAGATGAAATTCCAATTGGAGATGCCGAAAAAGGTGCTACGGAAAGCGGTGTATTAAAAGGCAAAGAGGAGACAGACATATCTGAATCGGCAGATGGTGCTGACAAGGCCGGTTCTTTGTCTATCACAATGTGCAGGCCTGATATCTCGGCAATCATTGAGAAGGCAGCGGTCTCTGCTACCGAGTCCGGATCAAGGCTTGCTGTGTTCTCTTGCGGGCCAGGTGGGATGTCCGATCACGCAAGAGAGGCGACGTATCGGGTTATACGTCAACAGAACAATTCTGTTGAGTATTTTGAAGAATCATTCGGGTGGTAGTGATGATTCGGGAAGTGCCGAGCACAATCCAAAAGTTTTGTTATTATTTAGGCTCTCATGATACTAGTCTTACACGTCATCTTCCGGTGTATCATAAACAAATCCGTGTAAAGTATTTTGAAACAATTGTAAATGCATGTGATGCTATGAATATCGTGATGTGACTCTAACCTTCCTACTCGCTGTGATAGTACATACTTAGAGACATGCTCAAAGACATACTCAAACGGACAATAAGCTACATCAATCGCCATATTAAATGAAAATCCTTCAGGTTGCCCCGTTGTCACGAAAAGCCATTCAGCAATGATATACGTAGAGCGCATGGGCGGCCACACAAGGAAAAAGAACGAATCCATTCAAAAATCTCCATTCAAATCAACTCCAACTAGAGATCATTTAAGACACAAGACAGGTCGTACTCCAACGAGCTACTCAACGTATAACCTACAAGCTGTTCTACATGATATATCATCAGCCCTGAACCCACTGCGCCACGATCACGGATGTCGTATAGACCATGGCAACGGCTCCAACGACTATCGTCAAGAGATCCAAGCACTTCTCCCGCTTACTCTCAGCAACACCCTTGAGATGCAAATATGCTGGGTACATGTAGACCAAGGGAATGCAAGCAAAAGACCCCGTCAGAGCCACAAACTTATCCAAATCACTTGCGCCAACAACCGCAACACCGATACAGACAGCAATGGTCAGTGTTCGAAGGCCATTCTTCTTCCACTTGATTGCCGCGCTCTTCTTGCCCGTGGCTCGTTCCCCAAAGATTGACGTCTCCAGGATACGCACGGCAGGAAACAGCTGCACAGGCTCACCTGCTAGTACGGCCAGTGAGTAGAGAAATTGAACTGAGTTGACAACAGGCGAATCCTGGGGGAAATTGGAAATGATCTGGATCTTGGTATTCTCGCCGAAGGTTGCGTAGCATAGTGCTCCAACCGACGTAAAGATGGCCGTGATGAGAAACATGACGAAGTAGAGCAGGCCTTTGAAATGATGGGGCTTCTTCATGCTTGACTGGATCGGAAGAATCAAGCCGATTCCTTCAAACGTAAAGATGGCCGAGCCAAGAGTCAGAGGAAAGTCCCTTGGGTTGAACAGCTTAACGCTTGGTTCGATGCCGTGCCTAGCTAGACTTCCAATATCGTAGTACCAGATATACACAAGCCCAATGAGAATGAAGACATCTGCCACCAGTGCAACAGGACCTAGCTTGGAGATATTGCGAATCAAAGCAAGAGGGATGAGGGGGAGAAACTGAAGCCCAATTAGCCCTGACACTCCAAGATGGCCGACGCCCTTAGTGACGGCGTCGAGGAAAGAGAAGAGATTTTCTGCCGTGAAAATGATGCCGGAGCAAACAAATCCAAGCTGAGAAATAGCAATTGATGCAAGTATCAAGCTTCGGAACCGAGGACCGACGATGGCTTCACCAATCTCTCCGTAGCCACCGCCATATTTGTGACGGCAGTCAAGCAGTAAGCGGAAGCAGAAGCAATTGAGCAAAGATACGGAAATCAGCGCAATCGACGAGAAGAGGATACCTCCATTGCGGAAGGCCTTGGGAAGGAACAAGATGCCCGTGCCAATAAAGGCCTTGATGAGCGTGAAGAAGGTCTTGACGGTGCTAGCGTCACCCTCACGGCTAAGGCGTCGAGAGCTCTTCCGCCGGTCGGCTTTGGGCCGCGCGAGCAGTGGACGATGTTCATCATCAACGGCTTCTTCAGACTCCTCAGTGACGACAGATTCGTCCTCATCTTCATCGGTATCCTCGAGGGCCTCACCGGCAAAGCTGCCGTAGAGGTCGAGGAAATCGACAAAGGTGCTGGCCACAACGAGTCCACTTTGCTGCCGCTGTCGAGCCCGGCGACGCAGGTGCTGCCGCCTGAAGCCACCCGGTTCAAGTTGTTCAGCATGTGACAATTCACCAGCCGGGCCCAGATGGGGCGATGGGTGATGAGAAAACGTATTGGATCGGCGACTTGAGCCGGCTCGGGCCTTGATCTTGAACATGTCGCGATGGATGTCACCGCCTTGGAGCTTTAGCGAAGACTCTAGCGTCTCCAGAGTCGGGGTTGCATCACTGCTTCCCTCTTGTCCGTTGCCATTGTTAGGAGCAGCTAGCTCTGTCGCAGAGGCCGCGGGAGAGTCAAAGAGATCTTGGCTCGCCGATGAAGGAGCGACAATGGGCTCTACGACGACCTCGATAGGCTCGGTAGCCAGGCTCACTTCTGGGTCGGCAGAATAGCCCTCTGGCAGATGGCGGTCGAGAATAGCAGCCTGACGATGGACGCCGTCGGAACTGCTCGGGCTGTCGACTGAAGCCCCGACGAGATCCGGCTCGGACATGATGTCGATGACGACGTTGTTTCACCGCTCCACACTGGGGAAGCACAGCACAGCGCCGCTGGCAAGGGTCTGTAGATTGATAAGAAGACAATTGGATAGAGGAAATGTTAGCTGGCTAGTCCGTAAGCCATCCCAAATAGATCGTGGACAAATGCACGGCCCATTGAGCGGGAAGTTGGTGATGGTGAGAGAGCGAAGGAGATGGAATCGTGAGACTTGGATGACTTCAGTTGGGGGTCAAACAGCTACGGAGGATCGGCAGGCGGATCGCCGGATTGAAGGAGCAGAAACCGGAGCTCGGTGTACCGCCAGGTATCCGCTACTGTCCCGCAGCAGCAACGGTACCCTATCGATACACTGAGGCCCCGCTTTGTTCAGTGAGACTTCAGCGACTGCAGGCGGCTGAAGCGCTGGGGCTGAGTGGCAAATCTGGTCTTTGCAGCGCTGTGATTCGTCAAGGCGACTACTGCCGTCTGCGGGCGGGACCTGAGGAGGTGTCGCTTGGGTAGCATCTCTCGTACCGGCTACCTGTATTGCTACCCTGGAAAGGACGGAATGAAACCGATGATTTCATCGTGCCGACATACTTAGGTAGAAAGATGGCAGGATTGTCTTACATGCAACAAATAATAGTAGTGAATGACCAATTTGTTTGCGGCTTTGAACCGCGCTCTATGTCATCCAAGACAATTGTTTGCGTCACAGTGTGGGATTCTGTGTTTCGGCTCAGCATCTATTACCCTGAGATCCGAGCAACAATGTCCAATGCCACGCCAGTGGCTTCTTGCATTAAACTTATGCTTCATAGATCAGCATTCGAGATTTAACTGGAGCATGGCTTTGGCGAGACTAAATTCTTATTCTTTACTCCGTACAGATTTGCGAACCGGTAATGGCGAGTATATCTCGTACATGGAATGATTTATGGCTATTTACAATCACTCATTTACTGCGGCGGATACGCAGGAGATGGGCGATATGTGAGTATTCTTCAAAATTCAATCCTCTCTACTAAGAGATATTGAACTATTATCCCCGTGCTCTTCTTACATTGTACCATTTCGCTTTTCACTGGGCTCACTCCGTAGAGTTAACTAATAAGATCTGGTCAAATCTGAGACAGTCGAGGTCGCCTCGGAAAATCTTGGGGGCCGATCCATAGCAACATCCTCCTACTAGCTGTTGAGCTGACAGTTACACTCACGTAAAATGAATGAGAGTGATGTTGTTCTGACATCGGGTCAAGCTATTATCTCCAAGATTTAGATGACTCTGAAGCTCACCTCAAGTTAAATAAAGCAAGCGGGACAGCACGGAAACATCTGCATTTTCATGATTCAATTACTACCAATTGAAGCTTCTGCCATAAAGGCGCCGAAATCTCACTTCGCAGAAAAAGGAACAAAATACGGTAGCGATTGATCCATCTCATACTCACCGTCTTTTAGGCAAATAAACTTTAGGATAGCAACGATAAAATAAGCTAGGCCATGTGTCTTGAATGAAGTGTGTGAACCCTACCTAGCATTATAACAGAGCTAGCCGTAGAGGATTATAACTTGGAGTTTGTGATGAATCAGGACGCCGGAGTGCATGCGCCGTCATGTGACACTTAGCTGTAATCCCCCGTCTCAACGCCATCAAGGGAGACATCAGCCCCCTTGCATCGATTTAGCGTCCAAGACCCAAACACCATTTTTTGAAGACAGTGGTTGTTGATAACGAACGTCGTTTGTCGGCCGAACTGAGGCCTGCCCACCTACATCTACAAGCACGTGGTCACCAATGACCTGGTAGTTGGTCCTCGAGCGGTGAATGCAGGCCACAAGCGATGCATTCAATCTAAGCTGTCTACTATAACGGAATATTGAGGACAACAAATTGTGTTCTATATGATGGCGAACATATATGGGAATAATCTGGGGCTACCGATCCAGCAAGAGAAAACCCAAAGCCCATTTACCAAATCAAGAACAAGCCAACACATAGGAGTAACATTATGCTATAGCGTAGTGACTTATCCTGTTCTACTTTGTTTGTGTTTTTGTGCTTCATCGATCAAGTAAGTCCTACGCAGGGAGAGCATAGGCCTAGCTCGGGCCCAGTTAGAACACATTGATCCCTCATATCAATCGAGTCAGCACGGCCTTTGCGTTGTGCGACAACGGCCCCCTTGCATAATACCTATAATACGGCATTGTAGTACAAGTCTTTGTGAGATAGGGTGTGTGGACCTCATTTTTGACATTGCGGTACACACACTCCATATGGCTGAGTGTTACAGACCACAAGCCCACAATTTACATATCAAAGCGCAGCCGTGGTATCGAGATTCCCTCCGCAATGTCTCCAATTTCAATTCTCGAGCCGAACTTAATGCTGGCCTGGCCTCGGGATCAAACTTTGCTCCGACGTTACTCTGAAAGGAAAGCATTCAATGCGTCTCAAGTTGCTGCCTGCCCTTAACAGCAGCCGGCCGATGAAGCTAGCTTGAGAAGAGAAGCTGAATCGGCCAGTAGCATCGGGGGGGGGGGCTGGCTGGGTGTATGTCAAGCAAGGGCGGCCCAGGTTAATCTAAAAGACAATCTAAGCCTGTCAGACTAATGCAGCTCATCCGAGGTGTGGGACGGGTCGGATGGGGATTTGACAGCTGTGAGGACGATCGGACCGGCGATTTTGCTCCTGTTATTGTGTTCGGGGCGATCGGAACACTCAATCTCGCCGCTACTTTGTTGTCCTTCCTTTCTTAGGTATTCGACGGGATTTGACCACGTAGTGATTTGTATTTGTCTTGGGTTTAATTTTCTGGCTTAATACTCGATGCTCCGATAACGCCCGAGAGCCATGGCTGAGCACTTTTCTTTTTCCTGCGGTCTCGGATATGCATTAAGTTGTTGCTCCTCCAATTAGGAGATCGAATTCAATTTCAGCTGCGTCAGTGCGCATGCCCGGGCAGCGATATCCGGGCAATCTGAGAGCTAATATTTTTGGTGTGGCTGGGAAGAGCTGACAATCAAGAAACTGGGGTTGATTTCTAGCCGCCTCACTTACAAGGGTCAATGTCTAGCTTACATATACTCCGTACTCATGCTACTTAATATTTATGCAAACTTGTTTTGGGGGTACGCGTTTGGATAAGCTGGAGTTGTTGAGCTGGTCTAGATTCAAGTCTTTCTTTTTTTCTCTTTCTCGTTTTGCCACTTCCAAGGCTGTAAGCGAAGGACAGTTGAGGCTTAAGCCATATAAGCTGCTCAGCCGCAACATGGATATCGATCTACTTTGTCTGCCAGGGCTCTCGGGCTTTGGCCGTCGACCTTTCCGTCTTCCAAGGCCAGGCAGCGAATAGAGAGCGTTGGTTACCGTCGTGACATCATGGGATGTTCTTATGCGCTGGTGGCTGTCAGGCATGCCGGAGACCGCAAAATCGCCCCGCTATGATGCTACTCAGCTCATACGACTTGTAAGACTCGAACGATCGCGACCATCTTGTATTTGAACCTGAATGAATCGGCGATGATCCACTAACTCGCTCCTACAAGGTTATTCCTTTCCATGCCGAACCCAATCGCTAGTCTAGACTATCTTTCGACGCAAGGTGCGGGTAGGACTAATACCCGTAGTATTGATGACTGCGAGTAATGACCATGATGGAACCCTGCGGATCGCGGGAGTTTCTTCCGGTCCCAATGGATGAATTTTACGTACAACCTCGATTATCAGACCGACTGCTGTATACACAGCTGCATCTATATGCCAATCGCCAAACTGAGAACCTATGTACGAGTCATCTCATCTCCCAGAGCAGTGCTTCCGGACAGCCGTGTATGCATATCGCTGTAGTGGTACATCGTATTTATGCAAGTAAAATGAAGATCCTCAAGTAAACGTAAACGAGTGCGGAAGTGGTATCGTTCTTTTTTTAGAAAATTGGATTTAGTGCGTGTTAATTACTTGGACTGAGATCGAAAGGCTAAGCTCCATGACATTGTCTCAGTCTAGCTAAGATGGGCATCCACGTGAAAACACAAACAAGTGATGAATCAAACTCTCTTCTCAAGATTGGAGTAGGAATGGGATAAAGACAAGGACATGGGTGAATAAGATGTGAGAAAGTTGGTAGGACATGCACTCTCCCTTCATGTTTCCTTCTTCTGCAGGGGGTTTCTTGTCTCTGCTTAGTAGGTAACCGTCTCTTCGCTAGAACTATAGTATGGTTTAAGAAATATATACCTCACATAAAAAGTAAACAACTTGAACACAATACCGCCCTAGAGTTACTATCGATAGATGAAATGCATAAATAATATGTGTGTTCCGTAATTCATCTCATAAGTCAGCAGTTATTCGTAGCACAACTCATTTACTATAATTGTCTCCGAGATTAGCCATAAGGTAAATAAAGCCAGTCACAACTCTTCTTTAGCTTATTATATAGCTAAGCCAGCCACATTCTCCCTTTAGAAGGATCCCGGTCTCATTCAACTAAGACATCAGTCTATCAATAGGCCAATAAGCTTTAACGCGGGATCATAATATCTAATGATGGTTATCCAGCTTCCCTGTTTTCAGCTCTACACTATGTTAAAAGCACATCCGGACCTATAGATAGCCAAAAACACTCACGTAAGGGAGACGCAATACTACATGGGGTCACAAAATAAGCGACAACTCATTTGCTGTAATTGTCTCTGAGATTAGCCACAAGGTAAATGGAGCCAGTCATAGCTCTTCTTTAGCTTATTATATAGCCAAGCCAGCCACATTCTCCCTTTAGAAGGATCCCGGTCTTATTCAACTGAGACATCAGTCCATCAATAGGCCAATAAGCTTTAACGCGGGATCATAATATCTGATGATGGTTGTCCAGCTTCCCTGTTTTCAGCTCTACACCATGTCAAAAGCACATCCGGACCTATGGATAACCAAAAACACTCACGTAAGGGAGACGCAATACCACATGGGGTCACAAAATAAGCGACAACTCACTTGCATCGCCAACACAGGCCGTAACTTGATCAGACTGCAGGTCTGCAGAGAAGCAAGGAAATCAAACGACCAGGGGAGTTGTCAACATAAACTCTTGACTCCAGTCGAATATAAATATCCTCCATTATCTCTCTCCAAGCTCATCTCTTTTCCTCATCACTCACACTCACAACTCAGCATCCAACAGCATCTCCAAACCTCTACTCCTTAATCTTTAATCATCTAGTCTTCAAGACAAACCCCCAAAACATCATTCAAAAATGAAGTTCCTCACTGTTGCCACCCTCCTCTTCACCGCTGTCCTTGCCGCACCAAGCAACTACTACCCTCCTCCCCCTCCTCCTACCTATACCCTGCCTGCAGGTGGCAACGGCAACGGTAATGGCAATGGACATGGCAATGGCAATGGTAACGGCAACACCAACGACGCCCCGGTATGCCCTACCGGCCTCTATAGCAACCCCCAATGCTGCTCTACCCTCGTTCTTGGCATCGTCGGGCTCGACTGCAGCACTCGTAAGTCTACTGCTTTGCCTTCAATTTGAAACTCTTTGATGCTTACAAAAGTATAGCTACCTCTGTCCATGATCCCTCCGCTTTCAAAAATGCCTGTGCTGCTAAAGGCGCGCAGGCAGTTTGCTGTGTTCTCCCCGTTGTAAGTGACTTTTACGAGGACAAATTCTCTTCACCATATTGATACTAATGATCTTGAAGGCTGGTCAAGACGTCCTTTGCCAGACGGCTATTGGCGCCTAGAGAAAGCGTCGCTCTCGAAAATGACTACCGAGGTCCTTTGATGATGAATGTGTTGTTGCACATGGCACGGATCTACGGTACCAACACTGGACACTGACTTGAACATATGAGTCGTGAGCTTTTGGATAAATGGAATATGACGGTTACTTATCTTCTACATGAGTTGGATATAATATGTATACACATGACGTACTTAGGCATAGTGTAATAATCAACTACTGGGTAGTTTCACACGTCTTGACCATTTCGTCTTTCTCACCTGAATGTTACAATTTACATACATAAAAACTTCTCTCAGTGTTTCGGTAATTCCCTATATACATGACAACCCCAGACAAACCAGAGTCCTTCGCATTAGCCTTTCTCGGCGTCCAATTCGAATCTGAGAATATCCCCCGCCTTTCCATATAATAGACAAACTCCTAGAAATGGCCATGTTCCATCATAGCGGGTATCGTTGTGTAAAACCGGTTGATGCGCTGTCCCAAAGATTGTTGTAGCCCCCTCCATTAATGCTCTCGTTCGTCAACCGTTCTACGGCTTGCTCTCGGCTCTCTCATTTCAAGGTACAAGTAATTGGTCAATGTTGACTCTCTCCAAAAAGCTAATGTGGCCGAATCCAACCCAGTGCTGCGCAAGTCTGTTTGGGCTGATGAGGATCAACTGGCTCTCAATGAACTTATCTGTGTCAACGCCCAGTTAGCTCGTGCCGAAACCAACATAATGGCGAGTTGTAATCTTTTGCTCACCTCTGAGAAATCCAGTGGCTGCAATGTGCCCTTCGCTCTTTACTATTCTGGCCCCGGAGAACTGAGCGTCTGTGGCCGTTGCAACGTAGCCATCGGGCCCCAAGTCGTTGGCCACAAAGGTGTATTCGCCCCTCGGAATATTTGGGTCGCCTGTCAACTTGATGCCTTCCAAACGGCCTCTGTATACCCTGGCATCGAGCCTCTTCTGCTCCCACACTTCGTCGCTATCATTCTCGTCGCGGAAAATACCCAATTCGGTATCTGTGGCCGGGGGATCGTCAGGCTGGTGGATTAACAAGAATTCGCAGCCGTGTGCGCTGTAGTCACCGACCCAAATTCCTCTCCATGGCTTTTCTCGAGTCGGCGTGTACAGAGCTGGGTCAAGAGTCGAGTACGTGATGAGCTCCTCGCCAATATGCACACCAAGGCTTCCAGCGCCAGCACCAGCCGCTTCTTCCTCCACAATCTCCTCCACCAGGGCTTGAAGAGCTCCAGCGAGGCCACCCTGGCCCATGAACCTGAGAGGGCTGGGAGTGCCCGTCAACTCCATCCACTGCCGAATGCAGAAAGTCTGGTCCGAAACTTGCGATCTGGAACGAGGGCGGTCTCGCGCAGCAAGGGCAGCGATGCCCCGGCGTGCCTGAGCGCCTGATACATAGTGGTTTGCCGGGATGACTGGCGACGGCCACATGTTGCCGTAGGGGTAGCCCAACTCCACCCTCTGATCCGCCTCCTCAGCAGTCAACGGCTTTGTGAGCAGAAAATTGCTAAACATGCCACCTAGCCGTTCGTCCAAGGCCATGGGCATCTCGTCGGCAAAGCGGTTAGCGCCGGGTCTTTTGGAGAAGCCTCCATCCTCCTGCCTATCTCGGACGCGGAACTGCAGGACCGGCTTGTCGAGATGCAGCCTCACAACCGGCTCGAAGCCGTGAATAATAACGTCTTGATCTGCCGACCAGTTCTCAAAGGTCGATTGGTTGCTCACCGCCACCATCTGGTAGCCCTCGATGCAGCTGCGCCTAGGGTCATAGCGCACCAGGATAAGCTTTCCCGTCAGATCTCGATCACAGAACCAGATCTTGTATTTTGGCAAAAACCACAGCCGGTCGTGGGCTGCATACAGCTCGCGGTAGCTCTTGCATGCGCCGGCACTGGTGACTTGGACCGTGGGCACGTTTTGCTGGACGAGGGGCTGCCAGAGGAGATCAGAGAGGGCATGTTGGCGCAGAGCATGGCATGTCGCAGAAACCGAAGCGAGGTCGTATGCGGAAAGATGAGAGAGGATCGTGTCAATGATCTCCGGGGGTGTGGCCAGCAGTGGAGGGGGTTTGCTGGAGTTTGATAAGTGGTGGCCTGACTGGATCTGGTCGTCGTCATCAGCGTGCTCGGAACAGCCTGAATCGGTTGCGTCTGCGTATCCATGTCCACATTGTTAGATTAATTGAATTTCATTATAGATTGCTGAAAAAGAAGGATAGAAAAGAAAAAGGGGAAAAGTGAAAAAAGGAGAGATGGAGACTCGGATCGCACCAGTGCAGATACGATGCAATACAGAGGCACAGATTGATGTGGTGTGGTGGGAACTTGGAGAGGCTGCAGTACCTTGCATAGTAGCGTCGTCACGCCGTTGGGCGCTGGGCTGAAGCTGAACCGGAGATGGCCTCAGTAGTTTTGCACGGCCCAAGGCGCCATGTTCCGCAACGCTTCGGAGCAGCTCGAGGTTGTCTTCGTTTTCGGCGTCGACTCTGCCGTAGATGACGGGCGCATCGGTTTCTGCAGTTGAAGCTGATGCTGAAGATGAAGTTGCCGCTGCTGGACCTGGAGCTGGAGTCGAGGTTGAGCTCAGCGATGACGACGCCGCACTCTCGCCCATAGCCTTGCCGCTAGCCAGCCCTAACAAGTCCATGGCGCAAGAGCTGGGCCAAGTCGAAGTTTAATAGGTGATTGATTGGGAAGAAAAATTTAAATCAAAGACTGTGCTTTTCGAATAAATATGGCGGGCAAGTACTGGTACCTCGCAAAGGGTTTTGCAAGGTGCAGGCTTGAATGTAACTCGGAAAGTCGGTATAGTGGACGAACTGAATGCCGCGCTGTTACTAATTGAAGATACCAGTATTTCGTTTGCGAGGTGCTGCTGTAACTAACTCCGTGCCTGTCGCCTGATTGACCGGTGATGCTGTAATACCTGACCGACCTATGCTGGTACCTTAATTAGCAGCCCAGAGCAGCAACGGGGAGCTACCCAACGGCCCCCCTGGCAAATCGAGGTTCCGTCGGCTTCCAGAATGGGTTGAGATTCTGACCATCAGAGCGGGCCAGCAGCGGAAAATCAGGGCACTTCTGCACCTCGTTTCGTCCCTGGCTTGATTGACTCGATTGTCCGCCCAGGGTCAGGATATTCAGTGCATCGAGCACAGACCTCAGCAAGGTCTCAGCGGGAGCCGGTACTTTGTCGACGCAGCGTAGCACCCAGGCGCAGAGAGTCCATCAGGGTCGCAGCAGCTGCAACTGAGCGACCAGGAGTGCGCTTTGCAACGGGCCAAGCAATGAAATAAGGATGGAATGGAAAATTTTTTATCTATAGCGAGGTGTGTGTATGGGTATGGGTATGGATATGGGGCATCAATCAGGTCATCACAAGGCTTGGTTGGGCGAGTCTGAATAAAGAATTGGTGATGCGACTAGGGCCGTCGCTTTTTTTATACGACCGCCACGCCTGTTTCCTCCGTACTACTCGGCCGAGGGACGGAGCCCAAACCTCCAAGCACGCAGCCTTCAGTCTCCGATGACGCTGGGCAACGGTGAGGTATTCTAGTACGCTCGTACACCGAAATGCCAGTGACCGTAGTGGCTGCCTGGCGTCTGAGATGGTCATGATCCCTATTCCCCAAAGGGAGGCCATCCCCGATGCTGGCTCTCTCGCTGACTCCGGAGCCTTTCTGCAGCTATGCCGAGTGTGTCGGTCCCGTACTGTACTTGTACCTACCTGGTCATGGGCAGGGAGATACGATACGATGGATGCTTGTTGTACGCAGGACAAGCACTCTATCCATACCTTACAGAGCCCAACTAGCATTTGCACCCCCCCTCCAGAATAGCCGTCGACTTGAGCCGGGACTGCCCAAGTCCCACGGTGACACAATCCTGGCTGCTTCTCCACACTCTCCGCCGGCGCCGCCGCTTCATCACTAGGCCTCCGGCGTGCTCTTCCGGGGCGTGAGGTGAGGTTGTGCGATATTTACTTGCCGAGTGCCCGTACGACAACCAAGGAAGATGGTGTGCTGAGGCGGTTGGCAGGGTTGCGTAGCCGAGGGCGTATTTGCCGTCAATCAGATCCAGCTCCGGCACCCAAGGACGGGCACCCAATGCTACCAAGACGTCTCTTCATGACCTGACAGAGCTTGATCTGCATCACGAAACGCGCCAAGCGCTTCGGGGCAGCCTACCAGCGTTCGTCTCATGTGGTTGTTTGTGTAATGGATGCCGAAGCCAGTAGCTTACCCAGCCAGGTAGCGCCGAATATAAAAAAACCTACCTTAGTCGTACATACATGTAAGATTGTGAATGCCCGCATGTGTATCATTGACGCAACATGGAAGCGGCTCTGATCCTGCATCCCCCCGTATTACATACATGAAGCTCGTACCTATCTTATTAGAGGAGCAGTAGCATTAAGCCAAGATGCTCCAAGCGAGGTCAGAAATCAACAGAGGCCCGCGGAAGAGACGCTTAGTGCGCGGACCGGTCAAGTTCTCGGGGCCATGATCCAACACGGTAGGCAACAGTTTGCGATCCATCAGCCGGACTGCGATCCCTATTTGGTATCTACTTTTGTACTTTTGTAACTGTTGTTGTGTGAAAATACGTGTACCCAGTAGCCAGGCTGGTGCTTGTCACGCCGGGCTGACATAGTTACGAGGACATGTGCCTTGGCAAAGAGGACAAGCAACCAACGAAACCGACATGTACAGATCTAGATCGACACTTTAAGCATCTTACCCACTGTCTCACCTCCCAAGGTCAGTGGGCCAAACAGCGTCGGCGAATCTCGAGGCATTAGGCCCTCAGGCTAGCCGTCGATTAGTGTGTGCAGAGAACCAACGCGGCCACTTCTAGACGCACTTGGTCTGCTTTGAGAAACACCACGATATAAGTCAACGAAGCAACATCCGCGACTAGACGCTCACCTGCTCTTCTGGGCCTAACCCAGCTTCCCATTCCAGCGGGATCGTGCACTAGCCGCAGGGAGACTTTCCATGTGCCAACAGGCATTGCTTCCCGGGGTTTGCCTGCCAGGGTTGAGGCAGCGAGAAGCACCAGCCGACCAACCAGGCGGGCGGACGCAAGAGTGTGCACTTGGCTTTTGCCGGGGATGCCAAAAGCCCCGAATCGACCTCCCTATACGAGTAGGTAACATTACCACTAGAGCGGATGGAATGGGGACCAAGCCTTGCAACGACGACGAGCACAGTCCACTGCTTAGCTCGACACCCCTTCTGTCTCGTTGATTGTATATGCTCTTGCGGACCAAGCACCAACAAGCAACTGGAGAGGGTTTTTCGGCTGACAATTCCGACTGCACCCCATCCACCAACCAAACCAACCCGCGGCCAGATGTCGGAGCCCTACAAGCACGGCACGAAATGCAAGAGAGACAAATACATACATGTGCCGCACTCCGTAGTGCGTACTCCGTACATACGTCAAGAATCACCATTGCGGCAATTGGTCGCCGCATCGCATCACCCAAATCCGTCATCGGAGTCAGATCCAATGTCATTGGTTGGACAGCACACGACCAAGTGAAACGGTACATGTGTAACCGCTCGGCGATATTCCATCCTCTATCGCCCGGGCGAGAGGGTATCTTTGTCGAGCATCAGCAGCGAAAGTTCCTTCGTCTTCCCCTTGTAGAAAGCACAGCGGTTCGCCGTTCGAGATTTACCGTAGCATTGTCGACTGGTCAAAGCTCGCTGCCTTGGATGCTTAGCTCTTTTGTCCAGGGGTCCGGTTTGACGGGGTGGAGCCTGGCAAGCAAGGAGATTCATGCTGGGCCGGGTTCTTGTGTCTTATTCTTCGAGCAGTTGGACGGACTGTTCAAAGGCCCTTCTGCTAGCAGCTTCGTATAGATACAGGGAACAAGTCATTCCGTGCCGTCCCTTTTATTGAGAATTTGTCAAATGGCTATTGCGGATACCCGCTGGCGCATCTTGTTGGCGCTTTGCGGGGGCATGATCCTGGACAGACGACGTCTAGCATCTGCACACCTTGGCATTTTTCGGGGTAGCTCTGCAGTTCAACAAGGAACGGAGAACGGATACTGTAAAAAGGCCTCGTAGATTTAGCACAGCGCCCAGTTTTCCGCGGCACGATGGGGCGTCACCCCGGTAAGGCGCTGTTGAAGTTCAGCAGCGGAAGAAGCTCGTGTCGTGCGTGGACTAAATATGCCGCTTCAGTTGTTTTTGGGCAAGCATCAAATCTGCTGTAGATTAAACGAGCACGATTTATACACCCATGGCTGCCCCTCTTTTCGCTTTCTTGTTTTCTTTTCTCTTCTTTCTTTCTTTCTTTCCTTTGTCTCTCTCACTTATTCAACATTTCATAATCCATTTCAAATATGAATGATTAAGAGGTGTTGTTTGGTTATTGGGACAATCTACTCCCTGCTAGGCACTTGTGAAAGTTCCATCTGCATTGGGCTCAATGCGCACCTGTACTGTAGGTACTTTGTACATGTACCTAGATAGGCATTTTGGTAAGGCAGGAGCCCAAGTAAGCGGAAAAACAAATCCGCCGACGATCGCGATTTGCTGGGCTGCCATGCGTCCCTAATCTATTACCACCTTATGTAGACTTCGGCTCTCCTGAACATCGCTCCATCACTGCGGCTTTGCGTTTGCCATCATCGCGGCCTCGACACGTCATATCCCTTGCCTCGGCCTTACTGGAGCCGCCTGGGCGATACCCCAGCCGCTGTATCGAGAAAGCCCGCTCAGTCGCATCTCAACCTCCATCAATCTCCTTATCCAGCGCTTGGCTACAGATCTCATCCTCTCCATACCACATATTATTATTAAACCGCCTCTATATGTTCCGCATCCTCGCACCACGTCACTGGCTCGCCTTCCTAGTTGGGCCTCGTCTTCCCCCCTTGTGTATCTTCGTTGCATTCATTCGCGGCACCCCCAGCCTAAACGAACACGCATTTGCGGGCACACACGCACAGAAAAAGAGGGCAACTCGGACGTCTTCTGCGCTAGGAAACTGAACTGACACGCATTGATACTGCGACTGGTCCATGCCGCCAAGAGTGACAGTAATCCCACCTCCGTCGTTGAATGTCTTGGGCCATGTCGTCGCTACTCCCCATCATCACAGAGATCCTGCCCATGATACTGCCTTCTACCACTGAGGTGACCCATGCGGACCAGCTCAAGCCCATGCTGGATAATGAAGGACGCTCCATCCGAGATTCCGCCATTGTCGGTAAGTGTGACAAGATGTGTGCTTCGGGTGAGTTTTCTCCTTGGCCCTTGGAAGAAGCGTGCCCAAAACTGCGTTGTAACTCTCTATTTTTTTCTCGGACAGTCCTTCGCATACCCCCCAACTCTTGGTCCCCAATTCACCACAATAGCGAGCAAGGTAGGTGCCACATCCCGCTCTCTCTCCCTCTCTCTAGGGCCCTCTCATCCCCCTCCCCCTCTCAAATGCTTTCCCTTGGTTGGTTGGTTTCGGTTTCTGATAACGCCGTCAAGACGCCATCATTAACGTGGTGTCCGGTACCGGGACACTCGTCGTGAAGGAGGGCTTTAAGGGCGAATTGCGACATCACGAGCTTCATCCGGGAGACTTTGCATTCGTCCCGGCTTGGACGGAGCACCAGGCCCGGAATGATTCAGACCAGGATCTTGTTTGGGTCATCACTCAAAGCGGCCCCCGTCCGGTTGGAGCCATCTTGACTGATTGGGGGGGTCAGGAGATCAAGACTATTGAGTGATTCGTTATCGAGATTGGCTCCCGCCTCCGCCAAGACTGCTGCAATGCGTTTCAGCTCTTGCGACTCTATATACTGGTATATTCCGCTAATCCTGCACTGCAATATGATCTGATAAGCCGGATTACCTTTTGACAGTCTGCTGGGGTGTCGAATATCTGCGCATGATCTAAATTGGGGAACATGAGCACCTCCACCTCGGCTGCCTGATTAGCACCTTGAGCTTGGCTTATTCCCGCCACTCCAAGATCAGTCAAGTATTGCGCAACACTAGAGGTGTTGACGAGTATGTCCCTGCCAGCCAAACAGACGGCCACCTTCCGACGATCCCTCGGGTCAGCATTTCTAAAGTCTTCCTTCCATATGATGTTCTCCCGCCAGAAGAAGTGACGGCCTAGACAGCGTGCCACGCCTGGATCCGTGCTGGCGAAATACCATAGCATCCACTCGTTGGCTTCCCGGGGCTTTCTGCGAGTGAAGTTGTAGGCGACATCGGGGAGATGGAGCATCACCGTTACCGGATCGATTAGCACGACGGACGTGATCATATGCCCGAGACTCTGCGAGTGGAGCATATGGGTGGTTTGCACTGATCCATATGAGTGTGCCGTGACTGTGAACTTGTCCCACTGGTGATGTTCCAATATCTTGGCCATTTGACGCAGAAACTCGGCCTTACCCAGAGGCGGGGAAGTCAGTCGAAAGGATACGGGAAGAATCTCCACAGCAATGACCCCAATACCCTGCCCACCACCAACATCTTTAGCTGCATGTATGTTTGCAAGGAAGTCGACATATGTCCAAAGCCCAACTCCAATGCCGTGGAAGAATACAACGGGGTTGCAGTCCTTGGATGCATGAGGCCGGTACCAGTAGCTCAGCTGCGGAGCACGCGACCGCCGGCTGGTGAATATCTCCTGCGGGCGCGGTGGGAACGTTGCAAGAGCTGCGACGGGTCCTCTGCCATAGAACTTGAACCCATTCCATGAAAGGGCCAAGTGTGCGGCCTGATCCACAAGATATATGACCAAGTACCATGTGAGTGATCTATATGTTACCTCGACGTCATCCAAAGTCAGTCGTATGCACTTGGCCGTACCTCGGCCATCGTGGAGAGGGTGTCCCAGTCTCTCTTCAATCTTTGTGATGAAGCTATCCAAATCTCGCGCATCAGCGTCGGAGTGGCCGCCGTTGCTTTCGACGTCTTCCCGCGCCTGGTCGAAGAAACCCCAGAGGAGGAAATCGCGCAGGTTGTCTCGGCGGATATCCTTCAACTCAGCTCCGAGGAACCACCACCGCAGGTACACCTCCATGGACTGAACATTTGCCAGGCATTGGTTGAAGAGAGCCCATCTTTCCTCCGACGTCAGGGGTGTAGGGTGCACAGCTTTGCGGTTCAGCTGGTGCATATACGGAAGGTAGATGAAGCAGAAGAACGAGATCTCGGCCAATATCAGACCCCATAGGACCTGAGCTGCACTCGTCTGGCGCGCTTGTTCCCAGCCGTACCAGTAGTATACAGCCGCTAGGGCGGTGGTGTAAATGAACGGCGTGTATCGGAAGACGACGATGAAGAGGCGGATGAGGAACCGGCCTCTCACATTATTGCTTATCATCGTTTCGCGGGGGGGAGAGCTCCAAGCTGGACGACGCCACCAGCTACCACTTGGAGAAAAGTATATCGATGTGACGGGGTGACAAGGTGGGATAGGTATCCTCCGATTTTCTCAAAAACTCTGTTTGTCCATGCTGATACAGTTAGAAAGAGTGGACGAGGCCTGAATTCAACTTTGTGTGCCCGAGAACTTTGGCAAACGGGGCCCATGAGCTTCCGATTGGGCATGACGTCAATGTCACCCCAGTCACAAAATTTGGTGCAGAAATACATGGACCCTGGGCCGACGGGTGTTGGTGGGACCCAGCATCGGCTTGGGAGGCGCAAGCCCATAATACAATGAGATTGCGCGCTCGAATGTTGGGACAAGATTTACTTCAAAACTTGGTATTTACTGATCAGTATGTAATTTCTTCTTTTTTCTACGCTTAAGAGGTCGATATTTGCATCATGTAACTGGGTTGGTATTGTATGTACCGGGTTGATTTCTGCCTCGGGATCTACCGAAGGTCAATCAGCACATGCCATCATATTCACCTCGCTTGGTCAACACCTGACACCGAATACGTCAGACTTTCCAGAGCTCCATCGATTCTCAAGCCTTGCTTTCATATGCACATGCTTCAACTAGATTGAACTTTGTTGCTTGAGTCAACTACTAACAACGTTGGGAACCAGAAGCAAGAATGAAACTGCTTGAAACCCGGCCGGTCCACTTCCGCATCCTGAGTTAATCGCAGCAACAAACGGCGCATAATACGCCTGTCTGGTAGCCTATGTCGTTTGTTTGATCGCTGAGTCGCTCACTCTGTATCTGTCTTACCTACCTGGTACTCAGACTACCTGGGCAACGTGATGAGCAATCGTGTGCCGAGTCAGCCGGATCAGCAAAGCTATCTCTCTGCCCGAGATGGGATATGAATTCTTCCGACATCATGCTTATGATGCAATATTGATGCTTCTTTAAACCTGCTGTCGATTTATGTTTACATTAATCGAAGTTCACATGTTAGAGGCTCGTTGATGCATAGCACAAATGAAAGCCATAGTGCTGCTGACGAGGCGCATTTCCAAAGTCCAGCGTTTCATGCTAGTAAGGTATTGCGCGGATGAAACTTTGGGCGACGGAGATGCTGTGTCATACTCCACGTTGGAATCATTTCCAGTTTGATACCATGTAGGACAAATACATCCAGATGCACTTCGGCACGCGGAAGAAAAGAATAACGGAAGATGTACCGATAACCAAAGCAGGGAAAACAAACATAGCCACGTTGGGGCGATTCTGACTCCAGGGTAACGGGAGAGCCGTTGACGCGCTTGATTTGCCACCTCACACAAAACAAATCGCACTAAGAAAACCCGTTCTGTTATTAATAGAACTTTAAGAATCTGATGAATGAGCGCCATGAGTGTAAAGCCACAATCCACAGGCATAACTATATGCTCCGAATCGGGCCATCAGTTTAACCACTTCCGAAGTTATATATCCCAAGAGCTTCATTGAGCGGATGAGCGCCATTCAATCGTCACACAACACACACAGCAGCAAAATGATTGAAAAATACATTCTTCGTGTTACGGCGGGATCGAGCTACGATGAGAGCACTCACATTGAGGTCCCGGTGAACGAATCTGCGCCCCTGCGCATCAAGAGCGATGTTGCCGATGTCGAGCTCAATGTCCGGATACAGGATTACAAGGGACTGCCGCGTGGTTCACCATCAACTTCGCCATACTTTTCCACAGAGCCGCATGCAAGCAACCAAGATCAGTACAGCATCTCGTTCCGCTTCACGCCACTCAATCCATCCAAGGCAAAGGCTGCAGATTCCGCAGAGGATCTTGCTTTGGGGATCAGAGCTGCGGATCTGCAGTTTGGCAATGACTTTGACCGCCCTATCAGAGACAAGCTGCCGCCAGGCTTCAACACTGCCATGAACATTGTTAAGTGGTGGATTGACCCTGGTCTTGATGGCGATGCATACGCAGATAAGCCCTATCTGTACGGCCCCGCGCTGAGTTCGTTCAATGTCGTGTCCGTCGGTGCGGGCGTCTTTGACGAGTCAAGAGGCGGTTTGTGGTTCGAGGAGGGAGGGGACGAGAGAGGCAAGAAAATCCGTGAGGTGAATAGCGTGCCCAAGGAAAGCAAGCCGAGGATGAAGTGGGCGTTGTCGGATTCGAACAAGGAGAAATGGATTTGGGAGTATGGAAGGACGTACGGCATTGACTTTTTCAACCCGTACCTCGACTTTGCAAACCTGGCGCTGCGGCTGCCGGGATTCCAGCTTTCCGTTGCGAGATATTTGGGGGCAGAGGCTTTGAGGTAAGTTTGGCATGACAAGATTTGATGAGCGATTACTTACGAGTGTGGTGTAGGTATGACGGAAGGCTCGCACATCAGTTGAGATATGTTCTTCGGAATAAGGCGACTGGAGATGTTTATCTCGTCGTCACCTTTGCTTTATATCTCGAAGAGTCTATCAATGAAGATGGCACCGTGAAAACTGCCAATGGGACCAACGGTATCACCAATGGTCATACGAACGGTCATACCAATGGACACGCCAACGGACACTCCAACGGTTATACGAATGGCAACCATGTGAGCAATGGCATTGCGAATGGAGTCGAGACACACGACGAAGACGTAGATTAGAGAGAGGCGGAAAAGCATTCTTCTTATTTCCCCAGCATCTAGATATGACCACTGTATTTGTAAGATAGAGCCAATAGCGATTGATTTCTCATTTGAAATGGGTTTCTAGTGCGAATGTTTGCTTCTGTAGTGACTGAGTTCGTTCTTTCGAGTGTCGGTGGCATCAAATCTTGGGGATGATAGCTTGGTACTAATCTAGTACATGCCGATATAGAGTCCTGATAGCTCGACGATTATCCACTGGTCATACCCATCAATCGGCCGTATACATGCAATGATTGCAAGTGCCTCACCGCTTGATTGCTGGTGGTTAGAATAGAGAGATTCAGTGCAAATCTCGTAGCAATTCACGGCTACATTAGCCGAGCGTAGTACACGTGCTTGAGTACCCAATTGCCAAACAACGGAAGGAGCGAGCACAAACATGCGCAACTGCCCCCTTTGTAATGCGAATGCGAATTGCAAATAAAAATCTCTTCCATCGTGCAGAATTTTAGACTCAGTCCTCTTTCATTCATCCTCGGCTTTCTGTGAGTTGGTAAGCAGATACAGGAGTAGTTTCGGCACGGCTGCTGCTCTACTTCGGATCCGGATTCAATCGAATAGACACCACTCTTTGAAGAATGGCGGCCCGTACGAGTACATTGTCAAGTGGCACTAGGCGAGTGCTGTATATGCCAATGACTATCCAGGCGATTCCGTGTCCTCCCCCTATCCTTCAGTCCGACTTCGATGGCTGTCGAATTCCGGGCGGCCTCGAGCTCTGGTCCAACGGGGGATTTTATTCGCCGGGAGAGTGCTTTGAGGGATATCGTGCCATGTGCACCCAGACATCTCCAGTGAGCAACGGCTGGCCTATTCGACATGAAGAAACAGTGGTGAGATGTGTTCCAGAGTAAGTGCACACTGTAGAAAACTTGAGAGGAGGAGGTTCTAATATCCCATGTGAAAGCGGCTACGACTGTAACGACTCGACTAAAGATCAGAAATATGCCGTGACCAATTACGATGGCACTACCCTGTCGGCACCGGCCTTTGAGATCCGCTGGCGGAGTGCAGATTTAGCACATGGAGTCAGAACTACCGAGATGTTTCCGCCTGGGATTCCGACCCCATTTCCGACGTCAACAAGTGATTCATCGACATATAAACTGATTACTACTTCTTCAAATATATTTGTCACCGCCCCTACTCCCACTTTGCCAATCTCTTCCACGGTTGTGCAATTCTCGTCATCCAGCGTATCATCTTCACCCCCATCACGGCCGAATTGGGCTCTTACCCCCGGGACCATTGCAGGAATTGTAGTTGGAAGCTGCCTGGGGCTTCTAGCTGCGGCTTCGGCGATTACGTTTCTCTTCTTACACCGCCGAAGGAAAACCCAAGGCCCAAGTCGGATCACAGATGACACATGGTGTCAGCAAGGAGCACGCAAAGAACCCACCGAGTTGTCAGGCACCCAATGCCCTGCCGAGTTGGAAGACAAGCCCATGGAATTGAGGGAGCTACAAGGAAAACCCCAACCCCAGCCATGCGCCGATACCGAACAACCTCCGCATACATCATTGAGGGCGTGCCATATTAGCGTCAACAGCATTCCCATGGAAGTTGCAGCAGACCCGTCTCACTGAACAAGAGACAGAGAGAGTCGAACGAGAAGACGAGAAGACTAGAAGCCTACTTCGTTGGATTGCGGAGCGGAATTATAACCAGGTTCAATGATGAATTTATGTCGACCCATTTCCCCAAAAATCACCACACGGCGAAATTGTATTGCTTTTGGAACTCTCCAATTCTGCAGCATTATTAACCGCTGTGTTTGGCGAGTATTACTCTATCATTCGTACCGGATTTGATCAGGTATATCTTCGAAGTCTCCTATTAAAGAACTTATATCTGATGCTCTTTGTCTAGCCAAACCACTCGCGATGTCAATTGACAGCAAGACGATTTAGGTTTCTCCAACCTAACATCACCACTACGAAGCCTGCATGCTCCTGTCTATCTCTTATTGGATGTTCAAATGAAAGAAAAGGTGTTTCGGGAACATTTTTACAGGGCAAACAAATTGACAAGCTTCTGTGGGGGCCATTATAGGGGGAAGCATTGTGTCATGCACTAGTTGTGTTTGCTGTGTAGTTGAAACCAACCTCAACGGCAATGCAAAGCCAAACGCCTCAACCCTCCAATTGCGTTCGTGGTCCCAATAGCCGGCGGCCTTAGTCGGGAATAATACACCCTGAATCTCACCGTCGTCAGCCCGAGATGCAGACTCTGCATCCACTCAGCTCTTTTAATCGATATGCTATTGGCCTGAGTTGAGTTCCATCCAGGGTTCCGCCTGGATTGGAACCTAGGAATCGGAATCAGCTTCAACAGCGAACATTACGGATTTAGGATGTAGGTAAGTTTGGTCCGCTTTCATTACCAATTTCCGGCCCTAGAACTCAAAACATCGCGGGGGACGGATAAGGGAATCTAGATGCAAAGCTTGGCCTGTGGAGAAGCGCACACTAGGATTTCCACCGCTTATTCCCGTTAATCTATTGACTAACGCTGGCCAGAAGAGGTTGAGTTCATCGGCTAAAGCTTCTGTCTTGGGAACAAAAATGGATGGCGATGTACATGAGATTATTCTCCGTATCTTGGGAACTGTTCTTACAGTCCCCGGTACGAGCGAACATGATATCGGACAGAAGATCTAGGTCCGTTACCGGCGTCTAGGTAAAGAGCTTTGATAAAGAAATAAATAATCATTATCATCCGGTCGGTCAGCCGCGTGGGGGCCTGGTCCATGTGAGGGTAGATCCAACCGGCGTCTTAAAGAAGACCTGGTTATTCCCGTCGACGAAATATTAGCTCCACTTACGCCTTCTGGCCTTCGATAAATAGGCATCGCCGCTCCTCAAATCCGAGCAAACCTTGGAAGTTTCTGCTGGATACTTCGTGAGTGTTTCGGCGACGTCTTTGGTGCTCGCGCCACGAGTTATCGATGCCTTAGATTCGCATTCACGAGCCGTGTCTCTTTCTTCGTGTCGAAGCCGTCCACGATGGACATTGAAGAAAAGGGAGGAGGTCTGGACTCACAGGGGATGGAGGATTTTGAGATTGTTCGAAGCGATAATGCTGCTCGCCTCGGTGGCCCATCGCATCACGAAGAAGACTTGTCATCGAGCGAAAAACCGCGGACAGAGCAGTCTGAAGCGACAAGTCTAGGAAGCGACACTCCGATATCGTATCTCTACCTTACCTTTGAAACCGCATTGCCATCGCCCCCAATACCGGAACAGCCCAATCTCGATGGTCGAGAGCCGCCCCCATGCCCAGACTTGGCGGCTTATACGTCTCCGTTGTCATGGGGTGCTTATCACAAGAGTATCTTGCTCATACTCTCATGCTTGGCGACGTTTTTGACGGCATACACTGCAGGTGCTTACGCGCCGCCTGCAAATATTATGGCCAGTGATTTTGGGACATCTCGGCTTGTTGTGGTCGTGGGAATTACGTTGTTCTGCATGGGATTTGCGTTTGCGCCAATGGCTCTTGCGCCAATGTCCGAGATTTGGGGGCGGTACCCCATTTTCATTATCGCCGGCACCGTCTTTGTTATCTTTCAGGCCGTCTGCTCTGTCATGCCGGATGTTGCTGGCATGCTGGTATCTCGTTTCTTTGTTGGCGTCGGCGGATCGGTCTTCTCTGCTGTCGTCGGAGGCGTGTTGGCTGATTTGTGGGAAAAGGAAGAAAGGAACACGCCAATGGCACTCTTCAGCGGTGCTGTCTTGGCCGGCACCGGAGCTGGACCACTGGTTTCTGCTGCGCTGATCGAAACGGTGGGAAGCAATAGCCGTGCTTGGAAATGGTCATTTTGGGTTCAGGTCATCCTCGACGTTGTTCTCTTGCTTGCCCTCGTCCTCTTCTTCAAAGAAAGCCGAGCCTCTGTCCTGCTCTCCAAGAAAGCGAAGAAGCTTAACAAGTGGTATGAAGAGATGGAAACATACGGTATATATGGGGTATGGATAAACGATGAGTTGGCTGTATTGGCTTCCGCTGCATCAAGCCAAATAACTGTCACAGCCAATCTGAACGAGCGAAACATCTCTACGACTCCTCGTTTACGGAGAATCCGATGGATAGTCAAAGAAGATGAACAACGGGCATCCTTGGGACAGATTGTTTTAACATCTGTAAGGAGACCATTTCATCTTCTCTTCACGGAGCCAGTGGTATTTTGTTTCTCTCTCTGGGCTGCCTTCTCGTGGGGTGTCTTATACCTCTCCTTTTCAGTCGTCCCCTTTCTCTATGGCTCAGATTTCAGCATGTCGAGCAGAGTGTACGTGGCAATGATGATTGCATCGGCTGCTGCAACCGTTGTTGGCGTCTACCAGGAACATCTCTTAAAACACCCCCAATGGAAGAAGCAAGAAGAAGGCTTTCAATACTCCGATTCGAAGTTCTGGGCCTTTATGCGAAGAAGATTCCCAGCCGAAGCACCAGAGGCAAGACTCTATTTCACTTGCATCACTGCCATGCTATTACCCGCTGGGCTCTTCATTGCTTTCCTAGGATCTAATGGAAAGTCGGGATATACAAAGGCAGTTGGCCTGGGACTGGCAACATGGGGCATCTACTCCGTTTATCTCGCCACCTTCAACTACCTCGCGGATACGTATCATATTTACGCAAGTTCCGCTCTTGCGGCACAGAGCTTCTGCCGAAATGTTCTCGGTGGCTGCTTTCCTTTAATTACGAGCGTCATGTTTACGAATCTTGGGTTGAGAGGTGCTGGCGGTATGCTTGGCGGAATTGCTACAGGATTGACAGCCATTCCTTGGGTACTTCTCATTTATGGAGAAAGGATTCGCGCCAGGAGCAAATTTGCCAAAGTAAGTTTCTTTAATCTTTCACTAAGCTGAGTTTAATGTCTACAAGTGCTAATAATTTTGCAAGACCCTGATAAAAGGGTAATGGTGGAGTATAGAATTAGGGGACGATAATATGTTGAATCTTTGTTGAAGCATCATAGCGACTTGGACTCTACTATGAGAGGGTCATAGCAAATGCATATTAGATGATAAAAAGCGACAATGTTTTATAAGCGTCTCATGGTATATAGATTTGTCCACTAATTAACACAAATACTACCTTAATACTTTTCTGTTGCGGCACTACTCAAAACGTTGAACACGAATGAATACATCTAGCGATCAAGGTGCCGATGTTGGCCTCGGCCTACGTCTCGATTTTTCCTTGCACCTGTCCAAAAGCTTTTGAACCTTGGACTTCTCACAGCTAGATCGCGAGCTTTTCGAAGTGTTTGCCTCTTCGTTGCTCTCCAAACTTTTCTGAGACGGCAAGCTCGAGCCCGAGCTGACAGTATTGTTCCTCGGGCGGGTTGTCGTCTCGAGACCCATTGGAAACGATTTAATGCTTGATTTATAGACGATTGGTGGTGGTAGCTGAAAAGGACCTTCGGGAAAGATGCAAGGCTCTGGCATGACCTCGTGGTCGTCTAGTATGAGAGTTCCTTGACCGGCGTCAACCCAAGATTTCTGGCCACGAAGACGAGGCCAGAAGGTAGATGGCGCAACACGGTAGGAATGTTGTGCTAGAGGAAGGAATTTGGCCTCGGGAAATAGGGTGGCGATGAAGGCGTGGGAATACGCCTCGCTGAAGCCGGCGATGCGGAGGGAAGTGACCTTGTTGCGGAGGCGGAGGAGGTGATTGCATATAGAGAGATGTTTGTCTGGGCAGTATGACAGGTCTTCTTCTTGGATGGATGGCGGAAGGGCTAGACTTGTGTCGGGGTTTGAGGAGGAATCTGAGCTGGAGAAGGAGTCGGAGGACTCTTCGCTGCTTTCGAAGGACATGTTGACAACGTAGCCTTCGTCTGAGTCTTCGTCCCAGTTGGTATGTTCATCATCGCCATCTTGTTCTTCTTCTTCTTCGTCATCGTACTCGAATTCAAGCTCAGAATTCTCAAAGAAGTCTTCTGGGGCTGGAGAGACGACCCGAACTGTTCTCTCAGAAAGATCACAAGAAGACTGCCTGCCAGAACTTTCAGCAGACGAGTACTGGTTTTGAGGGCTGGCAGAACTAGCTCTGACAGAGATTTTGCTTTCTGAGATGTCTTCGGGTGGATCAGGAATGTCCTCTCTTTCGCCGTGAAACCGACGACACACGAGAATGAGAGCCTCAAGGGGAGCTTCTGGGGCTCTTTCGAGCTGAGACAAACTAAACTCGAGAAGCAGACGTTGAAGATGGCCAGTACCGGGGAATAAATCGATGGCTTGAGGGGTAGGACCAAGACCTAGACGGGATAGATCGACCTCAATAACGAGAGACTTGATGAAAACGCCGTACTTGTTAAGCCACGTGGTGGCTAGGGGATTGAGTCTCGGTGCGATGAATGGGGAGAAAGTAACGTGAAAAGAATTCCCCGACAATATTGCCACGAAGAGAGTGGCATAGAAGTCGAATGAGACGCTCAAGTAAGGGCGGAAGGTCGCAAGAACTTCGCCGAGAGGGATGAAGTCCGATGGCTCCCAGCAGTCTTGGTCCCAGATGAATCTATTGAGGCTAATGGGCTTGGATCCCAAAACCTCGTAAGACGCGACGAGATTCTCAAGGATAAGGCGGCGAACGTGCTCAGGAAATGTCTTCTAGGTAAATTCCTGACTCTTTTCGCTCGCTTTTGACTTTTGTCTCTTGTGTAACGCGAAGAACTTGTTGGTCAGTGCCTTCAAGGCTACACTTTTGTCGGGTTTGGCATCTCCATGCTTGTATTTGTGGTAGACAATGTCTACGGTTCGGTCCCAGGGTGGGAGACCAGAGCGACCAACGAGCTGGTCTTCACTACGCGAAGTGTTGGGGGATATGGAATATTCGGAGGCTCTGCTGGCGACGCGCTCGATGATGGATTTCGATCGAGTGAGTTTGGATGGGCTGCTTGCTGCTTGCGGAATCAGTAAGGACTTGAGCTGTGAGAACGATAGATTTGGCTGAAATTCATGAAATAGGATTATTCCAAGGTAGATGAGTTGACAGAGAGAAAGCCACAAATGTGCCTTACGAGGAGATTGTGGTGGCGATGGCGAGGTTGGTGTATCGCCATCAGCTGAGAGATCCAGCCACGATGTTTGATCCATGCCGATGTTTGTGAGGGGGGGAAGCCTCGAGATTTTCCCCGAAGGTGCTTAGGTTTTGTTTATGCAATTTCGTTGTTTCGGTGGAAACAAAGCGGCAGAAGCAAACATTTTGGCTGAGCTTGTGGGCTGACAGCAGCTGTCAGGTGTACGGCTGTTTGGTGGTAGTTGGCCAGGTGACTGACAGTCTTTGGGCAGAATACGACATTAAAGAGAAGGCAAACGTACGGCTTGTGGTTATTTTGAGCTAAGATCATTCAGTACCAGCGAGGTACCAGCGAGGAAATTGTAGCATTGGACGAGGTGTAGAGAAAAAGCCAAACAGTAGCATCCCCAGGTTAATAATGGCAGGCAGTAGTATTTCGTGATATCTTAGTCTTTGGTGTAGGTACCCATGACCATATACATAGAACATATCTATTTTTCCTTCTCATTTTCCCCCATTGAATACGACAGCGGCGCAGCGTAAAGCCGGCCTGCATGACAAAACCATATCCACGCCCGTTGAGTAAATCCTTCAATATTTTAGTTGACAAAGGCACGCGGTGATAACAAAAACGACTCTTGACTTGGCATGTGTATTTGGGGTATTTATTTGGAGCTATTTCTTCTCTTCCTGAGCCTTTTCGTATATCCAGTCGTTGAGGCCGCTTCGGTTTCTACTCTAATAGTTAGCGGATATAATACCCATCGTGTATCCGAGGCAGCACATACCGGGCGATCTCAATGGCATAAAACTGCATCCTGGGGACTGTTGAATGGTTAGACAATTGCACCATTTCCCAAAAAGCATGTCCTGGGAGAAATCTCACCGAAAATGGTTGTGTCCTGCTCGTACTCGGCCTTGGCGTTGTTCCGCACCATGGTGCCAAAGTTGTAGTCGTCCACCTTCTTCTCGTACTTCATCATGAAGGCGCGCCACCTCTCTTTGCCCGTCTTGCTCTTCATCTGGTCCTCATCGATCGTGGCAGCGGGGTCGAACTCGGGGAAGGCCTCCTTGAGGTGGTCGTAGATCTCGTCGTCGATCTTGGTCAGTCGCAGGCCTGAGCCCTTGACCTTTTCGAGAATGGCCCAGTAGGTTGCCATGTGCTGCACAACTGCGACGTGTTAGGCGAGTGAATCACGTTAAGAACGAGTATTTCTAAGTACCTTTGACGGCAAACTGCTTCTCCATCTGTCAAACGGAACCAAGAGATTGTGTCAGCTAGTTACTCCATCTTCATGCGGAACAAAGACTAAAGGAAAAAGTAGAGATGGAACGCACATCCTCCATGTTGCCCGCATCGTCGGCATTGAAGTCTTTGGGCAGGGGCCCTCCAGTTGACATGCTCTCCAAGGGATCCATTGTGACGGCTGTATCTGAGTCTGAGTTAATATCGGAGGTGTGGGATTTGGTCAGGTAGCGCAACAGTGAAGTATCCAAAAAGGATGGCTTCAATCTGCGGTTATCGCAAAATCCAAAATCTTAAGACGTGGGGCTCGGGCCGCTTGGAGGGGCAAAAAATGATGAGGTCAGTAGACAGTATGTGCGACGGAAAGCCACTGTGTTGTTCACACAGTATGCAATTCTTCAAGTGTAACACCGCAACACCAAAAGCACATATAACCTCTCCTGCAGCTGTCAATTGTTTACTAATACCCAATTTCAACTGGGCGAAATTTATGACAGATCAAAGTTGTTATCTAAAACTTAGGTCAAATTCAGTTCAGTCGCTCATCTTATATCCATTTCTTTGGTCTAACAACGCTCTAGAAAGTTCGACGACTCTCTAGAAGGTTCATCGTCTCATTTTTTTGCGCATCACGTACCAACAGCGCGACATTAGATGGTTCTCGAGGCTTCTTCATTTATGCGCTTGGGTCGTTTTTGCAGCTTTGGAACGGATGCTAGAAGATGAAAATGTGAAGCACTTGTGAGATGAAGTGTTAAAGTGGTGACGATGACGTCCAGGAGCAGCGCAGGCTCATGTGAGCCGATGCTCGAAGATGGGTTCTTGCAATGACTCTAGATTATACTCACTACAAGAGGCGAGAGGAGTGTCCGCACTTTCACTGACATAAACATGATAATAAGGTAGATTTCATGGCAATGAGAGTAAGATGTAACTATGCGAGACTGCCATCCAAATTATCCGGTGTTACCTCTGGAATCTTAGCCATCAGCGCGGCCGCCTCCTCGACCTGCCCATTAGCTTTATATAGGTCTGCTAAGTCACGTTGCGATAATAGTCGTGATGGATGATAGTGAGTGAGAATCGGCTCCCAAATCTTGACAACACGCTCTAGCAATGCAATTGCTTCCCCAGTCTGTCCGTTGCGTCTATAAGCGATTGCTAGCTCATGTTGCGATACAGTTGTTGGGCCAGCGTCTCGTTCAAGGTTGCCGTCATCACAGCCATTTTGACTTGAACTTCGTCCTCGGAACGATTCGTTGAACCGGCCAATACAATAAATGCAACAAGAGCTTCCGTACTGATGCCTTCCGGCGAGACGACTTCTGCAGCAACTTGCTTTACCTCTGAAGAAGGCAGCAGTCGCCGTATATGATGCTCGACCTCCCCCAGCTCTACTCTTTGGCCACGAATCTTGACTTGGTAGTCCTTGCGCCCCAGGAAAGAGAGTGTTCCATCCTCGTTATATCGCACTAGATCTCCTGTCTTGTACAGGCGACCGCGACGACCTGGAACATTAGTTCCGCCTCGTAAAAGCCACGGCGGACTGTCAATGAATGCAGCTTCCGTCTTGGCTGGATCATTAAGATAGCCTTGGCCTACCAGCGGACCTTCAATTAACAACTCGCCGACATCCCCTAAGGGAACCAACCGGTCGTGATTGTCAGCGTCCACAACCCAAGTAATTGTTCCTAGTCCTCGTCCGATGCTCTTGATATCGGGGTCACCAGGCATAACCTTGACTCCTGTACTGGTAATTGTACACTCTGCTGGTCCATATGTATTAATGACATTACCAGGTGCATGGATGCATGAGAGACGATCTTGCACTAAAAGCTCACCACCAAGCACCAAAACGTCGAGTTTTGGCAGGGACTCTGGGTTGAGAAGCTCAGCAACTGAAGGGGTGGCCTCGACATAATTTGCTCGCAGTTCTCTCATAGAATCCTCGATCCTATTCTTTCTATCATGCTCTGATGGGATGCACAAGCATCCTCCACAGGTAATTGCGTTTAAAAAGTTTGCCCAAGATACAGCAAAGCTATACGAGGCAAAGTCGTAAATCCGTGAGTGCCGATGCAGGTGTAAGAATGGCTGCTGATACGGAGCTGCACTGGAGAAATTGGAATGAGTGATTATTGCTCCCTTTGGAGTACCCGTACTGCCAGAGGTGAAGACCACGTATAGGAGATCACTTGGCTTCGTAGGCACACTGGCAGGACGTATAGAACCATTTTGCCCTACTGTCTTCTTGAATTGATGAGATGTAAGAGATTCTCTATCCACAATGATCGGCGTGGATTTAGTGAGTTTGGATGCCAACTCATAATTCGAAGAAGAGGTTAGGATCAGCTGTGAGCCAACTTGCTGAATGATCCCCAATAGCCTTCCAATTGGTTGAGAAGAATCGAGGGCTACTGATGCTCCACCGGCCTTCATCACGCCAAGCATAGCCACCGGCATCCACATAGACTTCTCAAAGCATAGTGGTACTATCGTGCCTGGGCCTATGCCCACCTCAGTGAGATATCTAGCGAGCCGAGTAGAAAGCTCGTCTATATGTCCGTAGGTGAGTTCACCATCCCAGGCGCATATTGCTGGGGATTTTGGCTGTTCATGTGCAATCTCAATGAATATGTCGTGTACACATCTTTCTACCACAGCAGGCACAGTGGCATTCCAGGTCCAGATGGTGTTCAGGTCAGAAGATAACAACGTTTAGCTTTGTATAAGTGACTATGTAAAAGGTTTCAGTTGTTTGATTATCGGGGGTCGTTTGGTTAGTGGGCAAACTGGCTAAGGGAACGTCATTCAATTTATATATAACTGTTTGCTTTCGCATGGTACGCTGAAAGCTTACTGAACTAACCTCCTGTTAGAAGAATTACCGGCACCCGTTGCCGGAACCTTTTAGGAATCAACTGAGACACTTATGGAGGCTTACGGAGACGGGGAGTTATAGAATGTCAGTCCCCCTAGGCACACGGAATCCCGTGTTTTCAGTTTAGAGACGGCTTATCAAGCATATCCCAGGCGCCCGGAATCCCGTGTGTTAAACTGTTTGCTTTTACATGGTAGGTTGAAAGCTTTACTGAACTAATCTTCTGTGAGAAGAATTACCGGGTACCCGAATTACCGCTCACCCGTGACCAGAACTTTCTGCGGAGACGGAGATTTACAGGATATCCCAAATCTCACGCAAGAGTGTGTTGTTAAGAGGTAGCTGTACGAGTATGAACGGGATCATTATTTGGCTACCGGCCGTAGCTGCCGGCGAGCCATGCCTCGAGTCAAGGATCTAGCTTACAGTATTGTCAGCATCATACATTCACAAGTTCAATAGCTGTCAACGGCAGCCAATCGAGACAGGCGGCCAGTATCGGCGTAAAGAAGGATGGTCAGACTAGATGTCAGATCCGCCAGGTTATCGGGCCAAACGCCCAAGTAGAGCCAGGCTTTGATAAAAGAAGTCCTAGACATAATGAGTCAGTCCCTAAATATCAAGCATTATCTCTGGCTCGGCTTAAACCCAGCCGCTTACAAGGGATCTACCTGTTACGGCGGACCGGATCGTAACATAGGACTTTTTTAGCGTTGTATAAAAACACCTAATTGAGATTATAAAGAATAAGGTAACCAAATGCTTACTTTGCCACTGCCCAGATTTCATTAGCATATAGCTAACAAATCTTTATGAGCAATTATAAAGCCTCAGTGATTATTGCATCACGGGTTTAGCTAAACCCTGTACACCAGGGATTGTAAGACGCTGTTTTATCTATACTCGTATATGCGACCAGCTGACATCCTATATGTTAGTACTATATTCCCTTGTAAAATTGGATGGTGATTACCTCCATATTTAAACCGTTCTGAAACATTTCAAAAAGACAAATTATTAAGTTCTGATTTTAAGACGAGTCTAGAGCATTTTAAGAAGACAAAATATTGCGTTCTGTTATATCGTAGCGCCAACAAGGCAAAAATTAAGCCAATAATTCCCATTATAGCAATTACTGTAATAGAACTAGCTGCTTATAAGGGATCTAACTGTTGCGATAGACATGTTGTAATATGTTTCTCCCCTCCTAGTGGGCTTGTTTTAAAGCTCTATTAGCCTCGGAAATAGCTGGTTTAACCCCCAAGTGTTACGATCCGGTCAATTGTAACAGCAATCGGTCCCTTATAAACAGCCGGTTCTGTCACGTTAATTGCTACAAGTGCGATTATTGGCCTGCATACTCTTTTGCCCTGTTGGCGCTACCGTATGACGGAACGTAGCAAGGGTACCGTTTCTAATCAACCTTTCCCATAACCAAGCCCCCGGCCTGTGAAAATATAAATAGTAAACCATTGTTCTCTATCACTAATCTCACGATATCTATGTCTGAACTCCTAATTGTGCATCACACTCAAGTTTTCGAAAGGGTTTCTATGAGACATGAATTGCTCTCCTTCTTTTGACAGTGTCTTTGGGCCTGCAGTGGCATTATGCCGTAGGCATTTTGACTTTACCATCCCTTTTGAGGAAAGTATGCTTTCTATTCTGCCCTCGAGCATCTTTTTGATAGTAGGATGCTTAAATCTTAGGAGAAATATCCACAGACCACGGAAGTCTGAGATCAATTGGTTGTATTTCTCGAAGCTGGTCAGTCTAAGCCCGTTGTGATGTTCATATACATGAAACGAAGCGAAGCGCTAAACATTGAATATATGTTCAGCTACTCATAGCTGTCTGCTTCGTACTAGAAGTTGCTTTATTAGTAGAATACTGTCGCCCTGATGCTTTTAAAACGCGGTGCACAGTAGCTGCTACAATTATATCCGTAGTCGTTGTTCTTGTCATGATAGCCCTCTCCCACGCAGAGCACACGACATCCGTCAAGCCCTCGGTAATTCTAACTACCTATCTCTTTATTAGCGTTATCTTGGATGCAGTTCGCATCAGAACCTTGTGGCTCTCTATGCAGAAGACTGAGATTTCGATCCTATTCACAACCACCACTGGGGTCAAACTCGCTATTCTCATATTGGAAAATATACCAAAAACACTTATTCCAACGTCGGTGGATAAAGGCATATCTCCAGAAGAACTGAGTGGAATCTTCGGTCTCTCTCTTTTCACATGGATTCTGCCTATCATGAAACTTGGATTTCGAAAAACACTCGCAATTGATGACCTTTATGTTATCGATGGAGAAATGGCCTCTGAGTATTTGGGGCATAAAACTCAACGAGAATGGAATAGAGTGGCTGGTAAGTCATTGATGTGACTCTATCAAATTCGCCAGGCAAATCCAGCTAAAGAAGATTAGATCCAGTCGAGACAATCGGCAAGCTCAGAAGGGGACATTGATCTGGATTATTTCCAAGACCTTGAAAACGTCAATCTTTGTGCCAGTTATCCCACGACTTTTCTTGACTGGATTCACATTCTCCCAGCCATTTCTCGTCAATAGGATGATCAGATATCTACAAAATGATCATGAAGAGAATCTGTCTACTGGTTACGGACTGCTTGGAGCATACGCGCTAGTATACATTGGAAGTGCAGTACGTGCAGCCAGAGAACGCATGTTGGGGAGTAGATCAATGTTGACATGGATTTCAGATTGCAACTGGTTGGTATCAGCACCTCACCAACAGATGGATCATCATGACCAGGGGCAGTCTGATCACTCTCATCTATAATAAGACTTTAACAATGAGTAGCACTGAAGACGAGCGACTCAGTATGTCTCTCATGAGTAACGATGTCCAGAGGATCATAGCAGGTCTAAGGCCCCTCCATGAGACTTGGGCATGCACACTGGAGGCAGGCCTAGCTATTTGGTTGCTTGAATTGCAAATCCGTTGGGCTACCGTCGGTGTTGTCGTGGTATTTTTAAGTTTGTCTTGCCCATCTGTCAAAGGCACAATGAATGGGCATTTATATCTAACATGTTATCTCCAGCATGCACAGGTCTTACCCTCCTGGTTTCCAAGTACATAGGCGAGCGGCAGCGAGTTTGGATACAGGCTAGCCAGAAACGAGTGAATGCGACTGCCAACATGCTGGGATTGATCAAAGAAATCAAGATGTTAGGTCTAGAGTCTCGCTTTCGAAGCATTCTGGAGTCTTTCAGAGACCATGAATTGAAGGTATCAAAGGCTTATAGACATCTAACGTTGATGTCTATCGTTCTTTGTAAGTGAAACCTGAGTCATTTCATTGATTTGGGTCAAAGAAACATTTCGAATATGTTCCCACTAACGCAATAAAGCTTACTCTACCTCAATCTTATCACCTATTGTGGTCTTCGCCATCTATACAACAATCGCGAATAGAGATCACGAGCCTCTAGATACATCTAGAATGTTTACAACGTTGACTCTGATCAGTCTGCTTGGAACTCCTCTTATTACTTTGTTCCAATCTCTTCCATCCTTGCGTTCAGCGTTATCTTGCTTTCAGAGGATACAAGTATTTGTTGAATGCGCACCTCGTGACGATTATAGGGTACTCATTCAACCTGGCAATTCAAGCTGCAGCATCTTAGTATCTCATGAGAAGTCTAGCGATATTGCTTCGACTTTCGTGTCGGCGAATCCTAGTACAGATGCAATTGTGATCCATGATGCGAGTTTTGCTTGGCTTCAAGGAAAAGTTGCCATTCTGCGCAACATCAGTCTGAGGGTTGCCCATGGCAAGCTACTGATGGTTGTCGGCCCAGTGGGAAGTGGAAAATCCCTTCTCATGAAAGCAATGCTCGGTGAAGTGGCAATTCTAAAAGGTTGCATAAGTTTGTCGGATCAAATCGGATATTGTGATCCAACTCCCTGGCTGAGAAATACAAGCGTGCGGCAAAACATCATTGCAGCATTGCCCTTTGATGAAGCATGGTATTCCACTGTGCTTCATGCTTGTGCGATAGATAAGGATATTGAAAGATTTGCTAATGGTGACTTACATGCTGTTGGCAGCGGAGGGATAAATTTGAGCGGCGGGCAAAAGCAACGGATCGTAAGTCTACAACGTTAACAATCTTCTCCCAATCTAATCTCCACAACTTAACTTGAACACAGGTCTTAGCACGCGCGATATACGCCAGACGGAGGCTACTGATATTAGATGATGTCTTCAGTGGCATTGACATGGAGACAGAGGGGCTCATCTTTCATCGTCTTTGGGGATCTAATGGTCTTCTTCGACGACTACAAGCGACAGTTGTCTTGGCAACTCACGCTAGTATGTATTTCCCAGGTATCTGGCATTAATTTCCATACTGATCAACACATGCAGCACATAGACTTCGGTATTCGGACCAGATCTTTGTTTTAAGCACCGAGGGGGTGCCGCTAGAGCAAGGCACTTTCGATAGACTTACCGCATCAGATGGCTACATCGCCTCTCTTTACAGCGGCTCGGAGAGCAATCGTCAAGACTCACAAGAACTTCAGAGAGATACTATCGCCTACAATGCAAAAGAGGAAAACAATATGGTCGTGGCAGGGCAGCCTATGAATGACGCCAAGCACGGGGAATCACATTCAAGCAAAAGACCGCGCTATTTATGGGTATTATTATAAGGCTATTGGAGCCATGCACTCTTCAATATTTGCAATGACAGCCGTTGCTTTCGGCGTTTTCTTGAAAATTCCAGGTATTTCTCTATTTCCATACAGTTTGTATATGTCACTGTGATCGAAACTTACGCCTTTACGTGTTTAGATGTCTGGGTTACATTATGGTCTAACGCAAAAGCTAAAACACCAAACCAGCGGACCGCATATTGGCTTGGAATATACTCGATGTTTCAAATACTCGCTATCGTATCCTTGGCGACTTCTATTTGGTGCCTTTTCCACTCATCTCTGAAAATTAAAATTAGACTGTTAAATGTCTGACGAGTCATGATAGGCACTTAATGTCCAGGTTTACTACCAGCTCGGGGAAAAGACTACATACATACTTGCTAAACTCTGTACTAGGGTAGGTTTAATACTGATTTCTTTTGATGCCTGCAAGACTAAGCATAATATTATAGGTCACCTTTCTCATTCATTAGTGCTGTCGAAGTTGGCGTGCTAATAAACAGGTATTCCACGACCGACAACTTACCCTAGTCCTTTTATTAACAACATAGTAGATTCAGTCAAGATATGTTGTTAGTCGATAATACTTTACCTTATGATCTGTTTAATACCGCTATAGGTAAATCGATCCCTTCATTTTTCTTATGGGCTCAGCAGCCTCTGTCAACCACATCTCAAGCTAAGACTATGGCAGAGATGGTAACCTGCATCGTACAACTTGCGATCATGGCAATCTCCAGCGTCTACATTATCGCCATTTACCCACTCATACTTTTATTACTTTACTTTCTCCAAAGATTTTATCTCCGTACATCGAAACAACTTCGAGTGATGGAACTAGAGGCCAAATCACCTTTATACGAGCAATTTCTGGAAACAATAAGTGGAATATGTTCTGTTCGGGCGTTTTCCTACCAATGGGCCTTCCGAACCCAGAATGACCAGTTACTTGATGACTCACAACGACCACTGTATACCTTGTGGGCTCTGCAAGCGTGGCTAGGCGTTGTTCTAGATTTGACAGTCGCAAGTTTGGCTCTTATTGTTGTTGGACTTGCTATCGGCCTAAGGGACAAGGTGCAATCCGCATCCATTGGAGTTGCGCTGCTTAACTTGACGAGTTTGGGGGAGACGATAAAAAATGTGCTTACGGAGTGGACATCTCTCGAGAATTCCATGGGGGCAATATCAAGGCTTGAAAGCTTTAATCGAGAAACCCCTTCCGAAAATCTCGCCAGTGAGGTTCAACAGCCTCCAGCTAACTGGCCGAGTGTGGGACGCGTCGAGTTCAAAGCCGTGAAAGCCTCTTACAGGTCAGTCAATATGGGTCCAACCAGAATTGATGTTGCCTAACACTAACATTGCAAAGGCAGGATTTTACCTTGGCTCTAGACGACATTTCACTATCAATTGAAGCAGGTCAAAAGATTGCAGTTTGCGGTCCAAGTGGCAGGTGAGAAGAGTTCATTACTGGGCAATTGGAAAGCATACTAATCTTTTCCAATTGGAAAGTGGCAAGTCATCCATCGTTGTCGCCCTTCTAGGGATGCTTGAGCTTTCTCACGGCAGCATAAGTATTGATGGCGTCGATCTGTCCACATTTTCCCGTCACGAAATCCGCTCACGTCTCAGCTCTGTGACGCAAGAGCCGTGTTATTTTCCTGGCACATTTCGCCTTAATTTAGATCCAGCAAACTCCATCTCAGAAGAAAGAGTCAGCACAATTCTACACAAATTAGAATTGTGGACAAAAATCCAACAAGAAGGCGGGTTAGATGCACAGCTTTGTTTTGATGCCTTTTCCCACGGGCAGAAACAGCTGTTTTGTCTAGCTAGAGCAATTTTGAAAACCTCAAAGATTTTAATCCTTGACGAGGCTACAAGCAGGTATTATTTTACAATCCACCGGCCTTGGTTCTTGTTGTTTCCTTCTGTTCGCTATCGAGGTTATCAGCTAATCATTTTACATGTTTGTACAGCGTCGATAAAGAGACTGCTGAAACGATGGAACGTGTGATTGCCGAGGAATGCCAGGAACGCACAATCATCGCAGTTATTCATCGACTTGAATCCATCAAATACTATGATAGGATCATTAATCTAGACAACGGAAAACTAATAGCTGAAGGTACATAGAGAACGTTCAGCAGCTTTTGTCAAACTTGGTTTTATAGCTTAAGGGCCTTCCTATTGCATTCATTGCTGCCTTAGTAGTGCGCGCACCGCTATTAATACAAATTGTCCCAGAAGAGACTGGATGCTCGCTAGAATTCTTACACGTCAATTGACAGCATAAAGCACAATACAATACTTTGCTGCCAACCTATGAGTAAAAATGACTTTATGTTTAACCCGAAGCTGAAATATTCAAGTGATATATCATAATAATTTTAATCTTACCTCATTGCGGATCTGCGACGTTGCGATTAATTGTCTTGGTGGTCTAAGGTACTGCGCTGCCGCCCTGTCAGATTGTCTCGATTGAGCCTCATAGCACAGAGCCATTCATCATGAACATACTTGCGGATTCAATTTTGTGATTTGTTTTCCGCTAAGTCCTAAATCTAATTTTGAAGGAGAGATTCCGTATGGCTGAGAAGTAGTTCGGATTTAATCAGCATTTGAGAGATAAGTGGGAGCAAGGAAGTCATTGGTTTGGTTGAAACTGAACATTTACTGTACAGACGAATAGACATCAGCACTCTGGAAACGTTATACCGGCTCGGGTTGTGGCCTGGGAGTATTTCTCAAAGAAGAATTTCATCCTCAGGCACATCACCATTTTCCACCCTACTTCTAGCAACTCAGGGTATTGGCCACGTATCAACAAGGGACTCTGACTCATTACTCTTAAACGTCCCCAGGAAGGTCAAAGATTTTATAACAACAAGACTGTAAAAAAAAAAAAAAAAAAAAGAGCCAGATCATTTACTTTACGCTATAGTATATGGGGAATATACTAAAAGGTAGAAGAATATATTACAGGTCAGTTTTAGGGCCTTGACAGTATCAATATTTTGTTCATCCTTGACTGAAACCGTGTTCGCTACGTGTCCTACAGACATTAGTTTTCGCCCGGTTCACTCATGTTACAACCAAGAATGGAAATGGCCGAGACTTATATAGCTATACAAGGGGGCTTACGTGGCGCCTACACGGGACAAGTTTAAAATGTTAAGTAACTCCCCTTAATACAGGTAGCGTAGGGCTTTCTCTGTAAACTACAGCCCCTTACACACTCGTATCACGTCTAGCTGGCCGATTCCAGGAAGCACATGCGCTCGAGATGGCTAGTCAAATAATGTTCAACTCTATGAAATGGTCTCTTTATCCAACCGACTCTTTTGAGCACTTCACATTTGAGGTGCCCTTGGTGGGCGCGAATTGTATTGCTCCTTGACTTTGCCATATTCCTGCCTATTATTATTGTGGTATGTGTTGTCTCTTTTCAGACTTGTTTCCTCGCCTCAAGCTGCTTTATACGTATAGTCTTATCTTGACACCTTCTGACATTACCGTGTTTTCCATATCTAGTTGAATTACACTTTGCCTCACGTCTATCCAGTCTTTGCCATTACACAAGACGAGGAACCTATTGTACACGATTCCCCCAATCTCAATAATGTTACCAACAGACCATCACCCACCTCTCCTTCATGAACAAATACTTCATCTCCATCCGCTATCTGTCGACTCCTCGTGAAGAACGGCGGTATTTTAGCCAACTTTCGCGGCCTCACCCTTGCTCTATTGCAATCGATTACCACGTCGGGTCTTATCGGTTACTACGGTCGCTTTCTGGGCTTTAAATATCACATCTTCGCAAGATTGCTCCGTTCCCTTTTAATGGTTCAGTTCTCCACACTATGGTTGCACCTCGTCATCGCTCAAACCGACCGGCCGTTCTGGAGCCGTGTGCCTCCCTTTAAGCGTACTTTACAGGCAACCTGGCGAGCGACTATCCTTCACTGGGCTGCAGTAGAGCTTACGGGGCTGTTTCCTTCCATGGTCGCTTCGCGGATGAATATTGATTGGCCCTCTCCCGGTCTCTTTGGGCCGGACAATACCTACAGCTTTCGCCTAGACATGGCCGCTGGCGATGCTATCTTCTATTTCAAGTGTGCCGCCGTCATTTTCGCCACCGTCGTCGGCTCCATATCGTTGTCCCTAGTCAAGTCGTCTTGATGCGAATCCAGGCTTCTCTTCTCCCTGTGGAAGACAGCACCATTATTCCCTTTGACCGTTCTTTCAAGGGTCGGGTCCAGCCGGCTCGTACGAATGGTCGGGATTATGCCACGATTTCGGATGCGTGGCGTAGTTTCTCTTGGGATAATTAGCGGGGGTTGATAATTCTTTCCTTTAAGATCATCATTCTTTCTCTGTCGCTGATCTTATTGATGTGCGCGGTCATCAGTTTGCAGTGGGTTATGATTGTGACGCAATCTATGGAGATAAACGAGTATCTCTAGATTCTCTTGACTGACAAGAGAGTGAACGTCCCCAAAAAGGTTGGTGTGGATTGTACGAACTATATAGTACTGCATCAAACAATATTGGTCTTCTATTACATCTAGACTATTGCGCTTCATTATGTGCATCTAGGACAGAGTGTGTTATCGCTTGATTATATTCAGGATAGTAAGTTCCGCACTTGAAACCTTTGGTATTTCTCATTTTGAACATGTAATAGTACTTCTTTGTAATATAGCACCATCTATTGAACCCATCACCCTTGGTGAACTCTGACGGTTGCACAGTACTAGCTACACTATGCTACAGACTGGTTCCGTGCAGAAACGCTTTTATCATGATGAAATCCAGACACCCGTTTCGCCTTGTACTGGATTAGAAATAACAATGATTTGCATCTTTGCATCATCTTTTCGTCTCTTGTTTCATCTCATGTTTCGCGTTGTAAGAAAACAGTGATTCTTTGTTGTTTTGCGCGTTGGCTTTAAGTCACGCCTCCGTTGGAACAATATCAAGGTGGAGATGGAACAATGCACAGGCTCAAGCCTCATTTCCCCACTTCACCACCAGCTTTCTGCATTGTCCTCATACGGGATCTTGCATGTGGCATCATTTACGGCGTTGGACAGATTCATGTTTATCGGAAAATCTTCATCATGGCGTTCATATCTGATGGCTCCATCCTCTCCACCCTTTCCCTCCTCTTCATCTCCCTCCTTATGCCAATGGCTTCGAGGCTTCTCTATCCAACCGCTGCAAAAGATTCAGTGTGATGGCTTCAAACGATAAAGAGACGACATCGCCACAACTCTCGACGGATAACTCAACGCTGGTACTTGATGTTGGTTCCTCTCCCGACCGCCAAGCCACCGACACTAAACCCCAACGTTCATCTTTCAAGCACCTCTTCTCCTTTACAAGATGGAATCATGCGGGACTACTCATTGCGGCGGTCATTGCATCTGCCGCATTTGCTTCGATCAAGTCAGTTCAGTCCATCATCTTAGGCAAAATATTCGACGTTGTTTCCAACTTTGGGGCTGGCCATCGCTCTGGAAATGAAACTATGGATCAAATATCACATTGGGGCTTGATATTACTAGGCATGGGGATCGGAAATTGGGCTGCAAGCACGGCTTTTCTGGCGTTATGGGTCATCTTTGGAGAACTGCAAGCCAACTCTGTCCGCCAAGGCATCTTCCAAAGCCTACTCTCCAAGAAGATGTCTTGGTACGATTCTTTAGACCAGGGAGTCTCTAGCCTGCTGGTTAGAATCCAGACGCAAGTTCACATCGCCCCTCTCTTGCAAAATACATAAATGCTAACCAAAACATAGGCAAACCCGGGAGCTTCAGCTGGCGACATCGCAAGTCCTCGGACTCTTGGTCGCCGACTCCATTCTTTCCATCGCTTCTCTCGCTATAGCCTTCTCTCATTCCTGGAAACTCACCTTGATTCTACTTGCAACCCTGCCCATATCCATCATCGCTTTGTCGCTCGCAACCAGGCGGCTAGACCCGGCAATCCAAGCTCAGAAGCGTGATCTAGAGACCGCGTCAAAGTTTGCTACTTCATCCATCAAAGCCATCGGGATTGTCAAAGTTTTCAACGGATACGACCACGAGCTCTGGCAATATTATGAAGCCGTCAAGTCGGCGGGTAGACGATACTTGATACAGGCTCAATGCAATTGCCTCCAGATGAGCTATGTCGCCTTCTGGATCGTTGGCATGTTCATAGCGGGCTTTTGGTATGGAACTGCTCTCGTCGATGGGGGGTTGACGCCTGGTCAAGTCATGACTACCTTTTTTTCTGTCCTTTCGGCATTTCAAGGAATCGAGGCATTACTACCGCATTGGCTTGTATTATCCAAAGGCATGTCTGCAGGATCCTTTCTCTTATCCATATTAAACAAAAAGGATGAAACGACCATCGATAAAGACGGCAATCGGACGCAACCTGCTACTTGTGTTGGAAATGTGGACTTGGTAGATGTATGCGCCATCATTCCTCCTTTTATTCTCAACCACGACAGCTAACAACGCTCTGATACAGGTCACTTTTGCATATCCCTCCAATCCCACAAAAGTCGTTCTCAACAGATCATCCTTTTCTTTCTCAGCAGGCCAACTCACGTTCATCGTTGGCAGAAGCGGGTCCGGGAAGAGCACGATCGGCAATCTCATTGCTCAATTTTATGAGCCTTCATCTGGACTTGTCTGTCTAGACGGGCAGCCCCTGACGAGCTTGGACCCCAGCTGGGTCCGATCTAAGATTGCTCTAATACAGCAGTTGAGCGTGGCTTTTGACGACAGCTTTTTTAACAATGTGGCCATCGGCCTTGGTGATCCCGAGAATGTGACAAAAGAAGCTGTTTCTTCTGCTTGCGAATTCGCATTGCTACAATCTACGCTTAGCAGCCTTCCAGAAGGCCTTGAAACTCGTATCGGTTCAAACGGACTCGAATTGAGTGGAGGTCAAAGACAACGAGTTGCGCTTGCCCGAGCAAGAATTCGGGATCCAGATGTGCTTATCCTTGATGAAGTGACGAGTAGTCTGGATCAAATCAACAGAGGCTTGGCGATAGATGCTATCAGAGAGTGGCGACGAGATAAAACAACCATCATCATCACTCATGACATCAGCCAAATTGAAGATGAAGACTTTGTTTATGTCATGGAAGACGCTTCTTTGGTGCAGCAGGGACTGCGAAGGGAGCTGGCCGCGGCTTCAACTGGACCCTTTGCATCTATGACTTCTCTGGATCCTGATGAGTCCCCTCCTTCTTCTACACCAACTGAGATGGGAGACGTCAGTCCGCCTAGTCCAGTTAGCTACAGTTTATCGACAATTACGGAGCTACCGCAAGACACCAAATTATCCATGTCGCAATTTACGCTCATAGAGCGAGATAGTGACAGCATAGATCCAGCCTGGCACCGGCTATCTCAGTATAAGACTCTGGGAGCTGGAACGGAGTTTGCGTTGAAACTAAGAAAAGAGCAGATATGGGACAGCTGGGATACTGAAGAAAGACCACAGACAGCCGTTGGAGCTACACGCTACTATGAAACCGAGAAGAGGGAGTCCTACAACTCTTTCGACGAATATTTTGGACCGCCCCGTAGATGCAGCGCACCAGAGGCCTACAAGATGGATTTCTTTGACGATTCAGGGTACAACACAGACGAACTATTATATGTGTTTGGAAAGGCGGACCGTCGAGAGAATATTTCCAGTTTACGACTCGCCTCTGGCCGTGAGCCACCCTCGGATATTGGCAACGACGTACTCACAACTCACAAAGGTGCAAAGCCGAGCGGTCTACTGGCGACTCTAGGCACTGTTTGGCCAACGCTGAAACCATGTGATCGAATATTGTTCCTTTTAGGAATTTTGCTGTGCTTTATCAGTTCAGCAGGAACGCCAATGTTTTCATACTGTCTCGCAAAGCTCTTTGGAGTCCTATTCATACCAGTCAACAGGGCAGTCGAGGCGAAAAAATGGGCGCTATATCTGGTGGCAATAGCTATCGTCGATTCTGTCTCCACGGGCAGCGGTCACTACTTAATAGAAAGAACCGGCCAGTCCTGGGTAAACGCCCTTCGGTTAGAAGCTCTGAAGAAAATCCTACGGCAGCCAAAATCGTGGTTCGACAAGGAGAAGAACTCGGCCAGTCGAATCAACGAATGCCTTGACAGAAACGCAGAGGAGACGCGAAACATTGTTGGGCGATTTATTCCCATCTTCATAAATACCTTTGGTATGATTACCATTTCCATCATATGGGCGCTTTCAATATCCTGGAAGCTCACTCTCGTTGCGCTTTCGCCATTACCTTTGATCATTGGCGCTGTCAAGGGATACACTGTTCTTAGCGGCAAGTGGGAAACCAAATGCAATCAAGGAGCCACCGATTCTGGCGCAATTTTAAACGAGACGTTTGTCAATATCCGCGTCGTGCGAGCACTTATGCTTGAAAAGTACTTTAGCGCAAAGTACCAGAAACTGATCTCTCATACCCTCAGCCTGGGGATGAAGAGGGCAGGCTATACATGTGGGCTTTTCGGCTTATACCAGTCTATGAATTATCCCATGACTGCCCTTGTGTTCTACTATGCTACTCTCCTACTGGCTAAAGGCGATGGTGTCACCACCACACAGGTGCTGCAAGTCATCAACTTGCTACTGTTTAGCATCGGAAGTTCAACTGGTGCTCTAAGCAGCATGCCTCAGCTCACAATGGCCCAAGCAACCGCAACACAACTCCTAGCCTACGCAACAATGCCAATAGACTCAGAGGAAGAAAGCCAAGAAGGCATCAAGACCTCAACTCCTCTACCCATCGAGTTCAAAGACGTCCAATTTTCATACTCACAGTCCCCTGACTCCCGTGTCCTCCGTGGAGTATCCTTCGACATCACGCGCGGAAGCTGCACCGCCATCGTCGGCTCCTCAGGATCCGGCAAATCAACCATCATATCTCTCCTCATGAGTCTATACTGCCCCTCAAAAAACACAGTATCGCTCACTTACGCAGGTACTCCATTCTCCAACCTCGACAAACAACATCTCCGCTCAACAATGGCCTACGTCTCGCAAACACCACACCTCTTCCCAGCAACCATTGTCGAAAACATTACCTACGGCCTCCCTAAAGACTCTCCGCTTAGAAACAGCCTCAACGTATACGCTGCAGCTCAAGCTGCCGGCATCCACGACTTCATCACATCCCTCCCCGAAGGCTACGCCACCACAGTCGGCGACGGCGGAATCTCTCTTTCAGGAGGCCAAGCTCAGCGCCTGAGCATCGCCCGCGCGCTCGTTCGCCAGCCGAAGCTCCTCGTTCTGGATGAGCCGACGAGTGCGCTTGACGCAGAGTCTTCGAATATGATCCGTGAAACTGTTCGTGGGCTTGTAGGGCGGGCTAAGGAGCAGGAGGGCGAGATGGCTATTGTGGTGGTTACGCATACGCCTGACATGATGCAGATTTGTGACAACATTGTCATGATTGACGGTGGCGTCAAGGTCGAAGAGGGCAGTTATGAAGAGCTGATGAAGGTCAGGGGTCCATTTAGACATCTCATTAGCAAGGGTGAATGGCATGGGGGAGATGAATCTTGAGCGTGGAATCATTGGCGTTGTTTAATTGCTTCCGTTTTTTTTTCAAGCATCGCATCATTTGCTTTTCATTTTGCTAGTCCGTAGAAATATTTAGAAAAAAAAGACATCTCATTCCATTTTAATGGGTTCAATCATGAAGTATTATAAAGTATACCATATCCGTCTCAATATACCAATGCCTCTAATTTGCCGCTTCAACGTCAATGAATGAGAACAAAACACCAACACCCTTGCAGCTTAGAGTGTTTTCAACCAGACCACTCGCCTCGTGGTCCTCCATAACAGAAACCAAAAAAAAATTGTTACCATATAGAGCGCCTATCCTTCTATCCTCAACAGGAAGAACATGTACCTCATGATGTAATTGGCCCATTCCCCAATGTATAACAGCCAAAGGGAAGGAAAAAGAAGCGTAAAATAGAAATATAAAACGATAAACCGAGGCCCATAGCCCACCTCGCCGGATGTATGTGTATGTGTATAGGCATAAGTGTCATGATATTCAGTTTCGACTGATCCCAATTTCCCCATTAAATATAGAAAAGGGTGCATAACCTCCATAAAAAACGCGCTAAATGATAAACCAAAAAGGGGGAAGGGAAGAGAGAAAAAGAGAAATGGGAGCATCGAGAAGGCATCTAAGTTTATGGGCTACTCTATCGCCTCTTGGACCTCAGCAATCCTTCGATAGAAAACCAATCCCGTCGAGTTTGCTGCTGCCTTGTTCGAGCAGGGTCTGGTCGTCGTGGCTCGACCCAGGTAGCCCGAGATGGGACCGTGGGCCTGCGAACCGGCTGGCTGGTCGCCTCGCGGACGTTGTTTCTCCTAATTCTGACAAAGTACCGCAGAATGTACGGGTCCTGACTAGGCGGTACTTCCGTGTTTGAGCGTGGTGTCGTGATCGGATCATTTTTCAGCGTGCGGGGATGAATCTCGAACATTTCCTTGTCGGCGAGCTGGCCAATCTTGGCGGCATTAATCAACGCTTGCAGATCGAGCTCAATCTTTTCAGATATTGAACCCATGGAACCCATTGCGGAGCTTTCAGCTATGCTATTGCTGTTCGCAGGGTGTGTTTTCACATCTGCAGTGATTTGATCTGCCCCACCAAATGATGAGGTTGCAACTGGTGAACTGGCGGGAACAGTTGAATTCTCAACAACTCCAAGCTCTTGCTGGGAACCATCTCCCAGTTGGGCCTTCTTTTTGCGCCAAATCCTGGCCCAGGCACTTCGAAAGGGGGTTGTGATGAAAAGGAAGAGCTTCTTCAAGCCGAGGAAAATCTCTGCTACCAGTTCATCCGGTACTTGGCGAATCAGAGCACCGAGCGGGATGGTCAAGCTGCCAAACAAGATACTCCATCCCCACTGAGCTCCCGTCAACGGCTTCGTGTCGAAAGCTTCGCCTCCCTTGAAGATGATGAGGAACTGACCAAGAATCGTCAGAAGCTGTACGCCAATAAACCAAGGATTCTTTAGAATTCCTTGGTACCAAATATCTAGTTTATTATCCACTCTTCGACAGTTGTGCTGGTTGAAAAACTGCATCCAGACGTAAATGTTGAACACTAACGTTTGCAACTTGTCAATCTCGTGCTTGGTTCCGGGATTGAATATATCCCAGCCGACATAATGTACCAAAAAGACAACCAAAAGCTGGTAAATAGACTGGCCGACAATCATCTTCCACATGGTAATAGTCACAATGGGTGCATTGCGAGGCTCAGGTTTCCGCATCAAGAAATCTGGCGAAGGATGATCGGTCGCAAATGCGAGAGATGCGAAAATGTCCATGATGAGGTTGATCCAGAGCAGTTGCACGACAGTGAAAATAGAATCACCCACAAGTTCCGAGATGATTGTTGTGATGCCTGCCGTAACGTTGATGGTAAATTGGAACTATATATATGTGTTAGCCACCTGTTGTCTCAAACATGAACCTTGTGAAAGAAAGATGTTACTTACCTGAATGAATTTCTTGACGGCATCATTCACTGTCCGACCCCAACTCAAGGCCTTTACAATGGATGCAAAGTTGTCGTCAAGCAAAATGATAGAAGCAGCTTCTTTAGCAACTTCGGTGCCCTGCATTCCCATGGCAAAGCCAACATCAGCTGCCTTCAGAGCAAGCGCATCATTTGTTCCATCGCCAGTAACTGCTACCGTCTCTTTCATCTCTCTCAAGCGTGTGACGAGTAACAGTTTGTCTTCAGGACTAGATCTCGCCAATACCTGCAAGCGTGGGATGATGGCATCGCGTTGTGATGGCGTCAGCTTTCTGAATGTTTGCCCGTCCATGGCAACGCCGCCAGGGGTATATATGCCACATTCCGTAGCAACGGCCTTGGCCGTAAGGAAGTTGTCGCCAGTAACCATGCGCACGAAGACGCCGGCATCTTGACACTTGCGTACGGAATCGACCACTTCTGGTCGTAGTGGATCACGGATTCCAAAGAAGCCGATGAACACCATGCCCGATGCCAACCATTCCAGATTAACAGAGGCAGGGTCATCGTCTGGGTGCTCAAATACTTCGTGCTCATCAAAGTCTCGGAAGCTTATAGCAACCGGGCGAAGAAGATTGACAGCATAGTCATTGATCGTTTTGCGGAAGCTCTCCCTGTCCGATTCCTCGAGCCTAGCGGTGGTGAATTGAAAGGTTGGATCTGCCACTATGAAAGCACAATACTCAAACACGATTTCAGCAGCTCCTTTAACAAGGAGTCGATATTTGCCGTTAGGAAGCTTTACTAAAACAGCCATCCACTTTCGCGCTGAATCAAATGGAAGCATGGCGACAATGGGGTTGTTGGCACGTTCTTCCCTAAGCTTTCCCATACCTAAGTGATCTCGACCAAATTTGAGCAGGGCTGTCTCAGTACTAGATCCCACAAAGTCGGCGCTTGCGGAGTCGTCTCTCTCGAACGCGGTGGAGTTGAGGGATATGCTGTCCTTGATCAAACTCTGCATTTGTGGAGAGACAGTCGACATGAACCGTCTGGCCGAGGGCAGCTTCGACACCGATGAGGCAGGACTTGAGCTCGAGCCTGTGACGGGCATTTCGTGATCTTCGAAACCGCTTTCAAGCCCAACACGGCCGGCAACAACGGCCATTTTGTTTTGAGTCAGAGTTCCGGTCTTGTCCGAGCAGATGGACGTGGCATTGCCCATAATCTCACAGGACCGAATAAGACGAACGAGATTGTGGTCCTTCAGCATCCTCGTGGTCGCAAACGCAAGAGCGATAGTGACATTCAACGCTAGGCCTTCGGGGACGGTGATTACGACAATAGTAACGGCAAGCATGACGATACGAAGAAAGGCTTCGGCTTTCTGGGTTGGGCGAGCGTGTCTGTGGTGTGGCAATCGGACCAGGTATCGGATGAAGAGGATCAAAAAGTAAATAGCACCTGCGGTGGCACCAAACATGATGAGCTGCTTTCCCAGTCTTCCAAGCTTGGCTTGAAGAGGCGTCTCCTCAATATCCTCTCGCAAAGACATGAGCGTCCTCCCGTGGGCCGAGTTTTCGCCTATAGAAAGGACAAGAAAGCGGCCGACACCACGACAAACAGTAGTGCCACTAAAGATGAAGGGATCAGCCGCAGAGGTTCGAGAACGGTTGCAATCCGCCGGTGACATTTTGCGGACTAGCTGAGTCTCTCCTGTGATGGACGACTCATCAATGTATAAGCTGGAGCCCTGGATCAGCACGCCGTCTGCAGCCACAACTTCACCGGCCTCAATGTGCAGGACATCTCCCACCAGGACATCGTATATCGAGATTTGCTGTATCCTGCCGGATCGAAGCACCGTCACATCACGTTGCTGCTGTCGCTCGTTAAGCTTCTCGAACCGGTGATTCTTTTGCCAATCGGTAGCGGCGCTTGCCAGGACGATGACGATAATAGCAGCCACGACCGTTACGCCGTCAACCCATTCGATATTGGATGTATCCTCGTCAGCCGTGAGTGACTGGTACAGTCCGATTGCTAGAGATATAGAGGCGGAGATCGTAAGCAGAATCATGAGTTTGTCGTTGAAGGCAATCCACATGAGCTTGAAGAAAGACTTTTGTCGGCGTCGGGGCAGCCGGTTGGCGCCGAAGATGCGTCTCCGGTCGATGAACTGATGATCCGGTCCGCCTATCTGGAAGGTCAAATTTGGACGAGCAAGAGGCACCTCGACGGGGGAGAGGACAGGCTCGCGGTCCTGGCGAGCAGCCGTAACGGCCTCGTTAAAGGTGATTGTGCCATCGAGATTGGCCTCATCAGCACTCAGGCCCGCAGCGATATCGGTACGAAGGCCCAACACAAGGCCGCGGAGGCCCCCAAAGATGTCGAGAGCCGCAAGACTCCGCTGCTTCAAGAGCTTGTGCAACTGGGACGGCGTAAAGGCGAAGTTGTTTGCCGGCAGTGGCTCTTCGGCGTTGAGCTCCGCCACCAGCTCCGTTGCCTGCTTGCCAGCGTCCACATGGCGGCGCGTAACCGAGTCGGCGGGCGTGATTTCGTCCATGGGGGAGAGCCCAGATGCCAGGGCCGGTCCTAGAGAAGCATCTGCAGTTCGAGGCACGGCTTCTCTTCGTCGCAGCGGAATTGGAGATGCGAATCCCATGTGGGATGGATGGATTGGGGGCCGGTGCCAGCAATAAATGATATTTTTCGACCCACTGAGTGACGCTTTGGCAGAAGGGATTTACAGCGCTGGATGGAGCGGTGCCGGGGTGGGCAGGCCGCCACAGGGAGCTAATCCCGCCCCAGCTTAGGCCGGCCAGGCACTACGAGGGCCACTAAGACGCCCGGACGGCAACCAAGTGACGGGTGCCAAGCTGCTGGATCCAAACTCTGCCACCGAGAGAAGACGAACCTGCACCTCCAAGAATCTTCTCACAACCGACAATCTGCAATCTTCCTCTCCCCCTCTCTCCATCGACAGCACAACAGACAACTCTCGCCGTCACCCAACTTCAATATCCATCCAACCGCCTATCTGCACTCCTGCCTCTGCAGCTGCAGCATCATGCAGCCTCCGAAATTATGTTCCGTAGGTATGAGCACTAATAAGCCCATCGGCTCGCAGCTAAAAGGGAGGGCCGCGTCCTGCTCTCCACTTTGGCACGTCAACTAACTCGACTACGGCCGGTGACTCGCACTCCCGATGAGCCTTGGCAGACCTTTTTGTCTATCCATCCAAAGGAAAACCGGGTCTAGCAGCCAATGGCCATCACCAGCTTGATCGAAGATGCTAATAAGGCAGGGCTTCTTGGTTCGGCCGAGGTGGCCTTACGAATCCTTCCGACACTGTGCTTGGCAAAGTCAATCTTTGAAGACTCCCTACATCAGATGATTACTCGATCATCGAGCCCTACGGTCAGTCTTGCGGAGTCGCATAGAAATGGAACCAGCCAATCGAGTTGTTTGGCCCCCGAACGACACTGAGCTTTCTGGCTGGGCGAAATAGAGGAGCCTCCCCTCACTTGGCAGCCTCTTGGCAACCTAGGTATATCCTCTCAGACCAACTGTTTCTGCTTCCAAGACAGTTTTCGTGGCGTCGCCATTGTGCTCTGTCGCATCGAGTGCCGACGCCACGGATATCCTTTGTTGCTAGAGCCAGCCAACGACAACATGGATAGGCCGTTTAACCGTCCTTTGAAGTTCCGAATCCAGAAGTTTTCGGAGTTTTCTGAGTGGCACTTTTCCATCGACTCTAAGCCTTGCAGCAATAGGCATGAATACAAGGAGGCGCAAGGCCATCAGCCGGCCGTCGTGTGGCTTGCCAGTAGGGCCGACCACCAACAAACAGCCATACTTCTAGTGACTGTTCTATGGCTCTTTCTTTGACATTTCCGCTCAGAATATGGAACCCAGCCCCAGATTCGAGTGCTCCAATGTCCAGCTACCGGCGCCAGCCACCACACACCAAGACGCCATCCCGTGTTCTCTTATTGTCCGAATCTCCTATCGGCGTAATTCCTACCAGAAACGACTATTAGTGACAGAGAGAAAGGTAAGAAGAAGAAGCAAAACTCCGAAAACGTTTTAGAAGCTTTGCTGCTTTCTTCATCCCAAGCATTCTAGATGCGAATGGGACACGAAGCTATGGAGCAACCCAAGTTGCGCTCCATAATAGGATCACGACACCAAAAGCCAAGGTGCTTGGCGCTTACACACCCTTCTGGACATCTCCGAGCCGTGGCGCCTAACCCAAAATTAGACAGATGAGCATGCGACCTGGTCTGAGCGTGAGAGAGAGGCGACAACTACCAACGGCTAGCCAACCGTACCACAGCAGGTTCCATCATCCACAAGAAACAGTGGACGGGACTGCTTCCCCCTCTCTTGCCTTGATGCCGCAAGAGATTTCCCAAGAGCAGCAACATCTGAGTCCCTTTATAAGGTAGTGACATGTATTATGATCGCCCAATTCCATATGCAGTCATCAAAACACTCTCCGAATACCGAGGCTAGCGGGCATCGTTTGCCAGGAGCCAATAATCGTAGCCATGCTGCAGCATTTGCCGTCTCTCGCCGGATCTAAGTCGCTTCTTCCGAGACAGTCGCTAGATCAAGCACTCTCGAGTTGCACAGAGCACAAGAACGGCAAACAAAAAAGGCCCCCTTTTTCTCCTTTCGCATACTCGCAGCCGGCACTGCGTTGCAGCCGCCACTTATCTACAGCCATGCTGCCCTTCGGCCAGTTTATCGAGAGACCCTGGGCCAGCGTCACTGAAACCGGCTTCGGCTGCTGCAAGGCGATTATGTCGTCTCTCTGAGCAGGTGTCTCGAGCAAGTAACTGGCTTTTATACACTATTCATGCTCACCTGAGTCCAATTTCGGCTGTTTATCATGCGTAAGTGCCTAGAATACCTTGTCTCAGTTGATCAAGCTTCTCCATTGAGACCAATCTACGGCTAAAGATGCTTTGTTTGCTCCCGCCTTTCCTCTGAAGGATTCGTGAATAGGAATCTGATGTTGTCTAAACATGGACATATCCCCAATCGGTCAACTGCTTTTACGAGCTTGTTACTAACGAGGATCCAAACAGCAAACAGCGGAAAACAAGACGCTTGCTGGAAACTTCCGTTATCAAATATCCTCTCCATAGATGTTTCATAAGCCTCGCCCGGCCATGTTTCAGTCACTTTTCGGCGACATGCTGCCAAACTAGGCAAGGCTATATTCTTCATATTCCGCGTCCTCGTGACCTGGACTAAACTTGGGTAGTGAATATGAAGGCGTTTAGAAGGAAACAAAGGGAACATGGAAAACTGCATTACACAAAGACACGAAGACTTTATATCACTGCTATTCAGACTGGCTCCTAATCACCATGGGTCTGTTTTCAAGCTTCAATTGCATAAGTATAAATCCATGACATCGAATGTTTCGCATCATGTGCTCCGGCTATGTGGGTGCGGTCATGCTTCTCATCTGCAAGCATATTGTCTGCTCACGCCATGGCGATGCTCCTCACACCTATCCTAGCTATGCTTCTTGCGGCATTGGCCGTACACGCTCAATTTACAGGAGTCATCTCTCCAAAAGTGATGATCATATCCATGGTTTGTCTACTCCTCGTCTTCATCTCTTCCACTGCCCAATCCTCTCTAATCACCCATCCAGTTTGAACCCGAGGGTCAAATATGGCTCGACAACTTCTCTCAGTCCGGTTTGGGAAACCTTACCTCGCAAGCCATAGCCACGCCCGGTCTCTCTATGCTATACCCTCTCGTCTTCTGCACGCAATCAGGGAGTGTCTGCCAACTTACCGTCGGCGAGGGGGAAATCAACTCAGCCGTGTCCATGACAGCCCTCGTACTATCCAGAAGCTTCAACCTCACTCAGACATACTTTCTCCTGGCCGGCATCGCGGGCGTGAATCCACGGCATGCAACCATTGGCAGCGTCGCCTTCGCTCGATATGCCGTCCAAGTCGCTCTCCAATACGAAATCGACTCCCGATCTCTGCCCGAGGACTGGCCCACGGGTTACATCCCGTACGGCCGTGCCCACCCCTTCGAGTACCCCTGCATCACATACGGGACGGAAGTCTTCGAGCTCAACGCCAACTTGCGTGAGGCCGCCCACGGTTTTGCCCAGCGAGCCCAGCTGCAAGACGCCCAAGAGACGCGCAATTACCGCCTCTTGTACTCGGAAATGGGCCCGCCCTACCATACGGCCGTGATGCCTCCCAGCGTCGTCAAGTGCGATGGTGCTACGAGTGATGTCTATTATACGGGTGGTAGGCTTGCACAGGCGTTTGAGAACACGACGTCTCTGTGGACCAATGGCACGGGCGTCTATTGTATGAGTGCACAGGAAGACAATGCGACGCTCGAGGTATTGGTGAGGGCAGCGATTGAAGGGCTGGTCGACTTCAGCCGTGTAATTGCCATGCGTACTGGTGAGCAATACCCCCTTGATTAACATCTACATCATACACACATAGATGCACGTACGTACAAAAGTACGCCCCGACTAACACAATTACAATTACACCAGGCTCCAACTTCGACCGCCCTCCCCCCTCCCGTACCGACTGGGAGCACCTCACGCACACAAACCAAAACGGCTTCCACATCGCCATCGCCAACCTCTACGCCGCCGGCATCCAAGTCGTCCGCGGCATCCTCGCCGACTGGGACTGCACCTTTGCGCGTGGGGTGCCTCCGACCAACTACATCGGCGACATCTTTGGCAGTCTAGGTGGCCATCCTGACTTTGGCTTTGGGAGTATCACAGGCGGGAGGAAGCTTAGGGCGACTGAGAGTCGGAGAGGACGGCGTCGTGATAATCGGAACGTGGTGTCTCTGGCTGGCGTTGAGATGGCGAGGAGGAGGACGTTTGGGGCCAAGGGGGCGATGAAGATGTAAGGGAGTTGTCTGTCGATGACTGTCTTGTGGACTGTATCATATGTTTTCTTGTGTTGAAATATTATGGAACTTTATTACGTTTGAATATTATGGAAATTTCATTCTCTGGCGCCATCTATTTTTAATAGTTGGTAGCACTTTTTAAATCCCTACGCTGTGCTTTTTTGCTGCCTTTCCCGTTACAATTACAAACATATTAAAAGCAAATGAGAAACCTATTATAAATTCTGCCAGCCATCCCACTCGTCACGAGGAACAGCAACGCAAAGAGCCTCCCAGCGGCCAGCCAGCCAGATTACAGTCAGATGCAGCACAAGAAACAAAAGTCTTGTGCCCAACCCAGTCTGACGAAACAAGCTTGTTACGACTTCACCATGACTAGGACGTCGAGCAGGGGTAGCGTGGTTGCTAGTTGGGAGCCCCAAGTCCAACACAGCCAGCAGCACGAGGGGGCCGGCAACCTCGAGGCTAGCCATGTAAGGCCAGCACGGCCGCACCAGAGTAGCGAGCTTGACGAGAAACAAGGACAGGCGGCCAAAGTATCTTGCAGTATCTGGAGTGACGCCTACCGCAGTGCAGAACCGCAGCAAAAGAAGCCCTGCTCCGCGCGGCATCGCGGAACCCTCTCGCGGAGGCGGCGTTAGGAGAAGGGGCCCGTCGAGGCGCGCATGGCCGTTTGTCTGTATGGGAAGGTTTCTCTGCACGGCTGGCTGGAGAGCTTGCTGGTCATGGTCGCGATGCGAAGAGTGACTACGGCTTTTGACGATTGCATTGGACGGCTCTGCATCAACTTGGTCAAAGACGGCGCCGTCTTGCAAAATCTCCTCGTCGTGAGGCACGGTGGCTGGCCATGAGGCAGCATCATTCTGAGGCACGCTAAGACTGCGAGAGTGATAGCCACGTCGTGGATCTGCTGAACTATAAGATCAAGTGCTGTCGAGAATGAAGATTAGGGGGGCTCACCTGGAACTGGCGTGCTTGGCGCGGCAGGGGAATCCAAGCTTTGGACTCTGTTGCCTCGTAATCCGACGGCAGGGCTAGGGGTACGATCTTTTGTCATGCCATCAAAGTAGGTTTCGCTCTTCATGGCATTCAGAACTTCGTTGGCGCTGGGTCGCTCAGCCGGATCCAAAGCAAGCAGTTTCTTCAGCAGCATATACAACTTTGAGGGAAGATCCGGCCGCTCACGCCGCTCGTCCTGGAAGCCCGTCCAATCAGTAATCTCAGCTCTGAGCTGGTCGACGTCTTCCAATTCCTCTTGTACGGCGTTGGCAGATTGGTATGGGAGTCTGCCGAAGCACATGAAGTAGAGAATCATTCCGAGGGAGAAAATATCCGACTTTGTTGTAAAGTTACCATATTTTCCAGTCTCATCTTCGCGGAGGACCTCAGGCGCACAATATGAGATGGTGCCCGTTGTGCCCGTTGATTTTCGCACCACATGTTCTGGTTGGACTTCGCCAAAGTCGCTGATGAGACACCGGAGTTTACCGGCCTCTCGGTGCAAGAGACAGTTGCTTGGCTTTAGATCCCGATGGATGTAATTTGCCCCGTGCAGGTATGCAACTCCAGATGTGACGTCTTTGAAAAGCGAGTAAATCTCTTCCACCGACAATCTGGGTTTGTCGTGTAGGTTCTCTCGGGACGCATCAATCTGGCCTCGCGACCGTCGGCGAATGCGCTCCTTGAGCTCCTCTTTGGTAACCTCCTTGGGCGCACTACCTATTACATACTGATGAAGGTCGCCAGCGTTGCAGTATTGTTGGAGGATGAATGCGCAAGCGACGCTGGGGCCAAACAAGGTCAACCTGACGTCTTCCAGCCAGACATGTCGGTACGAAACAAGGTTGGGATGAGAGAGTTTGGCGAGGAGCTCAACCTCTATCAGAACCTTTTCAAGCCAAGCATGATCATCGCCAACAGGCACCCGCTTACAAGCAAAATGGCCCAACTGGCAGCCGTCAATTTCATGCCGCACCAGTAGCACCACTCCCTTGCCTCCTTTGCCCAGGACCTTTTCTTCGACAAAAAAGGTCTTGAAATAATTTGGACTAAAAGCCTCCCTCTTGATTCTGCTTCCCTCGGGTTGCGACACGCCTGGGGTGCTGGATATGAATTCGGCATTATCGTCTACGGCAGGCGACGTCCGTGTGCTTTGGTCATCGCTGCTTGGCGAAGGTCGAAACAATCTGCGAATGAGACTTGATGGTGCTTGGTCGGCTGCGGTCGAGTCGGTGTGTCCAGCGCGAAGCATACGAAAGTATCCCGGGTCAACATAGGAATCGGGGTCAACGCCATACGGGTGATCGAACGAATGTTCCGAAGGCGAGGGGCCTAGCGGGCGGTGGCAAGTAGGACATTCGGGATGGCCACGAATCTCCAGGCGCTGCGAACTGGGATCGCGCACAACGATGGCATTGCGATGTCGTCTGTAAGACAAGGCGATTTGATGTTAGCAACTGCAGGATCTCTCTGATTGTCCGGAAAGCATAGATGGGGCAACGCACAGCACAATCTCGCGGCCCTCCTGAGGCTGGTATGGGATCAACGACATTGCGACAGGCTGCGGGTGTCGGTCGTGTGAAGGAGTGCCAGCATGGCGATTGCAGCCAGCGACGCGCAAAACTTTAAGCTATGACAAGTTATAGCACAGGCAATTGAGATGCGTCGCAGGGGGTTGATAGAAGGACGTCGAAGCTTCTAGGATCGTGGGATTGTCCAGGTGGCGTGGGATGTACAGAAGTAAAAAAGAGGGAGCTCTAATGCTGTGACAACGACGTAATGGCAGTTGTTTGAGCTCGACCTTGATTAGTGGCTCCATCCATATGGACAGGGCGAACTGCAGGTATTGAAGAAGAAACTTTCAAGGGCCGTAGCGGCCCCGCAGCGCCAAACAGCGTCACATCATTCATCCATTCGATGATTTGATCCATTGAAGTCTGTTTCCGTTTGAGTGCGGAGAAGCGTGCAGTATTTGAAGTTTGTACCTTTAAGGCTCGATTAGCACACAAGGTACATGCGTGGATTGGCCTGGTGTTGATATCATTAGGAGCAGCGTCACAGAGATGGAAACCTGCAGTGTACATCGACTGTGGTCTTTTCTCTCTGCCCTGACTCCAATGATCTGATTTAGTCTCATCTCATGTTCAATCAATATCATATAATAGATTGTTACACCGATTAGTGCCCAGATGCACCAATACGAGCATCTGCGGCACCAACCTAGCGCCACCAATGCGGGCGCTATTCGTGATTTGATTTTAATTGATTTGATGCTCCAGCACTTGCACTTGTCCATAGGGCTGCCCAGCCAAGCGGAGGACAGAAACCCCAAGACCAGGAAGATTTCGAACACCCACAAGTTGAACCATACGCCTACAAAAGGAGTAGCTGCTTTATCTACATTTCCCTACTATATCTATATGTCTCTAGTAATTGCTACTATATCTATATTTTTCTAACAACTGCTACTATATCTATATAATAAAGTTCGGGTGCTGGCTAAATAGGTGTTTTATGAGTTGGTTAAATGCCAATATTACTGAATGTATGTACGTATTCATTTTGCGGTCTTGCTTTTTCTGGCCTTCGCTTGCCAGCCTATCGGATCTTCCCCAGCGCTCCCAATGAGGTTCATCGAAAACTGACCGCATTCGCTCCTCTTTTCACTTCCGTATTATTCATACTCAAGCCAGCCACAGCAAACGACATCAACGCCTCAAACATGCTCTGATCCGCCATGGACCTTCGCCAAGCATGTGATCGATGTCATGACAAGAAGCTCAGATGCCCAAGACCGCCAGGCTCTCTGTGCTGCAGCCGCTGCACCAAGGCCAACGTCACCTGCGTCTTCAGTCCGCCAACGAGGCCCTTCCGATATCCCCTGAACAATAATCATAACCACAATGGCTTTGACTGGCCCGATCTCATCGTCTTGGACCAGCAGCAACAGGAGCATCAGACGCCAAGTCAAGCGTTTGAGACGCCAGCCCTGACCGTTTCGGAGCGACTTGCAGGAGTTCTATCTGCCCTGGATCGCATGTTGCAAGCTATGCCGTCATCCCTGGACATGCACCACGTCCCGAGGCAGCAATTAAGAGAATACGCCGATAACGTGGGAGACAACTTTGACCTGCAGTCAACTCTCGATGGCCTCCTTCACCACGCCCAGGATCTCGCCTCTCTCTACCCCGAGTCGGCGTCCGCCGCCATCAACAAACGCACAACGGCTCCTGAATCGGATGCCATCTGCACTGTTCCGGATTGCATACACCAAGATCGTATGTCCTTGCATACAACGCCCCTGCCCAAGATAGACCACGCGCTGTTGAATCTTGTCATGGCGTGTCACATACGTCTTCTCGACATTATGGATACTCTTGCAGAGCATGGCCGAATGTGCGCCTTTATGGTCGCAACCCTTCCACCAGACTACGACCCCAAATTTGACGTTCCGGAAATCCGCGTTGGATCTTATGTTGCCCCTACTAATACTGCTGCTTCGATGCTACTCTCTGTGCTTGTGGACCTTCAAACTATACTGGTGGACAGAATCAAGGATGTGTCCGCCATCATCAATCAGGTAAAAGATGATCCGAGAGCAGCCAGAGAAGCGAGGGTGATTAGCCTTCAATGCGAGATTCTTCAAGAGCGAGCAGAGTCTACGCTAGGAGAGTTGTCCAACTTTAGGGATGGGTTGGTGAGTGCGAGGCTGCTAAGGTGAGGGCTACGACTGCTTAAATGGGAGAATGTGTGCATGTATGTAGATACCCAAGTCCTCTAGCATGGATATAAGAAGCATTCTGCAATTATTGACTTTAATCTTCATTTCAATGCTAAAATGTATCACGCACTTTATGACCGACGGCTGTTCGGCATCACTAACGGCATATATCGATTTACATACTTATTTAACTTACCAACTGCCGAGTATATCATAAAGATCATCTCTCTTGGATCATCGTTTTAATTTCCCTTATCCTAGTACCTGCAGCTCGATAAGGGAGATAGTGACAACTGACAACTCCAGCCGCATGCATGTCTCAGAGTCATCACACTAAAAATAAACGAGGGCCAAATTCCTCAGCCCGGCATATTGTCCACCCTCTCTGTATATGCATACACATATAATTGTGTATTCATCAGGTAGGTAGAGAGCTAACTTGGATAGAATAGAAAAGAGATATGTCGAGGATGCTGAAAGTCTGTAGCACCAGACTCGCACTTGTAATTACTCCGAAGCGAAATGCCACCATATCTAATGTGCAGATTGAGGTTGCACCATGACACTCGCAAACTCGGCAGTGGCACCGGCAGCGCACGGGTAACAGAGCCGTTGGCTTTTTGGCCACTCTCCGGCGTGTCATCGTGTAAGGAGGATTCATTGTGCTCGGGTGCCCAACGAAGTCCGAAGAGCCGTGAGACAGCATACATATGTACGTAGGTAGTGTACGACGACTACTTTCTTAGCCGTACAACGTGAAGGCATTTGTCAATTTGCTTTTCATTTCTAGTGACGCCGTGTCAAAGGTTCAACTCATGGTTATTGTTGCTTTACGCACATATGTGCGGAGTATATTGTGTTAGAATCATTCCATGTGGAAATCATAGGTGTAGTTTGACTTGTAACCCCAGGGCCCAAAAATAGCACAGACAGGTTGACAGCTCAGTGTCTCAGCACGGGACCAACACCATTAGCAATTAGCATGTGATCGACAGCAAGCCGAGTCATGTCAGTTAGTGAGGGCGATGCCAACGTGGTTTACCATTGACACGAAATGCGTTTGTGAGACATCTTGACGCAGCGCACCTCTTTAACAGGGCACTTATCTAAAAGGACTGCCGCTCGATTCGCTCGCAAACCACGCCGAAAACTGGAATTTGTGAATAATCAAAGACAATCGATGGAATGAGAGATGTAGCACCAAGCGTTTCGGCATTGCCAATTACGGTCATTCGGTGAGACAAGTCGTGGCATGTCTCGGAGAGCATTTGTGGGAAGCTGATTGCATGTACAGTCAAGCTGCGCCAAATTGCAACTTGAACACAGAGACAGGCTCATCTAGCATGAGCGAATACCATGGATGGCATCAACGTCACGGAGGAGGTGCAAAAAGCTTGAGCGAAAGGGTGTGGAAGCTGGTACTTGTGTAGTTTATTATTCCCACCTAACAGCAAATGCGTATAATCCTCCGAAGGCAAACGTTGGTTGATGGCGGAAAATCCGGGGGCCTGAAGCGACAGCCGGTTATATGCACACGTCGGAAAACATCTGCCGCTGATTGGGTGAGATGTTGCAAAGCTGCTCTAAGTGGTCACGTGTAGCCAAGATCAACAGCAGATAAAGGATGATGTGCATACGGTACGAGTTGTACATACATACGAGTAGATGAAGGCGCAATTCCTTCGGGCTTAGAAACGGTTCCTTTGATGCTACGATAACGTCTGGTCTCCCGCCTTTTTGCGCAACGAGATGGTTCAGCTCACGTAAAAGTATCCCATCCAATGTAAGGTACAGGTCGTACGGCCGTGCCTGTACCAAGTACCTGACCGCAACAACTCAATTTCCTGGGTTCAAGTACAGGGAACTTTTGCCTGCAGAAGCTCTGGCGGACGATATGTGCTAATAAGGGTCCCCATGCACGGCTCTACATGCCCCGCCGGAGTCGTGTCTTGGCAACGTGAAAGTACCGAATACTCGAGCGGGCTACAAGGGACGGAACGAGAACGCAGCTGGTATCAGCAAGCAGTACAACGCCCGCTTCGAGAACAAGTCCAAGGGTTCAGGGCACTAAGTGCACGTGCTGAGACAGCAGTACAACCCCCTAATTCCAGCAGTCACTTCAACTGGAAGTTGCCTGGCATTATTTTGTGCTGTCATCAATGTCAGCAGCACACAGTCGTACGTGACTGGTCGTACGAGTCCGAGTTATTCTGCCCTGCTTTATTCTCTACGTCCGCATAACATCCAATGCTTCGGCCTACTCTGCTGCTGCTGATCCGCTCAGTTGGCCGCTGCAGCTGCAGGTGTGCCGAAAGCAGAGACACAAACCGGCGCTGACAGTAGCGGCCGACTCAGGATCGGGGCGAAAGGCCGGCGCCGCCACCACATCTGCTCCCCTTCTCCATTTCTCCATACCTCCAGCGACTCCAGGGCCGAGAGGAGAATCATTCGGGGGGGGGTGTGGGGGAGAGGCCCTTGTCGCGATCTGGCAATGATTGGGGGGCAACTGTCAGACTCGACCGCTGGATATGCTTATTGCACACTGTTCGATATGCTGGTTTTTGGCCCCCGCCGGGAGAAACGCATATTCGCCTCGGACGGCTTTGGAAACTCGATACAGGTACTCATACATGTGCATGGCGGAGCATGAGTTGCTAGTTTAGACCAAGGCCATCGATGCTACCTTACTCTGGCTTGTCTGGCCCTGGTCGAGATCCATGGCCCGTATTCTTGTGCTGCGCTCCGCTAGTTGCTGCGGTACATCGCACGACCCTCACCCTGGGCTGTCCCAATTCCTTGCTGGCAAGGCCATCTTCGTTATGCCGCATTTCGAGTCCATCTTTCCCCCCTCTTGAGGCTTTCCTCTTTCATCTTCTCATCCCTTCTCTCCCTTCTCTCTGGTCTCTCTCGCCACTTATGACGCTCCAATTGTATCTTTACACCGTCTTCACATGAGCGTCTTCGCATGAGCCCCTACGAGTACCAAGGAGATGCAAAGCTAAACAAACAATCCTATAGCCCTGGCACTGGCCTAAAGCCGCGGCTAAGACGACTCGATTCTCTCGAATAACTAAGAGCTGGTGCCGCCTATTAGGTTTAGCGTTCGAGGTGAGAAGTTCAGCCATCGTGCCATAATACCGAGCCCGCACGCTTATGCCCGATCAATGTTGTTTCAAACACCCAATTAACTTGCCTGGCCTCCCCTTTGAAAATTGAAACCAAAGCAAATTAAAAATCTCCGCCACCAAAAAAAATAGAAGGGGGAAAAAGAAAAAGAGAAGAGAAGAAGACGAAGACATGTGTTCAGCTTACTCGTGCCTACTGTGTTCCTCAACTGTGTCAACCAGCACAACTACGCCAACTTGACAATAAAAACATCACCAAACATGACCATGCCTGGCTAACTCGGCGAAAAGCGCAGCAAACGGCCACAATGGCCTCCTCCAGCACCTCAACGGACGCTCAATCCCAGTCTTCAGAACACGGAGCAGCGCTACATCCACGCGCTGACGAGAAGCACGGCCTCGAACGAAACTCTAATAGCATCTCTAGAGACCCTCGCGACTCCAACGACGTAGCCGATCCTACCACCGACACCGAGAAACAGATCTATGTTGTTCAAGATGCAGACTCCAACGATGATGAAAATCTGGTGTGGTGGGATGGCGATGACGACCTTCAAAACCCTTACAATTGGCCCGCCTGGCGCAAAGTTCTCAATAGCGTTCTCGTCAGCTCTCTTTCTTTCATCACGCCCTTAGCATCATGTATGAGCATCTTCATTTTGCCCTTTCGGCGTCTTTTAATTCTTCAAGACTGACTTGTGATGTCTAGCCATGTTTGCTCCTGGTGTCCCCGATCTCATGGTGGAATTTCATACCACAAGTCAGGAATTGGCAGCCTTTTGCGTTTCCGTATATGTCCTTGGCTTTGCTGCTGGGCCTATGCTCTTTGCGCCATTGTCTGAGCTGTATGGCCGACAAATTGTTTACAACACCACAAACGTTGGCTTCATTGGTAAGATTTCAGCTTAGCCAATTCATCTCATATATCATATACAGCCCTTGCTATCTCATATTCTATGGACGACACAACTAACGCCCGCCAAGTCTTCGTCATCGCCTGTGCAAAGGCCCCGTCAATGAACGCCCTCATCGTTTTTCGTTTCTTCAGTGGCATCTTCGGCTCTTGTCCCATCACCAACGGCGGCGGCACCATCACCGACATGATTTCCCAGGAGAAGCGCGGCGCCGCCATGGCAGGCTTCGCTATCGGGCCCCTGTTAGGCCCGGTCGTCGGTCCTGTTGTCGGCGGGTTCATCACTACGGGCCTCGGATGGCGCTGGGTCTTTTGGATCATGGCGATTCTCGCGGGCACCCTGGCCTTTCTCTACGCCGTCCTTGCCAGCGAGACGTATGCTTCCGTACTACTCGACCGCAAGGCTAGAAGACTGAGGAAAGAGACGGGCAACCCCCTCTTACGGTCCAACCTCGATCCCGGACTGTCAAGTGCTGCGTATCTGAAGCGCGGCATCCTGCGGCCGTTCAAGCTGCTAGTATTGTCTCCCATCAGCATCATCTGCGGCATCTACGTCGGCGTGGTCTACGCATACCTTTATCTACTCTTCACCAGCTTAACCCCCCTCTTCATGGAAATCTACCACTTCAAGACGAGCTTCGCAGGCCTCACTTTCCTAGGAATCGGCATCGGCAGCATGATCGGCGTCGCCTTCTTCTCCCTCACCAGCGACAGGACCATCAAAAAGAAGGCCGCGGAAGAGGCCCTGGCGGCAGAGGCAGAGGGCAGGGCGCCCGAAGGCATGAAGCCCGAGTACCGCCTCTCGCCCCTGATGGTCGGCGCCCTCGTGCTTCCCATGGGCTTCTTCATCTACGGGTGGACCGCTGAGTACCAGGTCCACTGGATCGCACCCATCATTGGTACCGTCGTGATTGGCGTTGGCGATCTCATCGTCTACATGGTAATTCCGCTCTTCTCTCAATTTCTTCCACCGATAGAAACCTTCAGCTAAACATCACCACCTCTAGTCCCTGCAAATGTATCTCGTCGACACCTTCACAATCTACGCCGCCTCCGCCCTCGCCGCAAACGCAGTCATCCGCTCCATCGCAGGATCCGTCCTCCCCCTCGCCGGCCTGCCCATGTACAACCGCCTCGGCATGGGCTGGGGCAACAGCATCCTTGGTTTCATTGGCCTTGCGCTATCACCCATCGCGTGGTTATTTGTCAAGCATGGTGAGACACTGCGCAAGAGATTTGATATCAAGAATTTATGAGAGCACTCTTCCCTTTTTTGTGCACTATTTTCTAGACTTGCTCCAAACGACACGATTTTAGACACCACTTTATCAAGATATACAAACGCCAAATCATCATACGTTTTACCACCTTCACCTTAGCATAAAAAGTCGAATGGGTTCGGTTGCATAGGATATTTTTAATCACCGGGAATGAGACCGAAGGCCATTCAATTACATGATCTCTAAAAGAATAGGGGATTCTAATTGGAACAGAAGGAGATTTTATCTTGGGTGTGATATATACCCATTGGGAATCTATAAAGTGCCATAATGGCCAGAATAAATGATCAACGTCTGCTATAACACCACATATACATGCATAGGTTTCGACATGTGTAGTACATTTTGCCACTTTCACAGACATGTTTGCCAAAACTTGGGAGCCTCTAAGAGGTAATGCTCTTTTTCATTCGTTAAGACGTAAAGTTTTATTTTTTGTCATTAATTGATAGGTGACCTGCATGCAACCGCCTCAAAAACTAGCTAGCTTCATACCTCGGGCGTTGTTGCGTTTATAACCATCATAGCCATTCAAGCACTTCATTTTTCCTCTTTTCTTTCTTTAAAACAAAAAAAAAATAATCATTCCCATTCTTCCCAAATCCAGCAAATGTTTTCCCCTTTTATTCCAAATCCAGTCGTCTAAGCCATCTGTCCAATGCCCAGGTGGTCTGGGTCAGCGCGGACAATGCGCAGGGTGTTGGTGTTGCCCATGCCGCCCTTCCAGCCCTGGACAACGACGACGGTGTCGCCGGCAGTCAGGGTGCCGAGCTCGATGGCGTGGGTGACGGCCCACTTGATGCGCTTGTCGACATCCTCCTGCCAGTTGACAGTCTCAAAGTCGGGCTTCTGCTCGGGGTACAGGAAGGGATAGACACCACGGTACAGGTGGCTGAATCGAGAAGTGGTGGGGTTTCGGGTCACCATGAAGATGGGGCAGATAGGGCGGTACTTGGACAGCAGGCGGGCTGAGTCTCCAGAGGTGGAGAGAACAATGATACCACCAGCTCCAAGGTCGAGGGAGGCACGGACGGCAGCCATGGCGCAGGACTCGACGGGGGAGACGGGGCGCTTCACCAGGGTGCACAGCTCCTCGAAGTGGGAGACGTAGGGGATGGTGTTCTCAGCCTTGAGACTGGCCTCGTGCATCTCACGGACGGACTCGGCGGGGTAGTTACCCTTGGCGGTCTCACCAGAAAGCATGACGCAGTCAGCGCCATCAGTGACGGCGTTGCCAACATCGCTAATCTCAGCACGAGTAGGACGAGGGTTCTTGATCATGGACTCGAGCATCTGGGTAGCACAGATGACGGGCTTGCCAGCAATGTTGCACATGGCAATCATCTTCTTCTGGGCAGCGAACACCTCGGCGGCGGGGATCTCAATACCCAGGTCACCACGGGCAACCATGACACCGTCGGTCTCCTCGAGAATCTCGGCAAAGTTGTTTAGGCCCTGTCGGTTCTCGATCTTGGCAATGATCTGGATCTGCTTGCCCTCGGGTCCCAGGACGTCACGGATATCCTTGATATCCTGAGCACGGCGGATGAATGAGGCAAAGACCATGTCGACACCGTTCTTGACACCAAACCGAAGATCGGCCTTGTCCTTCTCAGAGAGAGCGGGCAGGTCGACATCGGTGTTGGGCAAGTTGACACCCTTTCGGGAGGAAATGAATCCATTGTTTCGGGCGCGGACCTCGACGGTCTTGTCGTCCTTGATGCTCAGCACATCAAAGGCAAGGACACCGTCGTCGACGTAGATGACACGACCAGGCTGGATCACCTTGGTGATGTTCTTGTAGTCGACATACCTGTGACGTCGTCAGCATTTTGCCCAACCATCAGCTTATGGGAGAGGACAATGGCGGGTGGTAATTTCTTTAGTCATGAATAGCATAGGGCATCAATTAGGACCCAAGCAGTCCCGCCCGTTGGCATCCTCATGCATGACATTACCACCACAAAGAGGGCGGGGAGGGTGTGTGCTCTGTGCCCCTCCCTGCCCCTCCCCCTCCTTTGGATAAACAAAGAGATTCTTACATGTTCTGGGTGTCACAAGCAGTGATGTATTTCTCATCGGTGGTGATGTTCATGACGGTACCGACGGTGATGGGAATGTCCACATCGCCAGTGGTGTTGCCGGTGCGGATCTCGGGGCCCTTGGTGTCGAGGGCAATGGCAACGGGTCGTCCAGGGTGGACGTCAACGGCAGCGCGCACATTGTCAATGACAGACTGGTGGTACTCGTAGCTGCCGTGGGAGAAGTTCATACGGGCCACGTTCAGGCCAGCATCACGAAGCTTGTTGAGGGCCTCGACCGAGTTGGTCTTGGGGCCGATGGTGCAGATGATGGCAGTGCGGCGAAAGTTGCGGGCAGGGGTGAAGGCTGTGTTGAGGGAGGCCAGCCAATTGATGCGGCCACCGATTTCCAGGTGCTCCTGGGCCGTGGTCGCCATGATGCTGACGGTGCGAGAGGGCTTGGGGATCTGGGACATGGTTAAGAGAGGGTTCGGCGTCGAGCACTAGAAGTCAAGCCGGTCGGGAGAGGGAGAAGTGGTTATGCTCACGAGTCAAATATATTCGTCAGGCTCCCGTGAGAAAGAGATGACGATGAGACGGAATGTCAAAGATTGCGCAGAAGATGATTTGAGGGAGGAAGCAGACGAGGATGGAGAGGGAAATAAATAAGGATAAGAGAGAGAGAGATTCAACGAGGGATGGAGAGAGAAAAAAAAACCACGCCTAAGCAACGGCAGAGCAGTCGATTAGGTGATGCTACCTCAAAACTATGTGGTGTGGAGGGGGTGGGAAAGCCGGCAGCCGTCAGTGGTTGGTTTTTTTTTCTCCTGTAACTGCAAAGTATCACAGTAACGCGGCAAGGGGATCTGTGAGCCAACCAAGGCTTAGGATTGGCCAGTTCAAGGCGTATCGAGAGGCGAGCGCTGTTTTCGGTGCTAATAAAAGCCCAGGTCATCTCCAACTCAACTCAACTTGCCCCTCCTCAAAGCAAGCAGCAAGCCCAGCAACCCAGTTAGTTGCCAGGGTACAGGTGAGGGGCACTAATAGAGGGGCACTGCAAAAAGGGACCGGCCGCTAGTCTCACCGTTATCTCTGGCGCATGCTAATTGAACAGTAAAAGAAACCGACCTCAGTATGTAAGTAATAATCCAGCACGCCGTAAACGGACGGCGGGGCGGAGTGCAGAAGAAGAGTGCGGAACATTTTTTTTTGTTTTTTTTTTTGTTCTTTGGCTTTTTTTGGATTTGACCCAGGATAGCATATCATAAGCTGATACTCCGTACTCCGTAACAGCACCGGCCATTATACATTGATATCCATGTATGATTATGCCGGGGACTTGTTCCATCTGACCTCAAACTCTCACTCTGCCTCGCCTGTGCTCCGTATTGCGCTTGTTGTGAGGCATTTGCAGCTACCACTCCCGCCGGTGCCGCCCCCGGGTACACTCCATGCCTATCGCTGAGGATTCCTCTTCAGCGTGGCTAATAGTATAAGCATTGCCCCTTGCTGCCACAGTATACAACAAGGGCATTGGGAAATGCTCCGTGCTTCGGCTCGTCTCAACAAAAAAAAAAATTGATTCGGTGCTACTTGTCTTCCAGTCGAGCATTTCCCCCACGCCCGCACGCCGTCTCTCTAGCGCCGGATCATAGTGAGAGTTAACGTGTTGGACGAAGCGCGAGGCTCGGAGAATCAAGCATCCCTCCCAGCTCGTGGCCTGTGATGTCGGGTGAACAAAACGGGCAACACGCCAGACGTCAAGTGTTGTGCACTCGCAATCCAGCGCCTCATCCGTTTTTGCCCTCCCAATCACCCGATGCTTTTGCAAGGCCCATGACTTTTCGTGATGTTTGCTAATACGGGCAATTAGCACTCAGTCCACTCTTATCGGGGATACAAGTTGAGCTTTCGGGCCTGTTCTTACCTTTTTTTTGCCCCTCTATCCTAATTAGGATTAGAGTTCCAGATGCTAGCTTGGCCCGATTAGCCTCTAGTGCTGTTGAGCTCGTTGCATGACTAAGCTCAAGCTTGTGATTCGCTGACTCATCGAGGGAGCTCTGGTTGTCTGGCGAGGATCCGGAAGATGAGGCGCCGATCTCCGAAAATCCCAGCCAGCGTCGGATGCGCAAAGCACGTGAGTTGGGGCGGTGCCGTCACCTCAGCTGTTTCTCCAGCCTCCAGAGCTTGTAACTCGAATTAGCCTCTCACCGTTGCGACACCCCTTGCGAGCTTCTCCAGATCCCCACGACGACCAAAAACCCTCCGTTGCGGCCTCTGATTTTTATCCTCGGATCGAATCGAATCGGAAAAATCAGTCACCATGGTGGTACGTCCCTCCCCGATCCAAATCCCCCGCCCCGGTTCCTGCTTCCGTGCTGGCCCTCCATCGCGGCGTCTTCGGGGCGCTGCGCTTGGAGTCGTGCCAGATGTCGCCTGCTTGACTGGCCTTTCTAAGACTGATCGCAGCTTCTCGACCTGCTGACTCTGGGCCTCTGGTCAAAGGTTGGACGTTTGACACACTATGCTTTTGACGCCGTTCTTCGTAAGAAATCTCTTGGCCCGCTCCCTTGTGTTTTTGCGATGCCGAATGGTTGCTAAATTTGCATGTGACAGTCTCGGCTTTTCTCGCTGGCGTGAAGCGATCGACCGGCTTGACGTGAGTTTACTAGAGCTTTATTAATGCACAAGTAATGTGTTTTCGCCTCTCGAACCGGCGGGTTAACTGGCCACCAGTTTCAAGAGCGACAAAGTTGCTGGCGAGAACAAGGAAGTCTCCAAATGGATCGACAAGTACCTCGGCGTCGGCGAGTGGGTGATGGACCAGTCCGTTGCCATCGCCGGCTCCAGCGGCTTCTTTGAGCGCAAGCGATGATTTCTCGCAACTCGATCAGACCACCTCCTTTTGAGTTGCCGAATTCAGATACCGGGTTGGTGCCATCGCGGCGAGGGTAGTGACCGAGCGATTTCGCTCCAACCTGTCTGGTTTCATGGAACTCTGAGGTTGCAATTTTCTTTTTATTTTCCCCTTGCCGAGAGAGTGCAAGTGCGTTGGAATTATGATAGCTGTGCCTAAGAAGAGGCCGAGGGAAATCCCCAACAAGTTCAAGTTCGTTTTGAGCTATTATGACGGATGAGCAGTGCCAAAGTCATGTTTTTATCTGGGCGTTTGAAGGAACAACTGGGTGCTTGTTTGATGGAATTGCTGAATATGATGAAATGACTCAACTACGCAAAAAATAAGAAAAGAAAAAGAGAAAAAAGAAATGCCGACGACGTGACTCTTGCTCTTATCGTTTTCCTTCCACCCGGCTCAAATTCTGGCTTGGTTGCATCTCCACAAGTCGTGATCGTTCCACTTAGCCGAGGTTACCCAGGCGCTAACATCTTCTCGAACAAAGACGGCCAGGGACAGCTCACTCACATGTAAGCTGCTCTTGGCTACGACGCACATCGTTGGAAAGAGTCCAATATTTCACAATAGTAAAAAGTCTACACAGCAATAGAGAGTGCATATTGATTAACAAAATAAACTGGCATCTGTGGACAATCTATGGACAAACAGTAGAAGAAAGATACACACCAAAAGATCAGAAGGCAGCACATAAAAATCGATGGCAGGCGGAGAGGCCATCTCGGAGAGGGGACAACCGAGTTCACGATTAAAAAGCTGGTTGCGAGTTTCACATGGAAGGGATTATAAAGGGGTATGTATACAAGGCTCGGGGATTAAAATGAGGCTATTCGGTGGAGCATTGCTTATAACAGCTCCCGATTACAGCTGCCGGTCTTGGGTGCATATAAGTGGAAATCGGCCTTGTAACGGTTTGAAGTTCTGCCCATAGCATTTACTGTTTCTTTGTATAATTACCGTTGCTGCATATACTCAAGCGTTTCAGTGTGCGTACAGCTAGATGCTGAGAACCCTATAAGCTGTTTCAAGGCCCGTGTAAGAGATTTCAACAGGTGATTCTTCTCAACATAGTCATATTAGCAAAAGTCCCAGAAACTGCTACTACTCTTTAGGTTACTATGCAAGCGCTCTTTGAAACTCGGCTGAAATTACGGTGTGTCTTAAGCTTACTTGTTAGGTTGGGTAACTATAGCAGCTGTCAAATACTGTAAGCAGACAAATTATGTACCGACAGTGCCTCCTTCAAACGCTTCCTTGCTTCGGAGATCTCCTTTCAAACCCATGGAACATATGGTGAATTTAGCATACTATGCAGTTCAGTTTAACCCAGTTATGAGATTCAGCAAAATCTCTCTATATATATATGTATATATATATTAGTTCTATTCCAGATCAACTCTCTCAATCACTTCTAATACCGCTCTCAAACACCAAAACGCACCCTCTCTGTTTCTCTATCAGTTTCAAGTCTCTTTTCCGTCATCATCCTCGACGTCCCAAAACTTCTAAATTATACACCAACATGTCCTGCCAATCACTAGATCCCTCAAGCGGCATATGCTTCGGCACCAGCAACAACATCACCTTACTCCTCCAAACCTTCAAAAACTGCTGCAGCCTCGCTCCCATCGTCCAGTACTACGACACTTATGGATGCAGTGCTTATTGTCCCATCATGCCCGACCGCCGAACGGGCGAATCGCTCCGGGATTGCATTGCCGATGCTCTGGGGACTGGCTCGTGCTATGCACCACTTGATAAACCTGCTGCTCCGAGCGTTATTGCAAGAGCCAGCGCGGCTGCGAAAGAGCCTGTTTGCTCTGTTTGCGCTGCTGCAGCTGCGACATCTACAACTGGGGCTGCGATCAGGATGTATAGTGCCGATACGGGTTCATGGAAGACGGGACTGACCATTGGAGTCGTAATATTTACGGGAATGTTCGCCGGAGGGTGTTTGATTTAAAATTCGGGCTGCTACATCTCGACCACGAAGGTGACCTTTGAACACTCGAGTACGTGTTGCGCTGAATTAGACGAGGGAAAGCATAATGTCGATAACCATATGAAGGAAGGCCATAGAAAACATTAGATACCATCTCATCGCTTAATCATTAATTTCATTCTCTAGAATCTAACGTTCCAAGGCTACTTTACACGCTAAAAGAAAATCATAATAGGATAATCACAAAATACGTAGTAGTCCAGGGTATAACTCCAATCGTCTGAAGAACCACCACCGAATAAAGACACACCAGCAAGAGACGCCGTCAATCGAGAGTGTCGTTTGAACTGGCCAGAGAGCCGAGAGAAAAGACAGGGATTGCCACACCCTATGCGTGCTCTGCCAGAAACTCCGGCGGCACTTCGTTCTCACTGTCGTACCTACGCAGCGGCGCGCCATCAGTGTTGACCGCATGAGCATGCTCATCATCTCTGTCCTGTTCCCCGCCGAGTAGGTCTGGGGGCACCTCATTGTCGCTCTCTTCATCAGCTGAGTGGCTATTTTGTTGCGTAGGTCGATCTTCTGGCTCTGGCTTTGCTTCACTCGGCTCATCCTGAGTGCTGGCGGGATGCTCCTCGGGATGCTCCTCAGGAGGATGGACCAAGCCTTCAAAGACAGTGGCACCCTCTTTAAAGGCTTCTAGTTCTGCGCCAATGGCGCAAATCAAAAGATTCCAGTGCTTTTCTTCCGCCAGCCGCATGTAGCTCTCCAGCTCCTCAATCACCTGCTTCATTCGTGAAAGCTGGGACGATATGATTTCTTCCAGAGATGACACTTTTTCTTTGCCTTTTGAGGTCGAGTCTGAAGGGGATGATGCTCCATTCTGCATAGCTTGTCGTAAATCTGCTTCGTATGTAGATACCAGCTGCGTAACCTTGTCCCAAACTTGGCCCCCCTCTTCCAATGCGAGCCGATCTGTATCGATCCGCTCTTTGCAGCGCTCCAATACTGACATCTCTGCTTCCCACCACGATTTTGCCATTTCTAGTGTCCGCCGCTCAGGGATGAGTCGCATAAACTCAACTCCCCCTAAAGCTGCTGGATCTCCCTCAACCTCGCCGCCGTGGTTTAGGAGATCCGGGTCAAGTGGTAGAATTGGTGGATGCTGTACAAATGCCTTGACTTCGTTTGTCACGTCTCTTAATGCGCCGTGATATCCACTAAGCCCTGCTTCTCTTTTGTTCTTAATGTCGTCCATTCGCTCTTCCAATGTACGGCACTGGAAGCGCATAGCGGCTAATCTCTCCTCAAGCTGTCGGATTTCTTCGCTCAGGGCACCATGCTGTGTACCTAGCTCTCGCAGCTCTTTCGCCAGCGGTTCGTCGCCGTTTTCCTCCAGATCGCGCAGCTCTGCTTGAATATCAGATTTCCTGGTACCTAGCCCGTCCAGGTAGTTGAGAGCGTCTTCTCGTTGGGCCATGGCGTCTTCTATGTGGGCATTTTCGTCTCGTTTGAGCTTCGTCATGGAGGCAATCAATTTCCGGAGATCGTCCCGTGTAGATTTCAACCCAGGGGGCTTATCGTTCGCTGGCTGCCGGATTGGAACCACGTTGCCGTCGCGGGTTGCCCGAGGTGGTACGTAGAGGGAGCTAGTCATTCTCGATTTGGAGCTTTTTGTAGAGTAAAAGGTGCCAGTTGGTGTGCTGCTGCCTGTGCTGGAGGCATCATTCTCATTGCCAGATCCAGCTGCCAACGCGGCGGCCTGTTGATCAAGCAATCGCTGGACGTCTTGCTCCAGAGCCTTCTCTTGCCTCCGCAGGCCTCGCCAGATGGAGTCTGTGTTGTGCGCACCGGCTTCACGTCTATGATCGAACAGTACGCTATTTGCTTCGGTAGGGCTTCCACCAAGAAGACTGTAGGGAGTATGTTTGCTGCGACCTGAAGGGCCAACAGAGTTTGCCCGGGCCGAGTCCTTGCTGAGCATCATCGACGCAGTTATCGGCGGCGGTGGACCAGCAAACATTGCCCTCGGCTTCATCTTGGAGTATGACTGGGCTGGACTGCCCTTGTCCCGCCATGTGCTTGGGGATTGCCCACGAGACGTCGCTGATTCCTCATAGTCGGCCAGCCAAGCTCTAGGCAGGTCCCCATCGGCCGATAAGACATCGTCAGGTCGAGGATCTAGTTCGTTGAGCTGATATTCGCTAGGTGATCGGATCGGAGGTTTGTGGAAAGGTAGACCCGGCGAGTTGCGATGGGGGCTTGCTATGCGATCGAAAAAAGACATGGTGGTGTTTTTGGATGGAGGGGAGCTGTGTCGTTGCGTTACTCGAGACAGCGAGGAAGAGCGATTGACGGGGAGGTCGTGGAGATTCAGAGCCAAGAGCAAATCCAAGCTAAAATGATTTTATATGAAGCATGGAGAAGGAATACTTGGTGTTGGTGGATGGGCCATGGAGCGTGTTGTCAAGCTTGCTCACGAGGACAGGTATGGGTGAAGTCGAGGCATGTGCCTGGTTCCGGAGCTTATCAAGGTAGTGGCCGGAGCTTGTACAGGCATCTGCCGATAGCACTCAAGACTGTGCACTGGGCAATTGGCTGGCGAATTCTGTGCTTGTGGATTGGTGTAGACCACTTTGGGGACGTAAGTCGCTTAAGCTCGGGTTGATTTGATCAAAAGTCGATAATGTGGTGCATGCAGAGAAGCGCGGGCTGTACTTTGGGAGCTTTCTGCAACTCAGACACTAAAAGTGGGCAGTGTTGTCATCGCCGCTTTTGTTGCTACCCTAGCATGCAACGAACAAGGCAGTTTGGCCATACATTTAGAAGCGCTGCAAAACATCAAATATACGGGCATCTAATTCGTACTAGGTACTAAGAAACGATTTGATGATTCTAAGGAATAGGTCACTAAGGTGTGATAAATTTAACTAAACTCAACTCATCGCTACCATCGAGCTTAACGTATCAATACTCGTATCACAAGATGCGCTGATGAGTTGAGACTAAAGCCGTCAATCTCTTGGCCAGCATGCCCAAACCTTCTAGCATGTCTGACATAATGAATTTGCCGACGGAGCTTGCCGCGCGTCCGTTCCGTACCCCGTCCATACGTATTCATTCGTCTTGCATCGGGTTCTTCAAGGCAACGCTGTTTGCTACAGGAGGTTTAAAGGCATCCATTCCTCGATCGAGTCGCGGCCCCCAGCTGGGGAGATCGCTAAAAAGGAGGACGGGAGGACGATTACAGTGAGACGCCGCCGCCCCAGAGTGCTAAGGGCGTAGTGCAAGCCGCTACACTTTGGCGCCTCGCTGCCACTTGATCCGTACAATAAGCACCGGGACGCTGACGAAAGCAAAAAGGCAATTGACTCGAGTTGGTTTGGGCGGGCTCAATCCTATTTCGCGTCTATTCTGCGATTTATCAGCTGCGTCTTTACTTTTGTTGTCACTCCCCTCTGCATTCTGTCTCCATATAGCTGCAGCAGCGCAGGGAACAAAGCAAAAGCAAAGGGGAGGGTCCCGTCATCTGGCGCCTCGTGATCCAGCCCTGCTGCTCCAACCCCTCGCCTATCGCCATCCGGATTGACTGACATCCAGCCCAGACTAAAGTCAGTCCAGTCACAGCCAACTAACCGCCCAGCAAAGCAAAAGCGCCGTCAGCCCGCTTCAGGCCAACCCCAACCGGCCAACCCCCAAGAAGCACCATGAACCAATCACATCAGCTGCCTCCCCCGCGACGGCAGCAGTCCGCCACGGCTCCCTATGGCGCTCAGCTCGACGAACTTCACATGTCCGGCATGAGCCCGCAGAGCCAGATGGCATCGCGAGACTACGCTCCCCAGATCAAGCTCGAGCCGTCGCCCGTGCCCAACGTGCTCCAGCCGGGCGGCATGTCGCGCCCGCCTCTGTCTGCCAACAACTCCATGTCTGGCTCTGTTCCCGGCTCTATTCTTGGTTCTGGCTCTGCTTTAGCATCGGCGTCATCGTCTGCGCAACACCAGCAGGGCTATCAATCGCCGCCAAAGCCCGTCCTCAACATGTCGCACACCTACTCTCGCTCCAGCCCCGCGGCCAACTACGACACGCCCGCCTCATCCTCGTCCTACCACGCCTACACGCCAACCACCCCCAGCGGCTCGTCCTCGCAGTTCATCTCGCCCCAAGATGCAAAGTACAACGCTCCGGGCTCCCAGCGCACCTTTTCCAACACGCCGCTGGGCCTGGCTGACATCCGGCCGCGCGCCGACTCGAGCATGTCCGATGGAGCGCCTGGCACGCTTGGCTATGAGGTCGCCAACACACAGCCAGGTCCCAGCAACTACCTAGCTCCATGGCCAATCTACGCTTTCGACTGGTGCAAGTGGACGCCGCGAGGGAACGGAGCTGGCAAGGTCGCCGTCGGCAGCTATCTAGAAGATGGTCACAACTTTGTAAGCCAAGCTGTCGTGTTGGATGTGGGGTGTTGGGTGTTGAATAGTCGATGCTAACAGGGTGATATCAGATTCAAATCCTCGACAGCCAGGTCGTTCCAACACCTCAGGACGTATACCAGCCCGGCACGTCCAAGTACAATCTCGAGTTCACAAAGGTGGCCGAGGCCACACATTCGTATCCCGTCACGCGGCTTTTGTGGGAGCCGCCGTCTTCGCAGAAGCAGTCCACCGATCTCCTAGCCACGTCCGGCGACCACCTGCGGCTGTGGTCATTGCCATCCGAGACCTCTGCAAACCCAGGAAACACAATTACTCGCCCGCGCGACTCGGCCGTCACGAAACTGACCCCTCTAGCACTCTTGTCAAACTCCAAGACGCCCGATCACACGGCCCCGCTGACGTCTCTCGATTGGAACACCGTCTCCCCCAGTCTTATCATTACCTCGAGCATCGATACCACCTGTACAATATGGGACATTCCATCCCTAACGGCCAAGACGCAGCTGATTGCTCACGACAAGGAGGTATATGACGTAAGGTTCTGTGCCAAGAGCGTCGATGTATTTGTGAGCTGTGGTCAGGATGGAAGCGTGCGCATGTTTGACTTGAGGAGCCTGGAGCATTCCACCATTATCTATGAGCCTACAGGAAAGGAAGATCGAGGTTTGTCAACCCCCACTCCCTTCTAACTCCCATGAAGACGGTCTACAGGGAAACGAGCTCCGTTGCTAACAGCTTCAACAGTGGAATCCGGCGAGCGAATGAGCCCAACAACCGCTCAGCAGACGCTTTCGAATCCTCCCCCGCTCCTTCGACTGGCTACATCACCTCACGATACCCATCTTCTAGCGACATTTGCCCAGGACTCAAACGTGATCCGCATCCTGGATGTTCGACAACCCGGTCAAGCTCTTCTCGAGCTTCGGGGACACTCTGGTCCCCTCAATTGCATTGAGTGGTCTCCCTCGCGGAGGGGGACGCTGGCCTCCGGAGCAGACGACTGCCAGGTGCTGCTGTGGGATCTCATGAACTCTTCATCCATCAACGGCAGTCAGCAGCCAGAAAACCAACGAAGCCCCGTTGCATGCTGGGATTGCGACTACGAGATTGGAAACCTGGGCTGGGTACCACACTTGCAAGGCAACGATGGCGGCGAGTGGCTCGGTGTCGGCGCAGGTCGGGGCGTCTGGGGCGTGAAGGTGATGTGATGACCTTTTGATGGATATCCGATACGAGTTGAGGCCCGTCAGAGCCGACCGCGGATGACGCCTCATCTCCGTAAAAGCACCCGTTCCGATTGATATAGACTTGGCTGTTCGGCGGAGGGGGGTATATGTATCACCTTAGTACTTGAAAGGATTTATTGGAGTTTTGTACCGACAGCCCTAGCTGCATGAAACCGGCAACTTTGGAGTATGGAGACGTGACGAGTAACGATTGGAAGTTTGGTCAAATGGATTTGGTGAATGGATGGAAAAGGGAGTGCGAGGTGTGCCATGTCATATGGGGGTTCCTTTTTACGCATTTAGTTTATCGCAATTTGAAGCCGCGAGATTCTAGAAGGCCAGGCTTTATGAATACAGCGAGCAGATACATCCTTTGCATTGTTTATTGCCACCATTGAAATGCCGTTATTGATTTGCCGGCTGATATTTATGGGTGAAGCCAATATCACAAAAATTCCTTGTTGTAGCGAGATGAAATGTGTATTAGATTACAGGTTAAGTAGGTAGCTATCACGAGTGAGTCCAGTTTTATAATGATAATACCAGAAGTACGCGAGATAGGTGAAAGTGTGCAATGCATAAAAGTACACAAGTATCCCATTAAAGACCGAAGTTTGGTACTCAATCCAATTGGTGGTCAGATAAAATTCTTCTACGCAATGAGCTTCTTTTTCCTGCACTCCACAGCCTCTTAATTCCTCCTCTCACTTCTACCTGTGGCATCGACACTTGAACACTGTACGTACTCCACTCGTCCACTTCAGCACGGCTCGGCAGCGCCGCCTCGCTGTTGGAACTTTAAACCAGCCAAAGCGCGTCCAGCCCGATAATTACCCGCGTCGCCGACTCGCCTTTCTCTCTTCAAAGTGATCCTTGTTGCGAATCTCTCAACTTTGTTTTGTTTTCTTCCATTCTCCCCTTTCAATTCCCAGCTACAGTCGCATGATCACCAGCACGCCTCGCATACCGTAATTCAAGATGGCGTCCAACGACAGGGGCCGATTCGATGATTCCGAGGATGAGGAAGACTTCAACCCAGCGCCTGCCGACATGTCTGAAGACGAGGATCGCAATGACGGCTCAAGCCGGGCGCGAGACAGCAGCCCCAATCGCCGCCAGGAAGCTGATGAGGATGATGATGAAGAACCCGCACCAGCCAGATCGCGAAGAACTCATGATGAGGATGAGGAAGAGGAAGAGGACGAGGAGGAAGAAGAGGACACTCGTCGTCGCCACGATGACGATGACGAGGAGGAAGAAGAAGATGACGAAGATGAGGACGATGTCCAACAGGTATAGCCCTCGGACATAGCGACTGATGATGGGTTTCTAGCAATTAGAGATGCTGACACAGATGACAAAAGGGCCATCGGAGAAAGCGCCAGCGCGACAGGCGAAACGCCTTCATTGATATCGAAGCCGAAGTCGATGACGAAGACGAGGGTGAAGACGAAGAAAAGGATGGTGAGGAGATAGAGGACTTCATCATCGACAACGCTCACCCTGATGACCTGGCCGAGAGCTCGCGACTTGACGATGATCGAAGACACCGCGAGCTTGACCGCCGTCGCGAGATGGAGTCCAGCATGGATGCCGAGAAACAAGCCGAGATCCTGCGGCAGCGATACGGCAACCGACGACCTGGCAAGAGCTTTGGCGATTCAGCCGTCGTGCCCAAACGTCTTCTTCTCCCTAGTGTGGATGATCCTAGCATCTGGGCAGTGCGATGTAAAGAAGGAAAGGAGCGCGAAGTCGTCATGTCCATCATGAAGCGAGTCGAGGAGCGAAGAGGCACAAAGGACGAGCTGGCCATTACTGCCGCTTTCGAGCGTGGTGGCCCAGATTCCGTCATGAAAAGTTTCGTCTACGTTGAGACCCAAAGACAAACCGACATTCTTGTGGCTCTTGATGGTATCCTCAACGTCTATCCTCACTCTAAGTTGACCCTAGTGGATATCAAGGACATGCCCGAGCTTCTGCGCGTCACCAAGACACCGACACTGGAGCCCGGTGCATGGGTGCGACTTCGAAGACCCCCCAAGCACAGCGGAGACTTGGCTCAAGTCATTGATGTCACTGAGAATGGATTGGAAGCCAGAGTCCGATTTATCCCCAGACTCGACTACGGCATGCGAGATGAAGCTCTGTCTGCAGTGACCGCAGATGGAAAGCGTAAGAGGCCCCCGGGAATGGGCCCGCGACCGCCCCAGAGACTGTTCAGCGAGATTGAGGCGCGAAAGCGCCATCCCCGTCACATTCAGGGCAACCCGACTACCAACACTTGGACGTATATGGGCGAAGAGTTTGAAAACGGGTTCCAAGTCAAAGACGTCAAGATCCAGCAGCTCGTGGTGACGGATGTCAACCCTTCTCTGGAAGAAGTGACACGATTTGCTAGTGGCGCTGATGATGGCACAGAGAATCTTGACTTGAAGGCTTTGGCCGCCAGTTTGAAGGACAGCAACACGCTCGTCACGTACCTGCCTGGCGATATCATCGAGGTGTACGCTGGAGAGCAGAGAGGTGTTGTTGGCAGAGCTACCAATGTGCAGGGTGATATTGTGACCATGTTTGTCACTGAGGGTGACTTGAAGGGCCAGAGCATCGAGGTGCCTATCAAGGGGCTCCGCAAGCGCTTCAAGATTGGTGACCATGTCAAGGTGATTGGTGGCAGCAAATTCCAAGACGAAGTCGGTACCGTGGTCAAGATTTCTGAAGACCGTGTCACGCTGTTGACGGACCAGACGAACAATGAGGTGACGGTATTTAGCAAGGATTTGCGAGAGGCCAGCGACATTGGTGGACAAGGATCACTCGGCCAGTATGAACTTCACGACCTTGTGCAGTTGGACCCCACGACAGTCGGCTGCATTGTCAAGGTAGACCGGGAGTCATTGGTTGTGTTGGATCAGTTTGGAGACACCCGTCAAGTCATGCCATCTCAGATTCCCAACAAACTTCCCAAGAGAAAGCAAGCAGTTGCCGCTGACCGGGAGGGCTCAGAAATCCGCCTGGACGACGTGGTGAAGGAATTTTCTGGACAGCAACGCCAGGGCAAGATCATCCACATTCACCGTTCCTACGTCTTCCTGCACACCCATGCCACCAATGAGAATGCAGGTGTCTTTGTCACCAAGGCGAGCATGGTTAACACGATCGCTGCTAAGGGAGGTCGTGTTAATGCAGCAGCGTCTGGGCCTGACCTGACTACTATGAACCCAGCTTTGAAGATTCACAAGAACGGCACAGAGAACAAGCCCCTTGCCAAACAGTTTGGCCGAGATCGTGCCATCAACCAGACCGTCATCATCAAGAAGGGAGCCTACAAGGGTCTCCTTGGTATCGTCAAAGACACGACAGACACACACGCTCGTGTTGAGCTCCACACCAAAAACAAGACCATCACTGTTCCCCGAGATTGCCTCAACTTCAAGGACAAGAACACCGGCATGAACATTGACATCAACGGCAGAGGACGGCCCGCACCGGGCGGAGCAGGACGCGGCTCAGGGGATAGAGTCCCGGGCTGGCAAGGAGGCTCTCGCACACCCATGGGCTCCGGCGGCGCAGACCGTGTCCCCGCTTGGGGATCACGAAGTAAGTTGTTTCTGGTCTTCTATTGTTTTCCATTTTGCTAACAAAGACATAGCTCCTGCACAAGGCGGCCGTACGCCAGCATGGAAAGGCCAAGACTATTCTGGATCCCGAACGCCGGCTTGGGCAGATGGATCGAGGACAGTCAATCCATACGATGGAAGTCGAACTGCTTACGGATCTGGCTCACGCACGCCGGCCTGGCAAGCAGGTGCCAGAACACCTGCGCCGGGTGACGCATTCGGCGCTGGCTCGCGCACTCCAGCCTACGCCGGTGGAGGAGGAGGTGAAAGCTGGTCTTCTGGTTCGAAAACACCCGCATGGGGAGTTTCGGCACCGACGCCTGGGGCCAGCGAGTCTTGGGGTTACACACCTGGGGCTGCCACTTCTTCTGCCTACGATGCCCCAACTCCTGGAGGCGCCATGTCAGCTCCTACTCCTGGTGCCTTGAGCGCGCCCACACCTGGCGCTTACAACGCTCCCACCCCGGGAGTTGCACCAACGCCTGCTGGCGGTTGGCAAGGCGGATGGGGAGGAACAGACTCGGCGCCGACACCAGCAGCCGGAGCGCCGACACCGTCTGCGTCCGGATACGGTGGCTATTCGGCACCAACGCCTTCAGCCTACGGAGCGCCTGAGACGCCTGCGGCTAGTGGTCCGAGGTACACAGATGACGATTGAGCATCTCGGCCGGGCAATTGAGCTATATATTGTTTCTGACATGGTGGATATGGCGTTTTTGGGAATCAAAACTGCAGTAATAGTGGTGAAGAGCGGGCAGAGAGAACTTGGCACATGGCTAGTTGAAGCAGACAAATCTCAAAGGATACTGGGAAGCGCGTGGCTATAAAGAAAAGAAAAAAAGTAAATAGGGACAGTTTTTACGTATTACTAATGAAAATCTCTTGCATAAGGACGGAAGTCAATTCATATGTTGTGACTTGATGTGAGGGTGTGACTTTGTTGTCGTGGTTTGTTTCCTCGGGTGGTGGTTCCGGGATAGTTGTCACCTGGCCCGAGTTTCGGCCGAAAAGCCTTGTAGCCAAAAAGTTTGGGAGTCAAATCGTAGCTCTACACATATTTACCAACCACAATTACAACCCAACGTTAGAAAAAGCACACACAATGTTTCGTTCACGGATACGCAGCCGACTGCTGGAGCGCTACGAGAGACAAGTCTGCGAGAAACTCCACCAGCGAACGAACAATGGCTCTGAGCGAAGCTTTGCCTCGGCGCAGGCATCGACGAGAGGATATGCGACGAGCAAGAGTTCAGCGAATGCCAATGCCAATGCTTCGAAAGCGGTGAACAAGGCTGCGCCTGGGTCGACGTCTTCTCCACGAATATCCTCCTCTACCACAACGACAGGAACAACAGGAGGAGAGGTGGGAGTAGGAACAGGAGCGGCCCTACGAACAGCCGAGGCACGAGACTCTGCGCTGCGGGCAGCGCGCATGCGACGACTCGCGCAGCAGCAAGATAGGTTGGCCGAGGAAGCGAAGAAGAAGGAGGAGAAGAGGGAGTATAAGAGGAGGTATGATACGGCGGCGAGGAAGTGGGTTTCGACGATTATTGCGTTGCCGATATTGCTTGTGACGAGTTATTATTTGTTTGACAGACGTGAGTTTTTCCTTTTTTTTTTTCCTCTTCTTTTTTTAAGGCTTTGATGATGAGGATGGGGTGGAAGTGTGAAAGAGAGATAGATAGAGAGGGAGTGAATTTTGCTGACTTGTTGGGGGTTTAGTTGCGTTGAGGAATGAGCCGAAGAGTTTGGAAAAGTATCGGGAGAAGAAGTGAGGGTCTTTTGGTGGGTTGAGATGTTACGTTGGGTTAGAGCTGGCATATGATTCTATTCGAGCATTTGAAGGGTTCAAAACAGGTGTATGGATTGTCACGAAGGGTTCAGCGTTGATGAAGCTTTAGACTGGCTTGGGGTTGTCCATCCTTTACCCCCAGCTTGGAATGGCCAGGCTTCAACTTGAGAACGAGGGCACGCATAATGTATTACTGGATTTGCCAATTATTGAGCACACAATACGACTTGGGCTAGATGGATTGCTTTTGCATATGCAAGGCGTTGTATATATTACTACATGTACTGGGTATGTATTCAGAACAGCGACAGGACCATTGATTCTTGTAAAATAAACCCTCATCTATATATCCAATATCCAAGAGAAGACGTCATTATATATATGCAAAGAAAAAAGAGTCTACAGCTTCGACCTCACAGGCGCCGTGCCATTCTTCAGCATCTCCTCGGCATCCCTCTTGGACCACTGCTTCATCAGCTTGCGGATGATCTTGCCGCTGGCCAGCTTGGGCACCTCGTCGATGAAGGTGACGCCGCCGACCAGCCGCTTGTGCTTTGCGACGCGCGTGGCGGTCCAGTCCTGGATGTCCTTGGGCGTGACTTTGCCCTTTGAGGATGGCTGGATGACGACGTATGCGCGTGGCCATTCCTCTTCGTCGCTGTGAGGTTTTAGTTAGCACATTGATATGACAGATGGTAGCTTTTTCATAATCTTCTTTTTTGTAACGTACAATTTGATTTCGACAACTGCTGCATCGGCGACGTGCTCGTTTTCTAGAAGCACAGCTTCTAGTTCAGCTGGGGCGACTTGTAGGCCGTTGACCTTGATGAGTTCCTGTATATGAACCCCATTAGCAACCAAACGTATATGCTCTCGGAATTTAAACAACTGACCTTTTTTCGATCTACAATGGCAAACATGCCGTCCTTGTCACAAACGGCAATATCACCAGTCCTAAACCAACCGTCCTTGTCTAGACTCTCTCGTGTCGCTGCCTCGTTCCTCCAATATCCCAAACACACGTTGGGGCCTCTGATGAAGAGCTCGCCAGGTGTTCCCACGCCAACCTCCTTGCCATCATCGTCGAGCAGCTTGAACTCGCAGTTGGGAAGCAATCTGCCCACCGACCCGCCGCTGTCACCCTCTAGACCCTCGGCGAAGCTGATGCCGGTGCAAGTCAGCTCCGTCATGCCATAGCCCTGCGTGATGCGAATGTTGAACTTTTTCTCGCACGTCGTCTGCAGCTCTCTGGACAGAGGCGCCGCGCCGCATGTGATGTGCCGCACGCTGGAGAGGTCGTAACGCACGGTCTCGGGGCGCTTGGCGAGCATGACGACGATGGGCGGCGCAATCTGCAGCTGGGTGATTTTGTAGCGCTGGATGGTGGCCAGGAAATCCTCGTAGTGGAACTTGGACATGATGTAGATGGGCGTCAGCGTCTTGCCGGCAAGCAGACAGGCGTAGAGCTGGCCGTAGGCGTGGTACAGCGGCAGCAGGCCGACCCAGCGGTTGCGCGGCATGAGATCCCATTCGGGCTGTCTGTGGACGTGGCGGAGGTGGTTGACCTGCTCGACGTTGGCGATGAGGCTGGAGTGAGGGACGCAGACGCCCTTGGGGAGGCCTGTCGTGCCGGAGCTGAAGTTGATGGTGGCGACGGTGTTTCGGGCCTCAGTTGGGGTGAACTCGGGCCATTGCCATTTGTAAGCGTCCTGGTGAGGGGCGAGCATGGATCGCCAGTCGGGGATGCCATCCTGGAGGGGGGATTCCTCGTCGGAGAACTGGAAGATGCGGTTCTTGGGGATGCCGACTTTTGATGCGGCTTCAAGGACCTTGGGGAGGACGCTGGGGTGAGCGAGGACGGCTTTTGCCTCTGTGTTTGAGAGCTGGTAGCTCAGCTCTGTGATGTCATGAAGAGAAATGAATTAGCTGTCTGATACCTCTACTCTCTTATATATGCGATATCTGATACAACATACCCTGAACCGTAAAGACTGGATTGGCACCGCTAAAGATGTAGCCCGAGCCCGTCAACCCCAGATACGCAACGGGCACAAAGATGTGGTTCGGCGAGCACATCATGACCACGTCACCCCTCTTCAAGCCCATCCGCTGCAAACCAAGGCCTAGACGCCGGATCCATTGCACCAGCTGATGCGGCGAGAGATTCTTGCTGGGATCCTTGGCGTTGTGCCAGATGGGCTCGTGGGAGAGTGTGGATCCATTGCCGAAGAGATAGGTCAGGAGGTTGGTTTGGGGGATGTCGAGATGTTCGTATAAAGACTTGAACGGCATTGTGAGAGAGTGAGGCGGGATAGAGGGGATGTGTTGAGTGTGGTGAGTAGAGAGAGAGAGGGTGAAAGTGTAGGAAGGGCGCGATTGAGTCGAATCTCAACAAATCTATACACTAATAAAAAAAAACAGAACAAGGATTCCCACTGGTGGGACTATCTTCAATGGGTTGCCCGACCCTCTTAAAAGGTTCTGAGGCGATCGTCAACTTCCCCCTCAACAAAGGGACGCCAACCCGCGGGAAGATGCACCGCAACCGAGGCTTCGCTTCCTTCTAGACGGTTATTTTTTAACCAGAGGCGAGAGGTAACCCCTGTCAGATCTAGCTTTTGGCCACAGCAATTGGCTGCACGGTGACCATGCCTGGCTAAAGTGGAACTTGAAAAAGCTGGGGTAAGACTAGGACGGAAATAGTGAAGAAGGGGAATAACAAGAAAGAAAGAAAGAAGAGAAAAAAAGAAAAGATCTGGTGTAACTGATGACAAGCGATATTGTTATGTGACTTTGGATCTTTTATCTTGATTTTTTTCTTATTTCTTTCAGTCTTTCTTACTTTCTCGGGGAGCGGCTGTTCGTGTCCGAGTGTCCGCAACAGGATTCGGAGAGCATGGGGGAACGTGGGGCTGTTTCGGAGAGAAGAGGGGAAAGCGAGAGTCATGGAGCGGTCGTAGAGACGGTTGGAGAGACGGTTGGACAAGTTTTAACCAAGGTAAAGTCGAGGGATTGAGCCTTTATACAACTCTTGAAGAAATATCACCTTTGTCTGATATCTGACTGTAGCGGCGTCAGCGGGCATTGTAATGCCCTAATAGGAAATTCCCTCTGCGACGGGTAAGGGATTACTAGAGGCTTGAGAAGTAACGAACGCCAAAAGTCAATTCGGTGAGATGAGATCGGCGTGCATCTATTATTAAGAGAGATGGGGAGAAACGGTGATAGGATTCTTATATATACCCAATTAGGCATGTTGATGTCCTAGGTACACGTGTTCTATGCTCGTATATGTATGTAGAATCCCATTCCTGAATCCTACAGTCCACATCAAGTTGGGTACTAGGGATTAATCACATCGAGTGTCGCCTATAAGAGCCCATCCCGTACTTTTGAAACCACCAGCTAGCAATATATAATACCCTCACACGCAGCTATACCCACCGTCAACCGCCAGCCCAAAGCCATTAACAAAACTACTCAGTGACGACGCCAGAAACACAATGCCGTCGGCAATCTCCTCTGGCTGGCCTAGCCTGCGCAGGGGCGTCTCCCCAACATGCGCGTGCAGCGGGTGGTTCTCAATCTTACTCCAGGCATCGCCGCCCATCATGGGCGTCTCGATGTAGCCGGGGCAGATGGCGTTGATGCGGATGTTGGAGCCCGAGTACGCAACGGCATCGGCTCTTGTGATGCCAATGACGCCTGTGTTTTTTATCTGATGTCAGCGGATCATCAATCTTGGAGTGACTGATGAGGAGACGAACCGTGCTTGGCGGCGGCGTAGGCAGTGTAGTAGATGGGATAAAGCGGCTTGATGAGGCCGTATAGCGACGAAACGTTGATGATGGCGCCCCGTCCTCGTCGTGGGCCGAGATCTCTGCCATAAAGTCAGCAAAGGAAATAACCAACCATAAGATGAAACTTGGTTTTTTTTTTTTACCGGTTCACTCACTCTTGGTCTTTCATGATGCGGAGCTCTTCTGTCTGGCAGAAATGAACGCCGCTTAGGTTGATGCTGAGGACCTTACTCCAGTCCGCCTCATCCAGCTCGTGTACTTTTCCCTCCTTGCCCGTAATGCCGGCGTTGTTGACGGCAACGTCCAGCCGGCCGAAGCGCGCCACGATTTGCGACAGCACGGTCTTGACTTGCTCGGACTTGCTGACGTCGAGCTCCAGGGCCATGACCTCGACGCCGGGCCATTGATCGCGGATCTTAGTAGTTACGGCTTCGAGGCCTTGGACGTTGACGTCTGTGATGGCTAGCTTGGTGATGCCGTACTTGGCAAAGGCGTAGGCTGTCTGTTCTCCAATGCCTATGGGAAATTACATGTAGTAAGTTAGAATGGTTTCCGTTAGAACGAACCAATAGCTGGGTAGGTATGTATTGTGGGAGTATTGTGTGGATGATGCTTTGGGGCTTCCTAGTAAGACTTACCAGAGGCAGCGCCCGTCACAAAAGCTGAGCCTTCTAGTAGCGATGCCATTATGGAACCGACACTGACACAGATCCAAAACCGACCGAAGGAAGAGAAAGATATAATAAAAGGATGAGAGAAAAGGAGAAGGGCGAAAGGGACAAAGTTGTTCGGTGGCTTTATAGATCACCTCAAGCAAAGGCGGAACAACATACAGCATACAGAAACAGACAACCCGCACATATACGCACCCCACTAAACCCATCTGACTTGGTGATTATATTCTCCTCATGCATGCACATCTTCATTTGGCACGCTCTGTTGCTTTGTAAACCGCCCGATCACCTGGCCCACGGCGATTTAAGGGAAACATGCTCTACCAAACGAGGTTGGCCACTGTCACCGACCTAGACACGTCACCCAGTCCGAATCCAACCTCGTATCGTAATAATTAATATATATGAAGGATTTGAACAAGATGACATGCATTTCCGAGAGCTGGTTTGGCATGTAGAACACATCTCGTTGCAGTATAAATGGATCAGCCGGGCCGCTCTACTCCGCGGCTTCAGCATCGGTTCCACTCTTGACAACGAAAAGCGACATATAGATCCAAGTAAGCAAATTTGTATTAATGATTGATAAGATAATGTTATTGAATAGATTTCATATGTTAAAAGGTAGAGTATTGTATAATATCTTTGAGAAACATGGCTGAATTGGGTTATGGTTGATGAATTGAGCAGCGAGCCATCAACTGGTACGGTCTTTAAGTCAGCTGCAACACGTTGCTGAAGGCTCACTCACTTTCTTACGGGTATGCAAATTTCGAGATGGACAATAAAACAGATCTAAAGTATCAATCTGAATTTTTGAATAGTCACTTCACTATACGCAGAGGAGAACGTTGAAAGAGCATCACAGGTTGAATGGATATAGATAAGTGTTTGTTTCACAGTATTTATATTGATTGACCTGGCTTCGCTAATAAAGACGAAGTGCATGCAGGCATCCGAGTTATATCATAAAGATACAAAATGAGCAAACCAACGCCACGGCGAGCCCGTGATTTCACAGGCTCAAGCCATCCCAAAACCACCCGTTGATCCAATATACCTTGGAAGCAACAATGACATCAACACAGACAGAACAAAAGGAATCATAAAGACAAAGAAAGACACGATGTGTTATGCCAAGTCAGGTCGAGTTACTCGCTCGGCTTGGGTGGCTGGAAGCGCGCAATCGACTTCTGGATGCCCCTCTCCATGCCCTTGGCCATCTTCTCGAGCGGCAGCTTCTCATCGAGCTTCTTCATGGCCTTTGCGATGGGGGGCTCGATGCGCTGGGCGGTGCGCTCAGCGGGGGAGCTGAAGTAGTTGATGTTGCGCTCCCAGCGAGGCGCCCACTTGTTGGTCTGGCGCTGCAGCCTCTCTTCGGCGCCGGGCATGGCCATGTAGAGGGGAGCGAGGACGCCGACGCCGGCGGCGCTGATGCAGAAGATTTCGGTGGGCTTGGCCTTGGGGAGACGGGGGACGCGAGGAGCCATGATGACTGATGTGGTGTTGATGAAGATGTGAGAGAGTTGTTGTTGGAGTTTGTTTCACACGCGGTTCTGATGATGGAATCAAGAACCAAATCAGACTGTTATTTGAGAGTCTATCGATACCAGGTCAGTTTTGTCTGCGACGATATCAAGATTGAAACAATGACGAAGAAAAACATACCTGTTTGCAGTGTTTGTTGATGGAAATGGATGATGATGATGATGATGCAGAAGGATCAATGAGGCCAGACACACACAAACCCCCTCCCGGCTGTCCCTTATATACCCCGGACTGAATCACTGCCCAATCGCTTCCCCCCTCAGCTAGGGATGACACCACCCTCACGCGGCCAGAGACAAGGCAAATACGCCCGAGTACGGGGTGGCCAAGTCGACAGCGGGCGGGGCAGACTTGAAGTGACTTTGCTGACAGTAAGAGGCAAAGTATCTGCAAGCGTCCGGAGGTACCAGTTTCGCTTGCATTTGAGTTGCGTTGGATGGGAACCAAAGTTCGTGCGGAGAAGGGCTTGGGGGTGCTTGTGAGTGTGCAGTGTTAGCGGAGTGTCGCGGGAGTGCAGGTCTCTGGCAGCGACGGAGTGTATGAGACAGTACAAACTAGTTGTTAACGCAGTACGTACAGGACAGTGTCGAGTTGATTGCGTTCCATCAGCTACATCATCAGCAGCTCTCCATCTCCATCTCCATTTGATCTCTCACAAATCAAGGCGAATGTAACAAGCCACCCCAGCCCGGCCACCGCATGCATCAATCGCACCACACCACACCACTCCTCGTTCCGTTTCTTCCAGGGTCGCAGCACGCATAATCCATCGCATCAGAGCCACGAACCATTCATCCGCCCTGTGCCTGGCGCATTACTCAAAACGGGCACATCTCGAGCCTCAATTTTTCCTCATCTTCTTCTTCAACACCATTCTCCTTCACATCGACTTCCCATCTATTCCGGCACTTGGCACCAATCGTCCATCTCAGGCCCCGCCCCCAGACAGACGCTACTTTGGCTCGATGGATTCGATGGACTCTGGCCCACTGCCTCGGCCCACTTCCCCAGACGGCACAACGATCCCTTTTGCTGCTTCGTCTCCACCAACCGAGTCCTGCTGTGTCCCCCTTTTCCTTTTTCCCTTCATCTCTGTCGCCCTTCTGCCTGTCAGGCCCTCTTACTAACGCGGACTCGTACTAGTAATACGGATACTTTGGCTGGCATCGTTGGTGCTCACCGAGAGAAGCGGAGTCGCTTTGCGCTCACCGTCGTCGCCGAGACAGATGAATGTCTACAGTGAAGCAACACCTCCCGAGTATGCAGGAGAGCGTCATAATATTCCCAAATCTTGTGCGCCCTCTGCACCAAGGAGATTTGCACAAGCGAACACCGTGGCTCCTCGAGCAACTAAGCTGCTGTGCCACCCAAATTCACAGCTGCAGGCCGTATTTACCCCTCAGGCATCCCAACCCGTCGCGCCACTCGTCATCCCATCAGCACGTTCACATTGGCTGAGCAGCGACACTAGGCCGAGTCCAGGCCATTTGCCTGAATTGCCTTGCTGCCCCCCAGAGTTTCGCCCGTTGCTGGTGGCGACATGGTTGGTGAGAGACGCCCATGTGATTGGGCCAGCGGCGCTGTCGCGTGTACCGCCTGGTCGTGTACAGGGTACTGAAGGTTACATTGCCTGCCGGATTCAGCATGTACCTCGCGTGCCAGCAATGTACTCTTTTGCCTTGGGTTCATTGTCATGTTTCCATTGTTGAATTTGCAACGTGCAAAAATCAATTGTTTGAACTCGTCAAGAAGCTGTTTGCCTACGGGGTACACTACGTCCAGTTTATTCAACCTGGTTGTGCGAGGCGGCTGCGTCTTCTCACAGCGCATAATTTCGTCGCAGAAAACACAAGCTCCAGTTAGGAATGTACAACGGTAAGTTACTGAGTACTAACAGAGATTGAATTACTAATAAGGGAGTGGCTATTCCACATCCCGTACGGAGGAGTATCCCCAGTTGCATATACTATTCTCATATAACAGTGGATGTCTAGATACCTACAGTATCACTCTTTCAGCCAGCTACTCGCCAGCAGTATATCCCGAAAAGAAGGAACTATAACATATTTACATGCGCTAGCAGAAATCATCATCACAACAATCTCCGTCTCACCCCCCACCACCCGTCCTCTTGACCATCCTCAATGACATGTAGCAGAATGCTCAGCTTCATGTCGGCATCGAGTCCAGCCTGGCGCCGCTTCTCACTCTCTTCATTATACCTTTCGACTGCTTGAATGATAGCCATCTTGCTTCGTCTCGGCCCCAACCACTTAAGCGCGGCCCTACCCGAGAGATATGAGTCGTCCTCGCATACCCCCTTGTAAGTGCCAGTGTGGAGGAACGCGTTGTTGTCATGCTCATGCTCGGGAGTTGGAACTGTACTTTCCATCTCCATGAATGATTCCAGAGTCGTCTCTTGCGATACATCTTGTGACACCTCTTGAGATGGGGCGTCCTGTGGATTGTCCTCTTCCGCGTCCTCATCCTCTGTATCCAGCATTTCATTCGTCGGACAGACAGTGTACAATTCCTTCAGCCCGCCGAACCACCGAAAGATGACATCTTGAGTCTCATGTATGTAACCTGGACCCCAGTCGAGGGCCAACTTTTGAACATTATGCATCCAACTGGTCCTGGCTACCGCTTTCTCGTATGCACGAGGACGAACTTTTTCCCAGGATTGCAGACGAGTCCAGCTAAGCATGTCAGTGCTTGGCCAACTGACATAGAGGATGTCTCTGGCGGCCTTGTATCTCACGACACAGCGGGGGCTATAGAAACAACCCCGGAATGAGTTATAGCCCCATATGGTGATCTCATTGGGCAGGATATGCTCCAGGATCAAGGCTCGATGTGCTCGGCTGACAGAGACGGCAGCTCGAGCTGCAGCCGTTGACCGAGCGAGAGCAGCAGTAGCCACTACCCTGCCCTGATTCCGGGTCGTGACTCGTAAGACTCTGTGGGATCCGATGACCCTCTCCCATATTTTTATAAGGAGTTCGTTAGGGAGGTTGTCGAAACACGGGACAAGTCTGCCATCGTTTGTTGACATTGAGTCGTCGTTTGCCCTTTCTGGATTGAGACAAATAGCGTAGTGGCGGGCCGTAGGACCGTGGTATCTAGTCAAGGGTGGTGCTCTGTCTGGATTGGGACAGACAGTATGGCGGCGAGCCATAGGGCAGCGGCATCTAGACGGGGGCGCCATGGGGCATGAATTGTGTGTGCTTTATATGGTAATGAGAGTTAGGGGAGAGTATGAAGAAGAAGAAGAGGCACGGGGGAGACAAGCTGGGCAATATATAGACCCCTATTACAATGTACATTTTCTGGAAAGCTTCGAATCTATGGCAGTCGTATAGTTTCAAGTTATATATATAGTTTATAACTGTTACGATGAACGAAATCATTGCAACTATCTTGATTCACTTACAGCTTATAAACGCCATGCATACATACAACCTTATAGTTGCCACATGGCTACACTTGCTTTTCTGGCTGCCAATATCGTCATTTATGTCAGATTTATTTCACTTGCCAGATCACTATCAACGAGCAATTCTGTTAGAGGAACTACCAGAGTTTCCTATGTCGTGGCGTAGAGGAAGCAACTTTTACTTTGTGTCTAGATGTTCTTGATGTATTTACAACCATTGTTGCTTTCTTGTAATGTCTGACACTACCTCCATATTCCTCTTAGATCTACAAGAGTGATATACGAGAGTTTAAGGAGCGGCTCTTTACATTATATGCAGCGCTTATGAGAAGCCAGAGACGACGGGTCGCAGGACGCTGGAGAGCCCGCTTGGGATGCCGGGTACCTAGAGGCCACAGGAGATCCCGAAGAGCAAATCAAAAACATTCGTAAAACCGCTATCACACGGGAGACAAAAAAGCGAGCCTCGGACAAGAAGTTGCAGAGATTTATAGATGGCCTGGGCGAATCGGACAAAGGTGGCGGCAATATGCTATCAGAGTACCAACGGGACAATTTAACTCGTAGAGGTATGCCACTCCATGTTTGATGGGACATGCCGTCTCGTGATCTGGATTAAAGATATCAACGTCACTTCTGCTGAGCTTCAACGACCCACTCGCCATGGAAGACTCCGTGTGCTCGACTCTCTGGGCACCTTGTGTGCTTGAGTTTTACTTTGGCCCAAAATGGAGTCCAGTACTCCGTAAAAGGTAGACTCGGAATCCGAGTGGGCTGAAACTAGCTTTTTTCCCCCTTGCCATCACAAGTATGATGCCATAAATAACAGAGACCAGATGGGGGAGAAGTATAATCGAGATAGACTCACTCCTCCAGATCCACAAGACAAGTTGGATACTTGTCTAGGCTGATTGGGAACCATCTTTGAGTAGGGATATGAGCTTTATTCTCGTAGTGTTCACGTAGATAGCAGGTAGATGCTATGTAGACGCGATATACTTTGCCTCCACGTAGACATATGGCAATACTCCATCAAGAACTCTGCGCACAACGTATGAGCCTCCGCTGTCTCGTAATATTCCGAGCGATATTCTGGTCCAAACCGGTGCCCACAGCTGGTATATGAATTTGAATACCCCCCTCCGCCACACCAAATGGTCTTTATCCTATCTTCATCCTTTCTGTGAGATGACTGCAACTGGAATCGTGCTGGAAACTTCTTCTCATACACTACCTACTCAGGTACTCAACAGTCGATCACATAAAACCACCTACCTGCCTATTTCGTTAACCTCGCAAAATGCCAATGCCACCTTTTATTCCTGATTACCTCCAGAGAGAGCTTTCAAAGCATCGCAATCTGGCTCCGGAAACGACGAATTCCATTCTTCCAGAATTAGATGAGCAGCTTTCCGGGTCGGAAGACGCCGTCGTTGCGATATGCTTTATTGGCGGATTCGTTGCCTTCTTCATGGTTCTAGTCATCTGGGACTTGAAAAATAAATCCGGGCCCGGATGGGTCCGCCGACTCGCCAGCTTCTGCTCCAGCAAGGCCCGAAACGTATTCACCAAGATCAAGAGCTGTATGAAGCGACGGGAGAGGACGAGGACCCCAGACGACGTCAGCGATCCTAATACCGTGGCTACCGGACCTTTAGCGACGAATCATGTTGGAAAAGCCTCCGAACCGTTGTCGGACGTTGAACTTCGTGTTATGATTACGCCGTTTGAGGTGCCGTTTACGGAGGGTACAAGTACCGGCGAGGGAGCGTGTGGGATGAATTGCGAGGCAAATTGTTATCGGACATTTGATCAAGACGCCGACGGGGGCTCTGGAGTTGGCAGACCGGAAAGATTGGAGAGATTGGAGGGTTCACCGACAGCCGACGGGGTGATTATTTGACCTAGATGGATAGCTTAGACTGTGGAGATTTCGGAGCTTGTTTTTTGGTGGTTTTGGATGGGGCAAAAAGGACTCAAGATGTGGTCACCAAATTGGGATTGCAAATTCTAAGATTTCTTTTTTTGTTTAAGTATTGGGTAATATGATGAAAATAAAGGAGTTGGGAGCGTAACGGAACTGGTAGATATCCTCGTTTGAATGGGATTTGAAGATGAATGATTCCGACGAAGTGCGACCGGCCGGCCGCCTGCGATAACACTTGCATCAATCCATCACATGCGTGATGACAACCCCATGCACGAAAGGTAGCATTGGGCACGAGCGAACTAATAATATTGCAACGGAACATCGCCCATCGGCTCGTCGGGGAACTGAATTGAATTGTGTGCGACGAGACGAGGGCCCGGCGACCGACGACCCGAAAGGACTCCGACAGCCGGGGAGTGGAGGGATTAGAGATGAGGCTAATGTAAGTCGAGATGCATCTCGGCAGGGCGGGTTGAGAGTTGATGCTGATTTACGGAGGCGTTACATCAGTTAGCCGAGTAAATTGTAATCAATGTATTCAAAGGCGAAGCTGTAACCATCAGATTAGTAGCATCTGGAGCAACTCGTGATTCAATATCAATGATAGCAGCAATAATCAACATCCATGTCCAATCTTCAGGTCATCCAGGTGTTCAAAAATTCCCCAAGATAAGGCCCCGGCAAAAGCAGGGCTGAGTGGGAACAAGCAAGCACTCAACTAAGAAGGGGGGCTCCAGCGGTCAACAATAGCGCTATGCAGCCCCTAATGAGGGGACCCGGACAGCCCAATCAGCGGCATTCCAGCCCCCCCAAAGGAGCTCGAAAGTGAAAGCCGAGGGTCCGTTCCCTGGAGCTGTCTTACGTACAACGAGTGGCGATCAGACAAGATTGATTGCTCCAGGACGTCAAACAAGTGCTCAGGTGACGACACGCCGGTAATCGTCGGCCTTTTTTTGCAGCAGCGATGATATGAACTCAATCGGACTGTCGCTCCCCTTTGCTTTACCCTTATCCGCCAGTTTCGACTACTTAGATACGAGCACTATCCGAAAGGTACCTTCAACTAAGCCATCGTGCATATTAGTACTTCTTTCCCCATAATCTCTTCCTCCTCTCCTCTCTTCAATTTATTCATTCCTCCTTCACCTCATCCTCCAACTTCAGCTTCAATCTCAACGTCTTCATCCACTGCCCATCTCGTGTCTCGCATCCCCGGATTTGCATCTTCACTGCTCCCTCCAACCAGAATCCGCACAGCATCACCGCCGCCACCAACACACCTCTTCGGTCCGGCCCGTCGCCAGCATTGCTCACCCACGCAAGCTTCCATCTCTTCATTAATCTATCAATCTACCCGACCAGACGCCATCTGCTTACCTCGTCCGAATCTCGCTCGAGTAAGCAGCCTCCTGTCATCTAGCCAGTTACTCGCATCGGACATACAGAGCAACGTCAGCAGTAGCAGTAGCAGCACCTTTAAAGCCATTGTCACTGCTACTCGCGTCCTCGCTTTCGCTTCCCCCGTTCTCTCGTTCATCTACCTCCCTCCTGCTCTTCGGTTCTACATCAACATCAACAAAGGATCCAGATTGCCTCGCTGTGATGCGTCTGTCTGCTGCTCAATCAACATAACCAAATCTACCCCCAATCCTCCTTCTTCATCACCGCGCCGCCATGGCCTCTAGAACACCGACATGCTTTGCGCGGCAGCTGCATCAAGCTGCCCGGCCCCGGAATCTTCTCTCACGACAAACTTCGCTCAAGATCCAGAGTCGTGCTTTCACAAGGCCAACAGCTGCTAGACACAGCCCCGAGGCAATCAAGGCCAAGACGTCTTCTCCCCATCAAATTTCCCCACGAGCTGCCGCTTTGCTGGCTAGCATAAGCCTCTTGTCATTTGGCTATGCCCTTTATCGGACACCGCCGGCTGCCTTTGATGCCGCTGCCGCTTTGCACTCTGAGGATGAAGGATACAGCCAAGCGGTCCTTCGCGATGATCGCGATCCGAATCTGCCCCGGTTTCGCGTGTCCGAGATCCGCAAGCACGACGCCAAGTCAGCGCATCCCTGGGTCACCCACGGCGACAAGGTCTACGACATCACTGAGTGGATTTCCGCTCACCCTGGTGGCCAGGTCATTCTACGAGCCGCCGGTGGCTCAATTGAGCCTTACTGGAACATCTTCACCATCCACAAGAACCAATACGTCTACGACATCCTCAATCAGTACCTCATTGGCTACATTCACCAGTCTGATCTGGTTGACGGCAAGCCCGCCCAGGAGACAATCGAAGACCCCTTTGCCGACGACCCGATGAGACACCCTGATCTCATCACCCGGACCCTCAAGCCTCGCAACGCCGAAACTCCTGAGCAGGCTCTCAGCGCCCAATTCATTACCCCCAATGAGCTGTTCTACGTCCGCAACCACATGTGGGTGCCCAAGCTCACTGCGGATGAGGCCGAGGCCCACGTCCTGACTGTGGAGCTACCCGACGGCACTACCAAGGAGTACACCCTGCGCGATCTCAAGACCAAGTTTGCCGAGAAGAAAATCACGGCTGTGTTGCAATGCTCTGGAAACCGTCGAAGCCACATGAGCCGAGGGTCTGACCGCGCAACCAACGGATTGCAGTGGGAGGCTGGTGCAATTTCCAATGCCACGTGGGAGGGCGTCTTGCTAGCTGACATCCTCGCTGATGCCGGCTTTGACGCTGCGACTGTGAGAGATGGCACCAGCGAGGCGCAGCATGTGCAGTTCTCTGGTATGGAGGCATACGGCTCGTCCATTCCCATCAAAAAGGCCGTCGACCCCCAGGGTGACGTCTTGTTGGCGTATGGGATGAATGGCAAACCTTTACCGCGGGATCACGGCTACCCATTACGATCAATCGTGCCCGGACACGTCGCCGCCCGGTCAGTCAAGTGGCTCAGTCATGTCACTCTCAGCGATGAAGAGAGCCCTAGCCAATGGCAGCGCAAGGACTACAAGTGTTTCGGTCCCAATCAGACAAAGGTCGACTGGGAAAAAGCCCCCGCTATCCAGGAGATGCCCGTCCAGAGTGCCATCACCGGTGTCAAGCTGGGCGAGTGGACGGCGCAGAGCCAGTCAACGCCAAGCAGCTCAGATGGACCTGCAAAAGAAGTTGCCCTCAACGGGTATGCTTATTCTGGCGGCGGACGATCAGTCATCCGCGTCGATGTCTCGCTTGACGATGGAAAGACCTGGTCGCAAGCCAATCTATTGCCAGACCAAGAGTCAAAATATGACGGCAAGTCTTGGAGCTGGAAGCGATGGACATTCAACGGCGCGGTGCCCTTTGAAGCATTTAAAACTCCCGAAGACGGAGGTGCCGGCCACGAAACCGATGAGGACAAGAACACCATTAGGAGAGGTACTGCGAGACGGCCTGCTAACGAGAGCACCCAGAGCACAAAGAGCAACAGGAGATGTACCACCGTTGCCATCAAGGCAACGGACGAGGTTTACAACACGCAGCCCGAGAGCCATGCTGCGACATGGAACTTCCGCGGGAACCTCGCCACTGCCTGGCATCGCGTGCAAGTCTGCACCGACTGCTCTCCCAACGCCATTGTTTTGAACAAGAAGAATTCCGATGAGAAGAAATCATCATCACATGAGAAGTCATGATAGGGTTGCATGGCATACGGATACTAGAACTGGGTCTTTTTTTTCTTCTTCTTATTTTCTTTTGGTCTGGGAGCGTGTGTTCTCTTATGATAACGTGGAACGGTTCAGCATACATAGCATATCATTTCTTGGTAGAGAGACAGGACTGGAGTTGGATGTCATTTTTTGTATATATATATATACCCCTTAAAACAGGTCAAGATTAATTACTTTGATAGCTGTCGTCTACATCAAGATCCGAATAGTGCATCACTCATGTCGATTACCAGAGGCTGATTACATGTAAAATCATGATAATACTCAAGACACGGAAAGATTGTACTGTTACCATCCATATCAAATCACAGTGCTTATTCTAGAAAAAAAATATGCTGTGAGAACTTGTAATTTTTTGTATATTTTACAGCATTGCTCGCCTCTCCTAGCCGTCCTTGTTTAAAAAAAGACTTGTTCCACGTAGGCAGCCAAGCCGGGTGCCTCCCGTTCTAATCCGTATACTGATACAAATCTGCACCAAGTCACAGCCATTCCACCCAGGAACCCATTGTTTCTACCCTATCATCCCTTACTCCTCCTCATCCTCTCCATCGGAAAAGTAGTCAAACGCGTTGGGCACAGTGGCCTCTTCGTCTCCCTCGCCATCCTCATCCACCGCCGTAAGCACTCCGGCGGCTGCAGCTGCGCCCGAGCCAATGTCGGCGCCTCCGGGAGTCTGAGGGTCTACGAGGCCAAAGGGAGATCGTCCCTGGCTGCGCAACAGCTGCTCCATAACGGGGTTGACGCCAGAGAGACCCCTGCCGGAATCTGAGATGCCTTCCAGGATAGAGGGGCCTCCCGCAGAGCGACCACCTCTACCAAGCGTCTGTCCAGCCACAGGGGCACGCTCAGTAGTAACCTTCTTCAGCTTCTCCTCCAGAAGTGTTTTGGCTTCATCAGGCTGAGTGTCGTCGAGGAGAAGAGGACCGCCGGTTGGCTAGAAAAAGCAAAGTTAGCGTATGTTATACTATCAGCAATCGAATGGGAGGAATTTACCTTCTTGACTGGCTTGTATCGGCCGGCTGGGAAGCTGATGTACTTGAGCTGGCCAGGCAGAACTCTGCTCATATTCTCCAACTCGTATCCGACCTTTTCCTTCTCGGGCTTCTTCTTGGAGTCGGTAGAAGCTGCCTCCTTATCGTCAGACTCCTTCTTGTCCTTGCCCTCCTCCTTAACCTTGTCATCATCCACTTCCATCTTGTCTCCGCTCTTTACGGGGGCACTATCAATGTCCATGCTTTCGTGACGCTGAGCCCGCTCCTTCTTCTGGGCTCTTCTCTTGGCCTGAGCTGTAGTCGACAGGATAGCCGTCGCAATAAGAGCCGGGCCCTCCTCAGTCTTGATCTCTTGCTCGGGGGGATAATCGAAGAGGCTCTGGCGGGTGGCGCAGTGGAACTTGAAGTCTGGCATCTCCAGGTCGTGGTCGAGGCCGATGATGGAAGTGGGCGAGAAGCTCAGAGACAGGAAGTGGGTAAAG